GCAATTCAGGAGCCAATATGTCCAATCCAGGAGCCAACAAGATTTTCTTTAGAGACCAGCTCCATTGACATAAACTAGAGAAACCTGCAAAAGGTGCCAGCTGTAATTTTTAAGAAGCAATGGCTACCTTTTCCTGGGATTTGTCCAGCCCTGACCTAGCCCTTTCCTCCCCAACCTTCATGTTCCTAGTTTACCCTTGTTTATTCATTTGATTTAAGTTATTTCAATCATGGAGGCTTAGCATCACACATGGACATTACCACAGCTTACTGTTTTCAGGAAGCTACTACATAGAGCACCTTGTTACCTATCCCACCAGCTATGATCTGCCTGCATTACACAGACTAGCACTTGGTCTACAAAAGGGAATGTAATAAAAATAGAAAGGTTTTATGTAATATTTCATTAGCATGTTGAAGAGAACAAGAAAGAAGGAACCAGGGAAAGCAAAATATAAACAGATGAAACTTTTTCACCCATTCACTTTAAAAAAAAAAAGAAAACCCTTCCTAGGCCCCTTTTAACTTACCTGAATCTGCTGTCACTTGACCACAGCATCTCTTCAGTGACCAACCTCTACAGTCCGGGCTCTCCGACAACTGGTCTAGTCACTTCCCACCTCTAACCCCTTTTCTATTGGCCAGGGAGGGAGCCCGCCATGTGATGTGATGGGGTGGGGAGTGAGGAACCGGCAAACTCCAACAATTCCGAGGCGTATCTGAGCTTTGCTCAAAGGGTTTGGCTTTAGGACATGTAGGAAGACAAGGCTAGAAAGTTACACTACTTAAAAAGGAATTACTAATAATTTTTAAATATATCAATTTTAAAAGTCATACATTAAAAATCTGCAATCTTTGACTGCTGTAATGCAAGTAGCTGAGTGTTACCTATCGTTCCCTGACCTCAGCTATTTAATGCGGGACAAAAGCCAATAAAATGCTTTTCGTGGTGTTGCTGGACAGGAAACTCAAAAAACTGTCAGCTTTCAAGGTCAAAACTTTCAGGAAAATGCTATAACAAAGTGTTCAAAGTGAAATAACAGTCTGCTAAGTTTTTAAAAGCAATGCCAACCCTAACTGAATGTAATATAGCTTGCCACAGTCATATGTATATACAAGCTTTTCTCAGCCTTTTTACCCCAGAGGAACCCCAAAAATAATTTTCAAGTCTTTGAGAATCCTTACTAAAACCAATTAATTGGGGGTCAGTGGGAAAAATGCTCCTTACATTGATGTCCAACCTACAGTGATGGTCAGAATGCTCTCAAGGAACCCTTACCAATCTTTGGAGGAAGGCTAGGGTTCCACAGAACTCTGGTTGAAAACAACTGGTATAGACAATACAGCTGTTTATGTTTAACAAAGTACTTGTTTTCACCTTTTCCCATACTTATATCTCAGTGCTACTGAATGCTGCAACCTCTCCACAGCCACTGCCTGTCTACAGGCACACCAGGGATAGCCGCATAGCATTTCTCATTGTGGTTTCCTAATGGTGGCAGCGCTTCACCATGCCAGTGCAATTTGTGTTAGCGTGGCCACCTGTAGTCTCCATCAGAAGCCTATGTTACGGGGTGTGCAAGGAGCAACGCTGAAAGACAGGGACAGAGTATTGTCACCCTATAACAGGAAGTGCCATAATAAGGACCTTCATGACAGGATCACTCTTCCAGTCAAAACTTTGCACATGTCTATAACCAATCTGTTCTAACAGCCCAACTTTTCTGGCCTGCTAGTCAAGTGATGTCAGCAATTCCTCCGATCCCCAGTCATGGTTACTCAGATCAGTGTCTGATGTCTCCCACATCTCTATGCAGTTTGAGTCAAACTGGCAGCTCCAGAATACACTCCTACACAGAATATGCAAGGAATGTGTGGACCAGACAGGGACACTTGCAACTCTGGCATGTTATTTCTATGGTTACCATTTCAAGATTTATTTTTTAATATAACCATAATGAAAGGCCTGCGTTATGTAATGGTAAGCACCAATGGCTTTTGTATATAACACGGGAGGAAAGGACTGCTTCACAGTTCCTGGAGAGGAAATTTGAGGACAAGTATTTTAACCAAAGACAATTTTTTTTTTTCCACAGATAAACCAAATGAGCTCTCGGAAGACCACGCAAAGCTTTCTCTTTCCAGAGCTGATGCAACGGCATCATCAGTTAATCAGCACCAAGAGGTCACCATATGTTTGTCTCAGGCTGATAAGTCACTTCCATTTCCCAACACATCTCAGTCATTAGAAAAATAACCTCCAACCTCGGCTACTAGACTCCAGGCATACTGTGTGACTGGGAATCTTCTTCTTCACACACATCTCTGTGTTTACACAGAGCTCTGCAATCTAAATAATAAAGGGATTCTTTGCTGAACAGCTGTATAAAACACACAGCGGGAGGAAGAGATATATTGTTTCCAGTTTTTTCCCATTGTGTCTGCCTAAAATAAATATTACAGTATGAGTGTTTAAAACTAAAACAGGCTGATTTAAAGGAGAACTATGAGGTGAGTGATTTTCACTCAGCCTCATAATCTGAGCAGACCTATGACAATGAGACTGTCACAGGTCGGCACAGTAGATCGGGAAGTAAGCGAACACATACCGGCGCTCGCTCACTTCTCGATCTATCCCTGCAGAGAGCCTGACTGTCACTCACGGCTCCCTGCAGGGATTCCCCCCTTCCCCTGTCTGATCCTCCAGCGCTGACTGGCGGAACAGACGGGGGAGGGGCGGGCACAGCTGGCTCTGCCTCTGGATAGAGGCTGCGGCGTCTCAGTATACTGAGCTTTGGGTCATGGGAGAACGCTAGTTTGAGTGACCTTTAGGAGAACTATGGGGAAAAGCCCTGACCCCATAGTTCTCCTTTAATAAAACAGAGCTCGGAGCTCAATTAAACATGGAAGACAATATGCAAATAGTCAGAATCTATCAGGGATGTGCAGTCAGGGAGGGCAGGTGAGGCAGAGCCTCCCCTAGAAATATGGAGCAAAAAACTGTCAGCTTCATGTCTTTTTCCATTCAGATCGGCATCTAACAGGTTACACAGCAGGGAAATCCTCCCCGCTGTGTAACCTGTCATGGAGCCTCAGCGGTGAGGAGGAAGTGAGGGACAGGGAGGCTCCTCCCTGTCTCCTCCCTTCCTCTTTTACACTAGCTTGGAAATGGGTTGGAGATGGGGCTTCATCTGACGGGGCGGAGCTTCAGCCAGCGGGGGGTGGGGCTGGGGAATGCCTCATCCCAAGCAAGAAGTACCGCACATCACTCAACATTGAACCCTACAGACAAAGACTGGGATGCCATTAAAGTTAATGCGCATGCAAAGGCAGGCGCCCCAATACTTTTGGTAATATAGTGTATGTACTCGCACAGTGAACCAGCAAAGAAAGGTGAGCAAAGTGAAGCAGCACAGGAGTCAGAACAAGAAGTGGAACTCACAATGGATAAGTCAAGTTCCATGTTAAATTCTGCTGAACAACCTGAAATTAGAAGATCCTCTGGAGCAACAAAGGGAATACCACTCTGCAAGCTGTCATATACTACACATAGCATACTCAAGCCAACATCATGGGAGGACATATAAAAATTACGAAAACGCAAAGCCAATCAATGGAGACAGGCAGCAGAAAAAAAAATTAAATCACTCCAACAAAATAAAATTTGGACACTCTTAGTCTATGCTAGTTTTCTATATGCATACAGGAAGTTCTATCTGTTTATGTTTCCTTCTCTATGCTCTATAATGCTGTATAAGGCTGTATTCTGATATATTCTCCTAAGCAAGAAAAACCTAATTTAGCATTCTTCAAGATCTCAGTGCTTCATCTAAACACATAACCAACAGTTTTAAGATGGAGTTCTACTTCAAGGAAAATGTTTTGTATGGAATCACACTTGACATAAAAGATTAATTCTGATTGGTTGCTGTACTTTGCACTAAGCACTTTGCTCCTTGCACGCTTATCTCAATTAATAAGTCAAACCCCTTGGAAGCCTGATCCCAGATCCCTACTTACCTGCGCTTTGGCATTTCACAACTTTTGTTAACCTTTTCTTGCTTTAAATATTCATACAATTCATTGAGAGTGTAACATTGTGACCAATATAGATGCGTTATTCTCACCATTGACATTCCACATTAACTGAAAGCCTTGTCGTTCACCGAATACATCTGACTGGAAGACAACATGAAGGCTTGTACCATTGGTGGTCCCTGCTGGTGGAAGGGCCTCCTCGCAGTAGGTTCCAATGAGTTTTGCCTGGGCGTTGGGTCCATCATAGAGCTGGGGAAAAGTTAAACTTGTTAAAAGGATTCCTGGGTGAATTATGCATCATGCTCTGTTTAAAGGGAACCTGTCATCATAGAAATATAAAAGCTGCCATTGCTGTCTTGTTTATTAAAGTTGTCATTCTGGCTGTGCAGGGGCATACCTGAGATCTTTCCAAGCCAAAGATTCGGCAATAGATAAATAGCATTTTTTATGGGAAATGGACAAATAATGGTGTTCAAAGATAACCTGTACAGATCACAGGGTGGCATTGCTGACTTGAAAATACTAATTGCCTGGCTGCAATTCTTTCTAAGTCACAATACTAGAAAGAGAGGTAATCAATGGCAGCCCATGCGTAGAAATCAGGACAAGAAGTGATGGTAAATCTCTCCAATGGGAACAATGCTCCTGCCTTCTTATCCTAGTGAACACCCTTCTTTTCTTGTACAGGTTTCACGGAGACAGGAAGTGAGGGAAAATCTTCCCAATGAGGTCACAGACAAAACCCGGGGAGAACAGGCAAACTCCATGCAGGTAGTGTCCAGGATCCTAGCCAGAATACAGACCGAGGACCCCAGTGCTGTAGGGCAGAAGTGCTAACCACTAAGCCAGGGACGTGCGGTCAGGGGAGGCATAGGAGGCAGAGCCTCACCTAGTATTATGGAGGAAAAAGCTGTCGGCTTCAAATCTGAAGCTGACAGCTTTTTCTCCATTCAGAGTGGCATCTAACAGGTTAAAGAGCAGGGAAATCCTCCCCGCTGTGTAACCTGTCATGGATGAAGAGCTGCCTATTAATTACAGGCAGTGCTTCGCCCGGCGGGGCTTTGTCCGGAAGGGGGAGTGGCTTTGTCCAGAAGGGGGCGGGGCAGGGAATTCCTCACCCAGAATATGAGGTACCGCACGTCACTGCACTAAGCCACTGTACTACCCACAACCCTCACCTATATATATATATATGTATATACAGTATATATATATATATATGTCTGTATATCTGTTTACCTGGATTCCTGCTTGATAAGGTAACTTTACATTGTACACTAGTATACTGTAAACTCTAAAGAAGGGGCTGAAGACAGTCAATAGTGCTCCTTGGCCATATACACCATCAACTGCCTGTAGCATTTGGGTGAAATAAATACAGAATGGGTCATGTGATCTATCATCAACTGCCAGTCTGTAGCATATGGGTGAAGTAAGAACAGAATGAGCCATGTGATCTATCATCAACTGCCAGTCTGTAGCATATGGGTGAAGTAAGAACAGAATGAGCCATGTGATCTATCATCAACTGCCAGTCTGTAGCATATGGGTGAAGTAAGAACAGAATGAGCCATGTGATCTATCATCAACTGCCAGTGTGTAGCATATGGGTGAAGTAAGAACAGAATGGGTCATGTGATTTATCATCAACTGCCATTAAGCTGCCAATGCCTCAAACCCGGGTAGAAGAAAATATACACAGAATATATGTGTTGCCCATAGCAAGCATTAGGCATTCTTGCCGACTGGTCATTTTTCCATCATAACCTGACTGGGTAATGACTCCACTTTTGTGCTCATTTTGTATTTTCGTCCTAAAAACATGCGTCACATCTCTAAGTGAAACAAAGTTTCTGAATTCATTCATATAGTTTCATATATTCACTGCCTACGTGTCAAACTGAGAACAGGGCATTTTCTCTGTGTTCACCGTATTTCTTAGCAACACCCAATAAAACAAAAATAGCGTTGTCTCTCTTTCAGTCTCAATGCACAGAACTGACACCATTTCCTGACCGCGTGTGTGCGGTATATACAGACCTCCATCTCCATGGCAACCTCCCGTAAACTGACACTACTCTCTGCAGCAGTGAGTGGAAGTAAGGCTCCCAAATGGGGAACTGGCATGCATCATTTTTAGACAGATATCTGACCAGCGCATTTTGCATATTTTAGTACAGATCACAAGACTTCAACTTCATGACTTGTGATCTGTAGCCACACGGTCTGTTCACAAAGGTGCTTTTACAGCACATACAATATGCATTTAGATTTAATTTGATCTAAGCTGTTTAATCATTAGAGCCAAACTAGTTCTAGTTACCCTTCTACTGCAAGGGTTAAAGTGACACTAAACTCAGGAGTTAAATCTTAAAAAATCTCTGAATTGGTGCTGACACTGTCCTTCCTTCTGGAGGGTGGCTACTTTTGTTCCCCATGGTCCCTGTGTGTGTTGTAAAGTAGTCACCGCTCCAAGCTTACTCCTGTGATGGACTACAATCTCAATACAAATTAGTATGAGATTGTAGTTCATTACAATCCTCACATCATCTCTGATGACACTGTCCTTTCTTCTGGAGGGGGGCTACTTTTGTTCCCAAGGCCAGATTAGGAGCATTATTGGCCTGGTTGGTTGGTCAGACAGGAAGCAGCAGAGGTCCACTTCATCGAGCCATCTTTTATTGCCATTTAGATAAACAAGGTGTTACAAGCAAATGTAACATTTTGGAACCACATGTAGTCAGGCAAAACAATGTGATGTCACATTGTTTTGCCTGATGAAGGGATCACACGTGGTTCCAAAACGTTGCATTTGCTTGTGACTTCATGTTTATCTAAACGTCAATAAAAGACAGACCGATCAAGTGGACCTTGGTGTGCTGGTGACCTCATTATCTCCTTCTGCCTGATTGAGTTCAGCCAAGGAACCAAGCCGGCCAGGTCAATTTTTAGGGGTGGACCTGGAGCCGGTGCTCCTGTAGCCCCTATATTAATCCAGCCCTGTGTCCAGCCCACTCCAAGCTTGCCTCCATGATGGCCTACAAACTCAGCACGAATTAGTAAGCTAAACGCGAGATTGTAGTCCATTACTGGAGCGAGCTTGGAGCGGTGACTACTTTACAACACACATCGGGACCATGGGGAACAGAAGTAGCCACCCTCCAGAAGGAAGGACAGTGTCAGCACCAATTCAGAGATGATTTGAGGATCTACAGCCGACTGATACACAAATAAGAGACATTTTTTAAATCAAAGTTAAGAAACATGAATGGATCTGTAAGATTTAACTCTTGAGTTTAGTGTCACTTTACTGTAAATGCTCATTTTTGTCTATGGTATGGCAGTTTATTTACCTCATCCCTCCGCAGGCTTCTGCATGCTTCCGCCTGTCTGTGTGTGTTATATATTCCCATTTACAGAGAATAATTAAAAAAATATTTAATAATTGTGGTTATCATTTGACTTATTCATGTTTCCCTTTAAGGAAGGGACTTAAAGTGATATTAAACACAAAAGGTTTTTAAGCCATTTCAAATGCTGATGAAATCACTTACTGCTCCTTGATGTTTAAACTAGGGATGCACCGATACCGTTATTTCGGTATCGTGTACCGATTTTTCCTTTCGGTATTCGCCGATACCGAATACCGAGTACCGGAAGTCCCATTCAGGAAGCCAGGCGATGTGTAATGACTCGCCACCTGGCTTCCTCATTAGCCGGGAAGCCGGGCCGTGTGTAATGACTCGCCACCCGGCCTCCCGATTAGCAGGGAAGCCGTGCCCATGCTTCTCGTCACTAGGTGACAAGAAAGCATGGAGTTGGCTTTCTGGCCAATCAGGAAGCCGGGCGCTGTGTAATGACACGGCGCCCGGCTTTCTGATTGTTTGGGAAGCCGCTCTCATGCTTCCTCGTCGCCTCATGACGAGGGAGCATGGAGGCGGCTTCCTGGCAAAACAGGACGCCTTGCAGCATGTAATGACGTGCTGCCCGGCTTCCTGATGCCGGATGCATCGGGCTGGGCATCAGAGTATTTGGGCGAGTACTAGTACTCGCCCAAATACTCGCCATTGGCAACGATACCGATACCAGCATCGGTATCAGTGCATCCCTAGTTTAAACGCTTAGTTTCCTGCAGAATCAGCTGGTCCTCTGAGCACTGGCCCGGATATCCTGTTTTAGGGTGACTCCTTTCCCTTGCAGGGTCCTATGGAGCAACCCTTGTGTGTGCTAGTAAGCTGTTTGTGTCTTTGACAAACACACATGTACAGCAAGGAAAGACACTTCTCTGCTACACACTCTCTGCACCTCCTTCCTCCCTCCTCCAAGTTAGTAGATGGGGAGCTGCTAGAGTCTACTCTGTTCCTTGCGTTCTTGTACTGGACAGAAGTACAGGGAAGCTGAGCTGAAAGAGTTTGAGCTGGTCTTAAACATGAAGACTGTTTGGGTAAACATTTCAAGAAATACTTTGCTGGGTAGGGCATATTTGTTTAACTAGTTACTAGTTTAAGGGAGCTGGGTAGTTAATGTTTACCAAAATTAACCTTGCCTGTACTGTGCTGTCAGATTTCATTACCAGTTGTAAACTAGATTTCAACACTATGATGTTCTATTATAATCGCTGGGCCAATGCCATTCACATGGCACTAGTGCCCCTAGATGGTGCTGATGAGTATAGGAATTTGCAGCCCTGATTCATCAGCGGGCATGTTGGACCTCTGCGGACAGACCTCTGCCTCCATAGAGAGATCAAGTGTCATTCTCCGCAGCAGGGGACAACCTATTCTAATTAGTCTGTGGCTGCTTTCTAAAAAAAACTAACTATAAAGCTGGCAGATTTTTCTCTTTTAGCCCTCCAGGGCTGAACAGGAAAAATGACTTGATTCCCATATCCATGCTACAGAAATCCTGCGTCTGTCAGAATACCTAAACAGTAACTGAAGCCCATTGGATGGACCAGCAGATCGTGCCGGTGTTCTATCGAAAGCTCCAACTCGTCGAAATCTCCAACTACCTCACTTCCGGTGCTCAGAAAGAATGGAGCTCTGTACAGTTGCGGTGCGCATGTGCGCATAGTGTTTTCAGAATGCCACCTACTGAATATTGTTAAAATGCAGCTGTACAGAGCTCCGTCAGCCTTTGTGTTTTGCAGTCTAACGCCGTCTGGTCGGAAGCTCCAACTTGCAAGTACCCGGCAGTGAGGTAGTTGGAACTTTCGATAAAACACCGGCATAGTCACCCAGGAATTGAATATCGTCCAATTCAGGAAATTCAATTTGAATATGGCCAGCATAAGACTCTGCATACTTTTGTTTTGATGCAGATGGAATGTATTTGGCAGATTTAAAGCTGAAAGTCCAGCAGGATGAAAACATTTTTTTGGTTTTACCTACATTTGAAATAAGACTTATATAAGGAAATGCAATAAATAGTTCCATGTGATGATAAAAAGACACGAATCCACATAACTCAATCCTTCACGCAGAGGTATAAAAACTAACTGAACACCAGACCGAAGCAGTTACTGCACAGCATCATCATATTTTTCTGCATTTCACTTTATCTGTACATGCCGTCCCGATTTCACCGATTCTCCAGCACAAATCAGCCTTTTATTTCTCATTACCAACAACTAACGGTCACATTGCTCTGAGCTGGCAGGGCGGGGCAGCTGACAGTTTTTCTTTTAGAACAAAAAAAAAAAAGAGAAGAAATGACTCATTCATGTCAGGGTTCTGAATGAGGAAAGCATTGTGAATTACAAGTTTTTTTCTATGCTAATGTTAACGCATATATTCTCCGTCCCTGCTACAGAACTTTAGCTAAGCATACTTTTGCTGTTAAGTCCTATACAGCATGCTGCATAATAACATACTGAGGGATTTCATGCTTTTATCTGTAATACTGAAATGGTGTCAGGATGTTCTGATCGGGCACAGTTCTGACACTTCGATATACGCAGGTAGATATGGCAATTAAAGATGTTGCAGGTATGTGCAGCAACCACAGTACGCAGCATTAATGATTGTGAAGGATCTAAGGCAGGGGTAGCCAAACTGCGGCTCTCCAGCTGTGGTGGAACTTCAAATCCCAGTTTGGCTACCGCTGATCTAAGGAGTGATTGGGCACAGTCCTAACATGCATGGGTAGTGTTGGAGCTTGTCTGCTCCATACTGCCTCCCGTAAATCTCTATTAGCCCATCGGCATAATGGGCTGCATCACTGGCCAGTAGGAAGGTGTGTAGCAGGAAGGTAACAAGCCAACTCCATCACCACCAGAAGGTTCCAAACTTCGGAAAGGCTCGGCATTTGTAAGTAGATAACGCAATTAAAGATATTTTGGGTATGTGCAGCAACCATGGTATGTAGCTTGTAGGATTGTGAAGGATCCAAGGACTGATTGGGCACAGTTCTGACACTTCCGACTAGTGTCGCAAATTGTCTTCTCCATCCTGCCCCTATAATGTCTTATTGGCCCATCTCTATGGTGGGCTGCATCACATGACATGGGCATTGCAGGAGCCCCAAAAAGCCGGGAGGACTCTAAAGTGCAGAGTCTGCCATTCACCTTCAGTCCCTTCAAACTGAACTATAGGCAGATGTTAAAAAAATACCATTTAATGAAACTATTAAAAAAATCAGCGCATGTATTGTAATGCAGCTAGTATAAATACCTGAATTAGATTTAATTTCAGTCTCTAATAATCCCCTGTATAGCAGCACGTAGGGGGGAGTGGGTGGGGAAAGGGGGGACAGCACTCTGAGCCAATCAGGTGTCCTGTATTTACATATGCTGTGAGAGCAGAGAGATTACTTCAACAGTCTTCTGCTGCTCCATCACTGTTTAATCACATTCTGGATGTGCAGAGGGGTCCTAACTGTGCTAAATAACTACAGCAAACAAAAATCAGATCATCAGGCTGCTTGTGCTGTTTATCAGGGCTGTGTAAATCTCAGCAATGGATGGACAGAAATGCAATTCTTTTTGCCTGTAGGAAAACTCCAATATATGTTTTTTTTATCAGTATATTTAGTTGTTTTCCAGCTTTACTATAAATCTTCAGTCCCTTGGAGTGCTCTAGATGCCACTGCTATCTGACATTTCCAGGTGAGTGAGATAACGGGGCCCCCATTGGGCACTGTGATTCCTCCTACTGCCCCCTGTGTCATTAAAAGACACAGTAGCAATCAGGGGTGTAACTAGAAAACACAGGGCCCCATAGCAAAATTTGATATGGAGCCCTGTGATTTCTAGTTACGTCCCTTGCAGAGCCTACCTGAGATCCCAAACAGCTCACCTGAGGGTGACCCTGCAGAGCCCACTATAGACTCTCTATGGTGGGCTCTGGCATGGTCTCAGGTGGGCTGCACACCCCTGCACACCTCTTACCTGTCAGCCCCGATCCGCTGTCCGCCTCCTCCTCCGGCACAGGATCCCGTCTCCCCTTCCATCGCTGGGCCCTGTCTCCCCTTCCATCGCTGGGCCCATCCTCCTCTGATGTCACCGGCCCCACCTCCTCTTCCGTCGCCGGGCCCCACCTCCTCCGTTGCAGCTGCTGGCTGTCACTGACACAGAAGTGGCTGTGAGAAGGAACACACCGCTGCAAGGATCACTGACATGTTGTCAGTGATCTAACAGTGACACATTCCTTCTCACACCCACAGTTGACAACCAGCAGCCTGACATGCCATAGCGACCCAGGCGGCCCGCACGGCATCAGGGGGATGTCCTGGCCGGGCCCCCCTGTGCCCCGGTCCCCATAGCGGCAGCCTGGGTCGCTATGGCGATTGTTACGCCACTGGTAGCAATGTAGCGGCCGGCAGGAGGAACCATAGCACCTAGTGGAGGACCAGGAATCCAACACACATCTCTGAATTTCAGATCAGGGCAGTGTCTGGAGCTCTGTAAGAGAGTAAAGATTAAACATACTGTCAGGCCCGGATTTCCCTCAGCCCAGGGGGGGCGTATTGTGGAACCTGGCCTTGGGGCGGCAGGGAGAGTAAATCCGGCCCTGCATACTGTGCGCCAAATTGGTATTTATCTTCTTCTTCCAGGCTGCTTCCAGTTTTATTTGGTGGAGCTAGCAGCAAAGTTGCATTAAATGTTTTGTTTTAATGAACTACAAATGAATTATTTGTAATGTTCTCTCCCCCTATTGCATGCCAGGTCCAAGTAATTCCATACATCTGTATTTTAGAGTTTGTGCATTTGCACATTTACTATAACATCCTGTTTGGGTGACCACAATGAGTCAGTTTCCCCTGCTTGGCATCAAACTATGCACCATTTCACCAATCTGGAGGAACCTCAGACACTCAGAGATGATGAAGCAGATGTGGTGGTGATTTACTAACTGCAAATTTGATACTATAAATGAAAGGTTCGAGAGAATGAGTGAATGTTAACTGGTAAGTAATCCAGCAAACACTGCAGCTGCAAAGTCAGAAAGTGTGCTGAGCAACACACATCACAACGTTTTCATTTCATTCTAAAAGAACTGCAAATAAAAGTTGTTTTTTTAAGGTTATTAATGGCAGAGCTCTTCATAATCCTTAATATGACCTGTTAACCAATACTCCTGATGCCCTGTTAACCAATACTCCTGATGCCCTGTTGTGTGCTGTGGTTTCTCCTGTTGACTTCTATGCCACAACTGGACACAGCAGAGAACCAGGAATAAAACACTCCTGAAGTTGTTGGTTACTACTCACTAATCATTGGAGTAGGCAGCAGGAGAGGTCAGTATCTAAGTTTACAGGGAGCCCTTTATATAAAGATTTCATTTGAGCAACATAGTCTTTTTAAGACAGTATTCACGTGTATGAATTGTGGTAACATGCAAGGTACAGTAGAGTGCGTTGCCATTTATTTTGATACATGTCATGAATTGTGGTGCGTTGTGTTAAAAAAAGGAGTCATTCATAATGAATGGGGCTGCCTTAAGGCTAAACTCCAGCCTTATCTTCAGTCTTGCACAGTTGTACCAACTCCTCTCCTGTACTAAAATTACTTCCTCTGATTTCACTGCACACTGTGAGCTTCTCACAATGCGCATTAGAAGCTGCAGTAAGTCACATAGAGCCCGCCTCATTTCCTGCCTGGAGGACGTCCAGGATCAGCTAGCCTTACTGTCCCTGACCTGCCTCTTAATTCATTAGATTGCAGTTCTTTCAATCATGAATGTTCAGCATCACATATGAGTAGGGATGCACCGATACCGTTTTTTTCGGTACGAGTACTGATACTTTGCTTTCAGTACTCGTCGATATCGAATACCGATACCGGTGCTTCCGCTGGCATGGAGCCGACTTCACCGGCAATCCGATTGCCCGAGAAGCTGGCTCCATGTTGTCTGGCCGGCTTGATTGTGTTTGGCCGGGAAACCAGCTTCCCAGCCAATCAGCATCTAGTCGGCTTCCAATCAGGAAGCCAGGTGGTGAGTAATTCAGCCAATCATCATTATTATTATTATACAGGATTTATATAGCGTCAACAGTTTGCGCAGCGCTTTACAATATAAGGAAGACATTACAATTACAATACAATTCAAGGCAAGACAAGATGGTAAGCCGGCTTCCTGACCAATTAGCATGGAGCCGTTTTCCCGGCCAATCAGGAAGCTGGGAGACGGGTCATTAGTCGTCGGCCAGCTTCCTTATCGCATGGGAAGCTGGCTCCATGTTCCACTAACGGTCAGAGGAAATCTTCCTCTGACCGGAAGTTCCGGTATCGGGGAAGGTATCGGAGCATTTGTGCGAGTACGAGTACTCACCCAAATACTCGGTATCGGCACCGATACTGATACTAGCATCCTTATCGGTGCATCCCTACATATGAGTCTTACCTATGGCACTAGTTCAGCGCATGTTAAAGTGTGACTTAAGCATGTGCCCTGGAAAAATGCTAATTTGCTTTTCTACCTCCCCACCCACTTTTACTCACCTACCCTATGTTTCCATTAAAAGGGCAAAGTGATAGAGTCTCTTTAATATTCAAAGTCCATGCCAGCTTTTAATATTAATTAATATGTAATTAATGAATATTTAATATATCATACCCTTGGATATGCAGTGTATCATTTCCACTTTTCCAATAGGTACATATCATACCTTAACATGATCAAAATTGCAGTTCAATTGCTCCAGCTGAAAGGTTGTGAACATGTAGCTGATGGTATTCCCCTGTGTGGTCTGTATGGTCCAGTTGCAGTATTGGTTGGAAGGATATGAATTTGGATAGTTTAAACTCTCCAGAATGCCACTGCTACGGCCGCTGATCAAGACTCCTTGGCATACTGAAATTTAAATGACATAAAAGACAGAATTTATACAAGTTCCCAATCAAAGCTGAACTTCAGACAGCACTTAGATTGGGAGAGGGAGGGCAGCACTAGGAGCCAATTAGGTGTGCTGATCCTTTTCCAAACGAATGGGCTTTAGCAACACAGCCTGTCTCAATGCACAATAAAGCACATTGCTACGCATGCAATATAGTGTGATTGGGCCTTAAAGCTTGACAGTATGTTCATTTGACTCGTGTTCCAGTTCATGCACATGCAGCTCATTTTTAGTCCTGTTGTATAGTCTTTTGTAAAGGAGTTAGCTTCATTTCTCAGTGTGGAGTCTATAGCCCTGACTAACCAGAAGATGCAACTCCAAATATCCTGACAAACTAAAAGTAATCCCTGTTATTATTCCGTTCCAAACCATTGGTAGTCAACTCAGTGGGGAAAAGCAGTCTTCAATTGGGGCCCCGATATCACCAAGTGGTTGCATATAATATTTAGACAGAAGAAGACTGTCCGGGACTGAAGATATATTCAAGAAAATAAGCACCAGGGCGCTAAAATCTTTAGTAAAAGTGTTACATTCGACCCAAGTTGCAGCGTTTTCTTCTTGGCCAGACTAGCCAGACTTAGTCCTTTTTCTTCTACTGTGTAATAGATTGAAAATACAGTTACAGAACAAGGTTAATATTCGACTTGTCATTACATATACTCACCCTGTTTATAGGTAGCCAGGAATCCACTATATGACATAACGTTGTCTGTCCTAAGCTTTACGTACATGTCACTAGTGGTGGAGCGTATTGGAGCTGGCAGTTGTGGACCGCAGAGCTTCTGTAGTAAAACCGAATTGGTGCTATTGCCATTGTAGATCTTAAAACAGAATAGACAGACTTATCAGTATTCTGTAACATAATCCAACATTCAGTAATGAGGGTCAGACTTTTAACATAAAAGTAGATAACGCAGGTGGATTTCAAGAAGCTACAATTAAACCACAATTAAAGTGCACATTTGTTATTTAATAGGGAACATCTAGAAATGTTAACTGTGCCTAAGCGTTTCTCTAAAAAAGATAGACCCGTTCGTCTTAAATCCCTCCTGAACAATAGCAGTGAATTTCCTGTGTCTAGGCACTCTTGCGCCTTGAATACGATAGCTGTATATTCACAGTGTGAGATAATCTATGGCACGGCTGCCTCTGGCTGTTAATCTCACGTGTTTTTCAATTATATTTAGCTATGTTATTATTGTACTCTTCACTGTTTTCCTTGCTGGAGAGGAAGCTATACCTGAGGACCTGCAGTGCAAGGAACTCACTGCTTCTGCTTCATCTATTCTGTAAATCTTTGCCTTCTCCACTTCTCCTGCTTTTTCCTGCTCATTACCCTACCACTCATCAGATCACCAGTCATCAGGAAGGGAACTCTGAAGCAAAGCCCTGTCTCTATACATGGTCACCTCCACACAGAGACACAGCGCAGAAAAAGGCATGGTAGGTCCGTAATAAGCAAAAAGATTAGCTGTAGGGAGCTTACAGGCATTACAAGTGATTAGCCCTTTACCCTCTCTCTGCTTCTAGATTTCAGGTCCTCTTCAAATGTTTTGCAAAATTGATATTTCAATTACAAGTTGATAAGGCTAATTTTGTTGTAAATCTTTAGGACCCCAGAGGGGAAGTGTTCCTATCAGAATATCTGCTATTATTGTAAAGGAGTTTCATTCTTGTACCTGAAGGACCAGTAGTGTGACCACGTCCCTCTTACAGGTGGGTGGAGCTAAGAAATCAGGGGAACAATTTTTAACCCTAGAGTCCTGAAGAGATACGTGAAGCAGATATGTGATTGAGCCTTTTAGCTCTCTCTCAAAACCAACATTGCCAAAGATAGAAGTTTAATAATTGAGCAATACTTACAGCTAGGTAATCACTGATACAATTTTTGTGTAACTCCAGATGAAAGGCTTCAAATTGAACTTCAATCTGACTTCCTCTAGAGGCACTCAGGAGCCAGTAACACTCCGAATTCTCGTAGTATGGCATGGGGTAATTAGGAGATGAGAATCCACCAGACAATGCAGTTAGGGTAGCACCGCAACCTGCAAGACAACACAGCAAACTAATACCAAACCTCTGTACACTGATCACTAAGGTTATTCCAGCCAATAGTGCTTCTTTGTAGTTTTGGATACGGTGGGGATGAATTGGATTCTGTGCTAGGCTTTTATTGCTGTCTGTGTCATTGTTGGGGTGATTCACCTTCTCTAATTGTCATGGTGACCCTACCCACCAACAAAGAGGGTGTAGAGAAATCTACAATCTATAATTGTCTCAGGAACAAAAAATGAGGCGATATCTTCTAATGGGGATGATTGTATCTGGGACAACTATCACAAGTGGGATTTTACTATTGCTGTCAAGAGATTTCCCTTTATGTTCCTCCAAGTGAAAATAAAGGGAAATATCTCCAGTGGTGACATTGACAATGAGCTGCAGGCAAAAATGCAATGCAGCTATAAAACATAATTTAAAATGAACACGAAATTAGGTTTAATTAATTGGAGCAGCCATTCTAGATATTACAAAGAAGGTAATAAACCATTCAAAAATATTACCAATATCTGGAAAAAAAGATGATCCAAAATTGATGGGGGTACAGTAATGTGGACTATCAGCACTGGTTATATGATCACTAGGATTCTGGGGATGTGCAGTCATAGGACTGTAAAGTTAGAGTCAACCCCAAACTAAGGGATTTCAACTGACAGATCCTGAGACCAGATACTCAGGACAATAATTATCTTATGTCATTGGGGTGGTAATGTCTAGACAGAGAAAACTATGTCAACCCAATCTAAGCAAAGATCAATGATGAAGAGGAACTGCAAATTCAAGGTGTCTCCTGGTGGGTGCCTAAATACCTGAACAGTGACTGTGTCTGATAGGCGACAGTCACCGTTTGGATGATACTTTTCCACCTGGTTCAGTCGATCTTTAAAGCTTTTGACTAGCTGAGTGGTTCCTACAAGGCCACCCACGGCCCAAAAATCTCTTGTTAATAGGTTGACTTCCAATCATAATTTTACCTGTTGTCGCTGTGTCCCAGCGAGCAGAGAATCCTGTATTTGTGAAAGAGGAGTCACTTCTAAACTTCACCCAAAGTTTATTACTATGAGATATAATCAGTGGAGGGCTTTCCCTGCAAAACCGACCCAGTAGTGGAGATACTTCATAGCCACCATCCCTGTGAATTAAAAACACGGCAACAGTTTATCATGAGGAACTAGTTTAGAAGCTACTTGACAATGCAGAATATGAATCAGTTTGGGCCTTGTCTATGACCACATGAAAAAAAAAATTGATGCCACTACCGATAATAACTGGTCAGACCACTGTTTTGCTAATTATTTTTAGCTGCAGCACCCTCTCAAGGCACCCCAGTCTAAAATGTAATAGATTTTAAGGGGGACTCAATGGAAAAACATAAAAAAGTGTGGTTCCCCCCTTCACATCAGAGCCCCCCTTCACATCAGGAGTCACTCCCTTTATACCTGAAGCCCCCTTCATATCAGAGTCCTCAGTGACCCTTCATATCAGAGTCCTCAGTGACCCTTCATATCAGAGTCCTCAGTGACCCTTCATATCAGAGTCCTCAGTGACCCTTAGACTTTGGTTGTCCTTTAATCTGCATTGGGAAATGGGCTGTATTGAAAGATTATGCTGTTCTAAGCAAGTGACCATGATGACTGCCATCTGTAAAGAGTTTTTCACTTTTATTGCCTAACATTTACAAACACATCTATCATTGTGACTTGAACTATTGAGAGTCTTGTGACTCCTCTGGCCAACCATTTTAGTTCTGGTTCTAGGTTCACCTCGATCAGCCAAGCCAAGGTAATAATAGAAGTTAAAAAAATGTTTATTTAAACTGCAATTTTGCTTTGGTGATGCCATAGAATACCATTAAAATATACAGTATAAGTAAAGGCCATTACTTACCTGATCTCCACATAGTCTCTGGCGCACCCTGAAAAAGATTCTAGCCTGAAATTGGTGAAGTTAAGCATGATCTGCTTGTTAAATTCGACAGTGATTGTATACACACACTGCCTGTTGATGGGATAGTTATTGGGATAGCTCGGCGAGGTGAATACACCAGTTGCTTCTGTATAGGCCACATCACAGGCTGGAAGATAAAATCATCCAATAATCAATAAAAACAAACAAAAGATACTTATTACAATACAATATACATGTACACTGTAGGCAACATTTAGTCCATAAAGGTGCATGCATAGTTAAAACTATGTATTAGATTAGGCTATGGAAGAGTGAAAACCCTTATTAGTTTATTTTCTGCTGTGCCCTATTGGAGAGATTTCTTTTTATTTCCTATCCCAAAGACACAACAGGAAGTAAGTAGAAATCTCTACAAAGTGAGGGGAATTCCCCTCTTAGACAGGTGTACTGCATATTGCTATTGGTCTAGTATCACAGTAGCTCCAGAACCCTGAGAGTCTCATGTACAGATTCACATATATATTGTCGTCCATTGCTCTTGTGGAGATATTTCCCTCGCTTTGACCATCATTGCTATACTTTGGAAATCAAACTTTTTGTCTTTGGTTAATGGGACTTTGTCCCTGAAGCAGTGAATTTGTTCACGAAATACGTTGGACTCCTTCTGGCCTCCCTTATTAATACAGAAACATGAAAAATAGAATGTTGTGATATTCCTATGTGAGGGGTGCGGTGATGGTGGAATGTGGAATTTAATTTATACATTTATTTTAACAATTTTAATATAATGAATTGTTTTTTTTTTATTTTGACAATAATTGTGCCTTAAACGTCCAAAAAATATCAGGAAAATTTGGGCTTTATAAATACTTTTATAAAAACTCAATTGAGACCCAAGCAACAGAGGCCAGAGGCAGTCATGGAGTGTACAATTGCTTACAGCTTGTCCACAAAATCTGCTTAGCAGAGGAAGGGCATATAGGTATCTGCTCAGAGGAAGGACATATAGGTATCTGCTCAGAGGAAGGACATATAGGTTTCTGCTCAGAGGAAGGACATATATAGGTATCTGCTCAGAGGAAGGACATATAGGTATCTGCTCACTGGAAGGACATATAGGTATCTGCTCAGAGGAAGGACATATAGTATCTGCTCAGAGTAAGGACATATAGTATCTGCTCAGAAGAAGGACATATATGTATCTTCTCAGTTGAAGGACATATAGGTATCTGCTCAGAAGAAGGACATATAGGTATCTGCCCAGAGGAAGGACATATAGGTATCTACTCAGAGGAAGGACATATAGGTATCTGCTCAGAGGAAAGACATATAGGTATCTGCTCAGAGGAAGGACATATAGGTATCTGCTCAGAGGAAGGACATATAGGTATCTGCTCAGAGGAAGGACATATAGGTTTCTGCTCAGAGGAAGGAGATATAGGTATCTGCTCAGAGGAAGGATATATAGGTATCTGCTCAGATGAAGGACATATAGGTATCTGCTCAGAGGAAGGACATATAGGTTTCTGCCCAGAGGAAGGACATATAGGTATCTGCTCAGAGAAAGGACATATAGTATCTGCTCAGTGGAAGGACATATAAGTATCTGCTCAGAGGAAGTACATATAGGTATCTGCTCAGAGGAAGGACATATAGGTATTTGCTCAGAGAAAGGACACATAGTATCTGCTCAGAAGAAGGACATATATGTATCTGCTCAGAGGAAGGACATATAGGTATCTGTTCAAAGGAAGGACATATAGAATCTGCTCAGAGGAAGGACATATAGAATCTGCTCGGAGGAAGGACATATAGAATCTGCTCAGAGGAAGGACATATAGGTATCTGCTCAGAGGAAGGACATATAGGTATCTGCTCAGAAGAAGAACATATGGAATCTGCTCCGGGGAAGGATATGTAGAATCTGCTCAGAAGAAGGACATATAGATATCTGCTCAAAGGAATTATATAGATGGAGGGCATTTCGTATTTCACTTATTTTTATGGCAATTACAAAAGCCTGTGTGCACAACCATGTAGTACACCTAACAGCAATACCAAGGTGTGTGACATCAGTGCATACATATATTACTGCTTTTCTGCTGACTGTGAGATCACATTATGTTACAGGCAGGGCCATCCCTATAATAAGCTAACTTGAGGCGGCATCTCTTTGGGTCACATGGGGGGCGGCAGTGTGCCTGCCGCCCCCTTTCTGGCTAGAGTGTCCCAAGTTGCTCTGGCTGGCATCCCACTCAGCTTCTGGCAACCAGTGAGGACGCTCTGTCCGGAGTCCTGCCCAGCTCCGAGCAACCAGTGATGTCACTTTGTGGGATGTCAGCCAGAGCATGGAGACCCCGCCCTGTTAGCATGTACCCTCTCCCCCCTGAAAAGTCTAGGGACACCCCTGGATACAGGATGTTGGAAGTGTGATTTTCTTATAACAAGATATAAGAGACTTGTGCTTCGCATATACTGTATAGCAGATTCTTGTGTACACCTAGAACAGCTGAATATTATATGAAGTCCAAGCCGATTCCCATTCAACATTCAGTGAGATAAAGCACAAACACATTTATACCAATTGTGTACCCAACTCCAGCTATTTCTCATAAATAACCTCATTCTGCATACTGTCATTAACACGCATATAACTTGTGCTCATAAACATTCTCCATTTTGTCCGCGTTGGGCTTTGGCATGATGTCACTAGCAGAACCCTTGTGGTTCTGCTGCATATTATAAGCCCCATTAAACATTGTGTGCCAGACACAAGTCTAGTCCTATATAGCATGGCTGAACTTCATTAACTGCACAACACTGAACAATTTCATTTAGTAACGCCTGGAAGGTCAGAAGACATATAATGTCATTTTTATGTGAGCTAGACTCAAAAAATTCCTGGTGACCTTTAAGTCTGACTGGGATCGTCCACGCTTCCTCGCTGCCAGGCTTTGCTTAGAGTGGGTGTAAAGATTGTGCATTCCAACCATTTTATCGGCACAAGTGACATTTTTCACTTTCTGTGATAATTTAAAATCAACAAATTGTATTCACTGTCTTTGCTTCAGTGTGATGTTCTATTTTTTTATTCTGTGTCATGAAAAAAACAACGTCCAGCTGGAAATTAACGGAGGATTTCTGCTTATAACCAAGCAGCGGAAAAATGCAAAGGATAAGACTATTTCATGTATATGTTAATGACTAATTGAAACTATAGCAAGATATATGATGAATTAAACAACAGAAATCAATTTGTTACTGTCATCTGCAGCTACCCAGTACAACCTACATTGCTTGCCTCTCCTCTTGTCCTCTTGGCAGCATTAGACATTCTAAAGCAGCCTTTCTCAAGCTTTTAACAGAGAACTGTGGGGTAAGTGTCCTCCCTGTGTGCACTGGCCCTTAAAGGAGATTTGTACAAGTTTTACATAACCAAAATACATCCTACCGACATTGGACAACCATACTGAGTTAGAAGTTGAGTAGTTAAACCTCCATGTTACATTATCTGCAATTAAAGCAAAAAAGGTCCATTGTCTATGCCAGGTCTGCAAACCATTTTGCTGGGTAACCTTTAAATCATTGTAAACAAATGCTTCAATTGGCATTTTATAATGAGCATGTTATATGTAAATACAGTTTGGCACCAATGACAAGTATCGAAATGTAAATCTTAGACTCAGCTTTCATGATCTACCAGGGCTGTGATGCCAATGGAATTATTATGTACAAGCTAAATATCACATATAGTTATTTCATCATATTTAATAAACAAGTATGCTAAAATGTTATAGTATTTAGAGGCATGAGTCATTTCTTTTTATCTGTGATGTTTTTAATGCCCGGATTTTGTACACTCATGTGGCTTTATGGGTTTCTTCTGGTTTCTATTGTTTCTTTCTCCAAACTAAAAATATATTGGTAATGATACCGTAAAGCCCAACTAAAGCTTTGTTAAAAAAATGTTTTTAAAAAAGTAGCCCATATCTTGGTAACAAAAAAAAAAAGAAATATAAGCAGCTTAGGCTGCAATACTCACCCTCTCTAGTGCTATTGTCCATAGTCTTTTAGATGTAATGAAGCCCAGCATTATAAAACCTTGAAGACTGAGGAGATACTATGAGTACAAGGTGTCTAAGACCTGTCCCATGAGGGTCTATCACCACAACACCTACACTCACAGTGTAATGATGCAGAGAATGGTGCTTGTATTACGGCAGTACCTCTCTCTATATCATCGAGGACTGCTCACCCTTGGGAGAAGATCTGAAGACACGACCAGCCTGAAAACCTTCAAAATAGCTAAGAATACTAATGGTGAGGGCATCTGGGGGAGGGGAAGGGGCATGACGGGGGAGCCTTCAGACCCCAGGTTGGGCTTCATATGAATATGGTGGGGACATTACATGACTATAAAATGTATTTCACAACTCTATTCAAATACTATTATTATTATTACTATTATTATTATTCTCAACAGGGCCATCCCTAAATGAGGCATCCTGAGGCTCATTGGGTTACCTAAGAACTCTTAGCAACCTGTGGCGGTCTGTCTGACATTCCGCTCAGTTCACTGATGTCACTGGTTGCCATGTGCTGAGCCGGACACTCTGGATGGCTTTCCACCCAGCTCCTGGCAACCAGTGACATCAGTGAGCTGGGCGGGACGCCAGACAGAGCCGGACCCAGAGGTAGCAGCAGTCAACCCCAGTAACATTCAGCATCAAACATTCCCCCTTCTAGCTACGTTCATCATTAGCACACACACCCCCTCCCTGGCCTCAGGCGGCAAATACTGTAGGGGCATCCCTGATTATTATTATTATTAAAAATATTAATCATCAATAAAAACCTGACTGCGGTTTTATTAATTCCCTACTTAAAAGAAAAGTTTTGGTTATAGGTTAGGTACACTTTAACATTTCATTTTGCCTTTATTGTAGTATGCGTTTGGTTTTTAATCAGTGCTGAATAGAAGTTGTTTTAGCCTTCAGTGGTCCAGCCTTGGCTGGCAGGGAACCCAGTAAATGTGGGAACCAGACTGCAACTGTTCCACCTCCTCATTCCTAATTCCATCTCCTCTGTTAACTCCTTGTGCCGGAATCCAGCCTGACCATCACACATCTGACTCACTTCAGATTTATGTCCTCCGATGAACGATTCACTACTACAAATCATGTCACGGAAAAAGATACAAAGACTAGTCAGACGTATTACATTTTGGGTAAAATAAATTTACGTTTCCGAACTGATCAATGTTAGCAGCTGCTGTTTTCTTAGTTCAAACAGGAAAATTAAAACTTTAGGTTAGCTATAAGCAACACATTCCTCTTTCCTTTTTTAAAATAATGCAGCCAAACTGTATGTAAAGAGGTTATGTACTGTGGAAGGCATGTCAAAGGACGAGTCACCAGTTTTAACTCTTATCTTCCTGCAGATAATCGTTTTTCCATTACTAACTTACCATGCCTTGTTGTGCACTGTGTCTGTGTGTGGAGATGGGCATCTTGGTAGATTAATACAGATTTGCTTCTTCATGTGAGACCTGTACCCCCCAATCCCCATAGACTGTGATCTAATGACTATTGGGGTAATGATCAAAGAACAGTAGGAGAAGTGGAGGAAGCAAAGATCAACAGAACGAATAAAGCCAAAAGCAGGGAGATCTTTTCACTGCAGGTACAGTTTTCTATCCAGCACGAAAAACAGTGAGCAGCACATTAGTGACATCACCAATCTCACACCATATCTGTTGAGACTAGCAGTCAGATGCAGCAGTGCCTTAGTTCAGCGCTAGGCAAACTCCCACCCTCCAGCTGTGGTGCAACTACTTGAGACACAGATGCATGTAGTTTCACCACAGTTGGAGGACTGGAGTCATGCCTTAGATAGGTACTGCTTTGGTAAAATTCACATATTAACATGGTAAAGCTCTACATTTGAGTTCAGGGCTACTTTATAGGAAAATGCATCTGGATTGTTTTTTTTTTAATGTTATATTTTTTAAATGAATACATTTCCAACCAGTGCTTTACATTTGCTTTTGTACTATTTACATAAAATATTTACAAATTCCACAGGATTCCTAAAGCATTGAAGAAATCAAGGGCTGTTTTCTTCTAACCTCTTCATATGAAGTGTTATATAAACACAGAAAAAGGGAGGGACAAGGAAGTCCCTGCTCTGACTCACTTGGTTGTGTGTCAACTGCAGCTTGAACTATTGAGCTCTGTAAACAACAAACGTTTGTTCAGTGAAGCAACAAAGTATACAGATGCGTCCCCTGCACTCCTTTCAGCGTTTACAACCGGTAGAAGATGTGTGCTCATTGTGATGAACATGGATGGCGCGTTGTATGTTCAAGCTTGAGAAAGTGGAAGATCACCAGCACTCCTCTTTAAATCGTCGTGTACATTTATTGATATATAGCATCACATATAACAGATTGCCAACGTTTCGGGGCCATGCAGGGTCCCTTCATCAGGGCAACATTGTGTCACTATGTCACCCTGATGAAGGCACCCTGCGTGGCCCCGAAAAATTGATATATTTGATATATGTGACGCTGTATATGAATAAATGTACACAACGATTTAAAACAATAAGATTTGAGTGCTGGTGATCGACTTCCACTTTCTCATGTTCAGTGAAGCAGGTAAGAATAGTTTGGCAAATATCTGAAATGGAGCTCTTTAGATCTCCACATATGAAGCAGAGATCTGTTGGGCAAATTGGAACATTATCACATGTCACATACTGTATTTTAATGACCAATTTCCATTTAAATATGTGACACTATAGAATAATGCTCCATGCGGTCGAGAACAAATAACAATGCTTTGAGTCTGGACTCTGGATATTTTTCTATCTTGCAGCACTGAGGTTCCCTAGATCAAATCCCGGTCAGGACACTATCTGCAAGTAGTTTGCATGTTCTCCCTGTGTCGTGTGGGTTTCCTCTGAGTGCTCCGATTTTCTCCCACACTCCAAAGACATGCTGGTAGGTTGATTGGCTCCTGTCTAAATCAGCCCCATATCTATGCATGTGAGATAACGATCTTAGATTGTAAGCTCCTTGAGGGTAGAGACTGATGTGAATGTGCAATTATGTAAAGTGCTGCAAAATTTGTCAGCGCTACAAACAGTAAATACCAATAATAATAATAAAGGACCATAGCCACATGATGCTGACTTCCTACTATGCAACTGCTAAATGCCTGTCTGTTATGGTGGTCCAGTGGCTTCAGTTGTAATTTTGCTCCGCCGCACCTCCCAAGACCTCCTGCTCTCTAGCTCCCTCATCACCTCCTTCCATGCTCACCTCCAGGACTTCTCCAGAGCCTCTCCCGTCCTCTGGAACTCCCTACCCCAACCTGTCCAAACATCTCCAACTCTATCTGCCTTTGGGCAATCCCTGAAAACTCACCTCTTCAGGGAAGCCTATCCCACCTCCTCCTCAAAACCATACATCTACTCCTTCAGCCAATCATCCCTCACAGTTATTACCTTGCCCCTACTTGTAGATTGTAAGCTTTCATGAGCAGGGTCCTCCAATTCTTTTGTATGTCATTATATTGTAATTGTACTGTCTCCCCATATGTTGTACAGTGCTGTGCAAACTGTCGGCGCTATAGAATTCCTGTATTATAATTATAATAATTAGGGATGCACTGATACCGATACCAGTATCGGTCCTGATGCCGAGTATGTGGGCGAGTGCTCATACTCGCCCAAATGCTCCGATGCCTAGCCCGATACTCCCGGTATCAGGAAGCCGGGCAGCGTGTAATGACTCGTGACGAGGGAGCATGGAGCCGGCTTTCGGCCAATCAGGAAGCCGGGCAGCGTGTAATGACTCGTGACGAGGGAGCATGGAGCCGGCTTTCGGCCAATCAGGAAGCCGGGCAGCGTGTAATGACTCGTGACGAGGGAGCATGGAGTCATTACACAGCGGCCGGCTTCCTGATTGGCCAGAAAGCCGTCTCCATGTTTTCTCGTCACCTGGTGACAAGAAGCATGGAGATGGCTTCCCTGCTAATAGGGGAGACGGGAGGCAAGTCTTTACATGCCGCCTGGCTTCCCGGCTAATCAGGAAGCCAGGTGGCGAGTCATTACACGCTGCTTGGCTTCCTTAATGTGACTTCCGGTACTCGGTATTCGGGTATTGGCGAGTACCGAAAAAAAATATCGATACTCGTACTTGATACCGAAATACCGGTATCGGTGCATCCCTAATAATAATAATAATTCACTGACCTGGAACAAATCTACATATTAGGAGTTCTCAGCTTGCCCTGAATTCACTTCCTGCATTCTCCATAAATATTGAAGCCAATGGACTATTATGAATGCACTGGTTCAGGCAACCAGCATTTTCAGAATTAAGTCACCAATACAAAATACATACAGGTGAAACTCGAATAATTAGAATATTGTGCAAAGTTCATTTATTTCACTAATGCAACTTAAAAGGTGAAACTAATATATGAGATAGACTCATTACATGCAAAGCAAGATAATTCAAGCCGTGATTTGTCATAATTGTGATGATTATGGCTTACAGCTCATGAAAACCCCAAGAACCCCAAATCCACAACCTCAAAAAAGTAGATTATTACATGCAATCAATAAAACAAGGATTGTACATAGAACAATATCGGATCTCTGAAAAGTACAAGCATGCATTTGTACTCAGTACTTGGTTTGGGCCCCTTTTGCAGCACTTACTGCAATTACTTTTGCACGATATTCTAATTATTCGAGTTTCACCTGTATATAGCTGCATATGAGATTTCTGTAATAAACTTTTGTTATTGCTTTTAAAGTGATAGCAATCCACAGCAACTGAATAATTAAAAACAAAACATGCAGAAAACATACAGGCGTTGTACATAACAGCCAATCAGATTGCAGCTATTAGTTTTTACTCTTCTGTGCTCTAATTGGTCACTGTGAAGAATAATTCTATTTTTCCTTTTCAACTGTTTATATATTATTTATACCCACATTTTTTTACTAGTATTATATAAATTGCAATGGAAAATGAACGCTTGTACATTTTTTTTGCATTCACCACGATGACTCATTTAACGGAAATCTAAATTACAGCGTACACAGATTCCGCTATGTTTCTTTGATATATTTTTTTTCCACAGCGGGAATCGTTCCCAGAGTCCTAGTTAAATGAAGAACAGTCAGTGTTTTATTTTAGGCTGGGCAGGTTTGCAAAAAAGTAACAGAATCCATATTTCTGCATAGCTACATGACCGCAGGCATGGAGAACCCAGGTCCCTAGAAGCCAGCGGCTGGCACACACTCGCAGCAAAGGCTTTTGGGTCCGCAGTGGATAAGAACGCAACTGAGCACAAAGACCCTTTACAAGGATTGTGCTGCTGATGCCAGAATCAAAGAGCCCCATCGGTTGAACAGCTTGGGCCTGATGTTGGTCAGATGTGCTTGACACACAAACAATAGTGATAGTTGTGGCTTACCTGTAGATGCGTTGATTGACACATAACTAGCAGAAAAGCCTTCAGCAGTTATGCTGGAATCAGTAACAAAGAGCAGAACCATCTGATTATCACTGCTGGTTATTGATGGAGGGATGGACCTTCCACAGTATCTGTAATATATAAAGATAAATCAATTGTGCCAGATAACAAAGAGGATCTAATTTAGGGAAAAGTGACAGTGTCTTTGCAAAGGGGCTTGCACCAGGCCCACTAATACTCACCTTGCCATTGCTCCTCATTTCTCTTTGGCAGCTGGTGACAACACCCTGGGCTTCCAGGTATAGGAGAGCATGTGACCTCCTGCTATGTGACAGTGTAGGGGTCCAGCACATGACCAAGGGTCCAGTCCACATGACCAAGGGAGAGACGTCGCAGCACCCTCTAATGTCCAACACCAAGGGCACTGGGGACTTTAGCGTCGGCTGTGTTGGAGGTAGGAGTGCTAGGGGATTGCTGGCAAACATGAGTAACAGTGGGTCACGAAGCCCTTTTGAAAAGACATTATCATTTCATCATGAATGGGCAAGGTGACAGTGTCTCTTTAAATTGGACCTATAATTAAAATCTAAAGTCAAGCTATCTAACAGGAATTTACTAGCACACAGTGAGGTAATAAGTAAAAGAAATGTACTTTTAGCATATCATTTTTGGTTAAAAGAAGAAGAACCATGCATGTGACAGGGCCTATATATCATTCTTCTAGACACCCAGGCACTTATAAGGAATTTACATGACAGGAGGAATATTCTCCCCACTTGTTACTATGATCAATGGATTGCACTGGGGGCATGGTCTAGGAATGCCCTCAAGGAGCATACGATCAAGGGTTCCTATCTGATATGCACACATACAGTACACACCGCTACATACTAGCTTCAATTAACCTACCAGCATGTGTATGGAGTGTAGGAGGAAACTGGTGTACCCGGAGGAAATCCACACAAGCACAGGGAGAACATGCAAACTCCACTTGCCCCACACTATTGGAAGAATAGGGTTGCCCAAGTTTAGGTCCATTTCAAAACCCTGCTGCTGAAATTGCTGATGTTGTAAAGTGTTGAACCAAGTTCTATAGTTGATAATTATAGCTTTTACTGGTAAACTGAATAAGTTAAAATTGCAAGCTTTCGGGACAGAAAAGGTCTCAGGTAACCCATTCAGCTAGCCAATAAAGGCATTTTCCAAAATCATTGTCATAAGACATGCATTTGCTAAATTTGCGGTTTGTTAAACATTTATCAAATGGTGATTTTGTTATGGGATTGGTGCATGTTTTTGGTAGGTTCTGAGAGTTCAACCACATAACAGGTTCTTAATATCCCTTGGGCACTCTACTGGTGAGATCTTTGCATTGAGTTCCCGAGTCTGCACAACTGATTTGGCCACTATGAGGGTTTCCCACTCTCCCTGCTGGATTTTAATTTATTTTATATTACGGAGAATAAAACAAGAGGGGTTGCAAAACACAATGGTAGGTGAGAACACCTAACATTTCCAGTTTTACAAGAGCAGATCTGGGAATCATGATAAGGAGAGCTCACTGTTGGAGTATCCAATACATATACATTAGGGATGTCCCGATACCACTTTTTCAAGACCAAGAAAAAGTACAAGTACTTCGCCTCATGTACTTGCCGATACCAATTGCCGATACTTTTTCTTAAAGGGACAAAAAACAATACAGACTAATGATTTTAGGCCAATTTCCTTATGATTATGAAGAACTTTAATTTAAGACTGATTTATAACAATAAAACATTTGTATTTGCTTTCACACAGCTGTAGTAAAACTACAAACCCGATCATGCATCTGCCTCTGGGATCATTTAACATATTCATGTTTTCAACCGCGATCTGCCCGGTCATCGTGCACGAAACCGAGCAGATGGCTGGGTGGTCACGGAAGATGGCTGGGTGGTCACGGAAGTGAAAATGCCCTGTATCGGGCCCGATACCGAAGCTAGCATCGGTATCGGGACATCCCTAATATACATACCTCCCAACTGTCCCTCATTTGGAACCAAATCCCTCTGTCAATCTTTCCTCCTCAGATTGTCCTTCTTTTTGGTCTGATGTACAGATATCTATGAAAAGGTTCTATTTAACTACCAAAAGTGTTATTTTGCAGTAAAACATTTATCCTATCTCTTAATTATCTTGTTTACTAAAAGCCAGTTAAAAAAGGAAAAGAAATGGTTAAAAAAAACAATTCTGGGTATAACCGATAATTTTTGGCATATAAATTCTTAATGGTTTGCATAACTGGGGGCATGGCAGGGGTGTGTCCATTGCCTATATATATAACTGGGGGCATGTCCGTTGCCTATATATAACTGGGTGCATGGCAGGCCTGTGTCCATTGCCTGAATACATTATGCTGGAAGGTGTCCCTCTTTCACATCTCAGAAAGTCGGGAGATATGCATATAAGAAGCCTGATGCCGGCTCTGAATATCAGACTCAGGCTTGACCTCTTAAGACCACAAAAAATGTCCAAAAAATATTGTAAACTCACCTTCCAATTTTGTTCCCGGTTGCATTCATTGCATTGTCGTATATCTCTAGATAATCTCCATGACAGGCGTACGTCTGCTCCAGGTTGAATGTAGTGAACGTTAACTGTATCAGATTGCCTGATGGCACTGAGATGAGCCACGTGCAGTTGAGACCATGTGGGTACACAGCAGGGTAAATGGGACTTGATATTGTTCCCTCAGGGGTGGTAAGTGTTCCTCCGCAACCTAGACAGAAACAGCACACACTTATCATGAACTGTAAAAGGGAAAAGAGAGTAACTGTTGCTTTCATACAGTATGGGAGACAAATATTTTCTCAGGCAAACCAATATTTATAGAAATACAGTGCTAAGAGAGCTGTTAAGTCACTATTTACAATGCACTAAACTAAGAAACATTAATATTGATTGGTTAATGTGTACGGAACTTAGCAAGCTAATTAGGACAGAACTTCGATCTAAAGAAAAATGTTTCTATGGTTATTGACTTCATAGATAGCTTTGCAGGCAAAATCCACTATGGTTGGTCACATGACAATGAGGATTTGCCACCACTACTTATGGGACAAAGTGAGTACATGCTGCAGAATCGTTCAGTTTAGTGTTAGGCTTTAGTTAGGGGGTTAAGTTAGTGTTAGGGTCAAAGATAGAGAATTACTTTAGCTTTTAGGAATACAGCTTGGGTTTGGTTTTAGAGGGTCAGTTTACATTTAAAGCCCCCCCTGGCTAGAACCTCAGTTGGGTTTTATGTACTGTCCCCATTAAGAAGACTTTCCCTTTACTTCTTTAACTATGTAACACTCATACCATAGACAGGAAGTGAGAAGGAATCTCCATAATGGAGACGCAAAAACCTCTTCCGCACTGTAGAATAATTTTTTTGTTTTTATTGCTGTTTCTGTCACCACTGGAGACATTTCTAGCTGTGCATGCCTGCGCAATGTATTCTCCAGCAGGGGAGCATGTGAGAGGGTGACAACCTAAAAGCACAACTGGGAGACATTTGCTACCCTAAACAGGAAGTGTCTGCACAAGGACCTCCATGCCAGGATCACCAGGTATTCTTTTAAGGAAATCTGCAGATTTATGAATAACAGCTTTTGGAATTACATTGACACGTGTAAGCTTACATGAGATGCTAGTGATTGGATATTGATCTACTTTAAGTATTAGGTGCTGGTTTGTTGTTAGTGATACTTTTAGGCTTTGGGACAGATAGGGAAGCCTTAGTTCTTAACTTACTTTCAATGCCCCTGTTCCAAAGAATGATAACACTGGGCTCCCAACACTTAAACCTTTCATACAGCTAATAGCAGAGCTGCTCCGATGTGTACATATATTCTTTTTTTAATGATTTTGTCTCAGTTTCTGCATTGAGAAGAACTTTTAGCACGCAAATTATCTGATCTATAAAGCCATATATTAATATATATGTAGCACAATGTCTTTAACCATTGTTTGTTCCTTAGCATGCATGATGTATAATGAGAATATTGGAGCAATGTGGAGAATGTAACTGACCAACAGACTGGACTATCTCATTTGCAAACAGAAGACAGCAGCCCACTATAATCCTATAATGCAATAAACTTTGCAGCTCACAGGATATCCCACTGGACCTCCTCCCGGTGACTTGTTTCACTTCGGAGAGTTTAACCTTAGAAACCCTACAGTTAAACGTCTCTCTTTCAAATGCGTCAGTAAGAGTGTTTAGAAGTAAACTGATGGAGGCGAAGTTGCAGGAGAGCCAGCAGATGAGGAATGAGAGGAACACGTGTGCCTTGAGCAGAATATGGTCCTGGAATGGTTGCAACACTGAATTAGTTTAAAATAAGGCTTGTAAAGCTGCGTCAAGGTAAAAGATAATCTTCAGCTGCTGATTTCAGCCAGCCCAGGCAGCAACTTCTCGTGAATGGACCACAGAATAAAGCCTCAGAAGACAATCCCAAGGAGAAATAGAGTTCAGATACAGAATACATCTTATGTGACTTACCTCAATACCCGACTATATGTGAAAGAAACATGACTATATGAGGACAACACTAAAATAAAAAATGGAATATGCTTACCTTCAACTAGTGAGCTATACGAGGCTAAAAAGCCATGATTTATAGTGGAAGCATCAGTTACAAACTTGACATACAAGCTTCTCTGGGTTGAATAGGCTGGTGGAGGAACATCTGGGCCGCAGTATTTTCCAATCAAAGGAGAGTCTAGCGATGGCCCATCTCTGACCTGTAGAAATATGTGTTTGAGGGACATCTTCATAGATATATATAAAAAAACACTTACTGTATAAATTCCTTCAAACCACAAGACGTTATTTTTCTTTTTGGCTGGCATAGCTAATCTAACTTGAACCTGTCAAAATGGTCATAAAGCCCAACTCCAGCTAGAATTCTTAGCCAGTCTGTAAACATTTTAGACCCTCTGTAATATCATGTCTGGAATAAAGGCTCCAAACATTCCACTCTACAAATAAAAATGCCTTTATAGGAATCTGGGTCCCAGCTGGATAGATTATGTTCACTTTCTGTTCCAGTAGTACGACAGGAAGGGAAGGGAAATGTATCTAATGTGAACACATATAGCAATAACTTTAGACAGAGGTTCTAACTCTTCCCCATTCTATCTAAATTGAAAAATTTTGGTCAGTGTTCTTTTTTAAATTGGGATTGCTGCCCTGGAAGTTGATTAATGTGATACTTTGACACAAGGCCCAAGTTATAAAGCAGCAGTATGGTCTTACCACGGCCATACCGCTGCTTTTTTTTAAAAATGCAAATGTATAAATTATTATTATTATACAGGATTTATATAGCGCCAACAGTTTGTGCAGCGCTTTATAATATAAGGAAGACATTACAATCACAATACAATTCAAGACAATATGGTAAAGAGGGCCCTGTCCCTGAGGGCATAGTGGTGAGCTTTACAGTTGTGCTTAGTGCTCCAATTCCTAAATGGTAAAGGTTTGCTGTACAAATTAATTTAGTTTAGAAGGACAAAAAAGACTGGGTGGAAAGCCCGGCATGTGACCCCAGCTTTTTCTCAAATCACAGGGTTCTTTCTGATGCGTTAAGCAGATAGAACTCTGTAGGAAATTCCAGGCACCGCACAGCTGCCTGCATTTTATGAATGGTCCGTGAATGGGTGTGGAGTAACTTTGTGGTGTTCAGCAGAATCTGCTCTCCACTATATTGCCCCTTAGAAGATGGGGCGAGCTCAATCTAGGCCTCGTTATTGATGTTCTCCACTAGAACAGTAGTTGTATCCCTAGGGTTCCTCACTTATATCAATTTCGATTTTTGGAGGTGGTGAATTGTGTTACATGGAGTTAATTCAGCTCCAAAGAGCATGTTTCTCCAAAGAGATCAAATGAGATCAAATAAGTGTGCAGGTCTAAGGAGAAAGGTTGTTGTGCCAACAGAGGTAGCTTAGTATCAAATACAGTGTGTCTAGCTAAATTGAGTGGACTTACCTCAACATAATTAGAGTTGCACAGTGTACCCGTTAGGAGGCCGAAGGAGTCAAAGCTAAACAGAACCACTTCTCCATCTGGCTGAGTGATGATCCATTCACAGGTCCTCTCTCGGTAGTAAGGATTTGGGTAGTGTGGAGTCCGAATGGTTCCAGCACCAGACAGAGCTCCTCCACATGCTGAAGAACCAAAGAATGTTTATGTCAAATGGCGTCAATGCTCTCATTAAAAAAAGACAACTGTACCTTGGGTACAAATAATGCGTGCTGACCAGATGAACAAATACTTTCCTCCTTGATCCAGAGATCTCTCCTGTGCAGCCCTTTGTACCTCCAACAGCTATTTCTAGACATTTTAAGCAAAAATGTTCCCACCGTGTCTTCTAAGCTCCACGGCCACATTCATTCCTAATGGGTAAGCCGTACTTATGGTGGCCTTCAGCAGTCCAGCACTAAGAAGCAGATACAGTATTTTCAGTGGAAAGGCAGTACAGCTCCAAGCAGGGCTGCACAGTGTAGATCACTGAATTGAGGAGGAAGGTAAGTATTTGTCCAGGTGAGCAGCACTCAGGAGTTTGGGGGTAAATAATTATAGAACAGTTGTACAAAAGGTATAGTTCTCCTATTCACAGAGGTGTGATAAAAGATAAACAAAATTCATTAATTTAACTTGTTAAATATTATATAAAATAAAGACTGAACTACAGACATATAAAATGTATATATATGACACATATGTATGTTAACTGTATATTTAGCTGTTGGCCTTGTATTTGGCATGAAAATAAAGTAGCCCGCTTCACAAAATATGGGCTCTTATAAGCCTGTGAAGGTTCTCATTCGTCCAGGTCATGGTATATCTGTAAAAAAAAAGTCAAGGACTCTGGACTTGCTGTATTTTTCTTGAAGATGTTTAACTGGACATCCGACCAGCTTTCTCAATTCACTCTGAATTGAAAAAGCTGGCCGAAATGTCCAGTGAAACACCTTCAAGAAAAATACAGCAAGTCCAGTTGCCTTGACTTGTTTTTTACACATATGGGCTCTTATAGCTTTAGCCGATCTAAAAATTATATTTCTGTTTTGAGTTGGGGCTTGGGGGTTACATTGCTCACCATTTTCTTACAGTTTTTGAAATCTCCAGCTTCTGCATTTAATTTCCCACCTCCAACCACCTGCCACAACTATTACAAGGATGTTTCCCTCTCCATTTTGGACTGACCCTACAACATACTCACCAACTTGATAGAAAGCTCGGAAACCCGATGCTGTGGCTGAGGCATCTGACTTGAATTTCACCCACAGTGTGTTGGAGCTTGACGTTATGACAGCAGGAATTGTTTTGTTACAGTATCTGCCAATCAGCGGTGCCGTCTCTGAACCTCCATCTCTAATCTACACAAAAGAAGAATATATTATCTGTAAATATACATACTCTCATTTCATTTTTTCAAAGAAATGTTTAATTCAAATTCAGACAGCAAACTTTGTAACCCAGCAGAGACCTTGTTTCTGAGGTGTTTATAATGCAATGGTTCTCTCATGGGGGCTTTTCATACCATGAACAGGTGTACATTTAAAGTGCCACTAAACCGAGGAGATAAATCTTAAAAATACATTCAAGTACCTTAACTATTAAAAAATGGATCTTATTTGTGTATCACTCAGCTGTAGATCCTCAAACCATCTCTGAATTCATGCTGACACTCTCCTTCCTTCTGGAGGTTTTTTGTTTCCCATGGTCCCTATGTGTGTTGTAAAGTTGCCCAACGCTCCAAGCTCGCTCCTGGATTGCAACATCACTACAAATTAGTAAACTAAACATAAGATTGTAGTCCATCACAGGAGTGAGCTTGGAGTGGTGGCTACTTTACAACACACACAAGGACCATGGAAAACAAAAAACCTTCAGAAGAAAGGACAGTGCCAGCATGAATTCAGAGATGATTTGAGGATCTACAGCCGAGTGATAGATAAATAAGATACATAAATAAGATAAGATACAAGAGTAGTGTCACTTCAACTTTTTTCATCACTGCGGTCAAAATTGATCATCAATGTGACCACATCAACTGTTAGAAGGAACATTCTGAGAACAAATTTTCTCAAACTAAATTCTACTGGTGTATGTCCAGCTGTAAGGGGTTGATTAAGAAAACTTCTGCCCAGCCATATGCCGGGCGAATGCCATCAGCACAGAATTTCCACTGCTAGATAAAGCCAAGAAGCATAAGAGTTACCAAAAATCACTCTGACCCTCAACCTTTACCTAGTTATTCACCTTATCAGGACATCTAATCATGATCAACCCTTAAAGCGTGTCTTCAGCCAAAGCTATTATTCGTTTTTCTTAGCCTGGGGAAGAGTTAGAACCGCTCTATGTGTGCTCTAATAATTGAACTGAATAATTGCCAGGACAGGAAATTATGGGAAGTCTCTCCAGCTGGAATACAGACACAAAGCCATGTTTAGTATGTGTATGAGGGTGCTTTGATTTGATTAAAGCCTGAACTTAATTCAGTATGTAAGAAGGAATGTCTAGAAGTGTTATTTGCACCCATCAAATTTATCTTTTGCCTTGAAAAATTGAAGTGCAAGTCCTAAGCCTAGGCAGACCTGTAGTTGTAGAACTGCAGTGTGAGATCATCTAAGGCACTCCTGCCTTTAACAACTAGTCTCACATGCTTTAGAGTGAGATTTTTTGATGTCACTATTATCCTGCTCACTGTTCTTCTTGCTACAGAGGAAGCTGTACCTGGTAACCTTCTGCTTCTGCTTCATCTGTGATTTCTACATTTCAACTATTGCTTCTTGATCATTACCCCACCAGTCATTAGGTGGGACAGTTCTGACATTGGGAAGCCAAACCCTGCCTTTACCAAGATGGCTGCCTTCACACGGTGCTAAACAAAATGCATGGTAAATGAGTAATGGGGAAAATATCAGCTGAAGTGAGCCTACAGTCAATACTGGTGACCAGTCCTTTATCCCCTGCTAGCCTTATTTTTTGTTACAGCTTCCACATTACAATTTTTCTTTTCAAAGACCCAAATGCCCATAATACCTCAATAATTGTCAGGGAACAGCCACTACTGCTCTGTAAATCCATATGGGTAAATCTGAGGTTGATTTGTTCATCACGTCCTTGTGTGATAATGTAAATACATTGCTTGTCTCCTGTGTAAGCATTTGGCCATGATGGAGATGTGATGAAACCTTCAGTATCTGTGAGGTTTCCTCCACACGTAGCACCAGCTGAAACACACAGAATATAAAATACAGGCACATTACCTAATCATGTATCTCTTATCTATGTAATCATTTTTTAAGAAAACAAACAAAACCATACAGCTGTTCCATTCTAGTATGAGTTACCGATTAAGGCATCACCTAATGCCTCTGAATAACAAAATGCAAGTGATATAAGCACCTCACAACCACACTGAAAATCCATCTTTTATTTCCATCAACAGATCAAAAACATTTACAGTCATAGATAAACCCTAAGGTAAAAACATCTACGCGTTTCGATTCTAACGTGGTCTTTTATCAGCCCATAATTTTTTTAGCTGCAATATATTCTACAGCATTTTACAGAGCATACGCAAACTTTTTGGCTATCTTCAGGAGTTTTTAATTTAAAGCCCAACAACAACCCAAACTTTTTATTTCATTTTGAATAGAGAGGGGAAGGGTTAGTGCAACGGGGAAGTGAGCGGGGAAGTTTTTATGGCAACTCTCACCCTATTGAGGAGATCTCTCCTCACTTCCCATCAAAACAAAAGTTTGTCTCCAAGAAGGACACAGAGAAGAACAAAAACACATTTTTAGCAGAGTGAGTGAGGATCAAAACTGCCTGTCCTAGTGATAACCTCTTCCACCAACTCCACTGCCCCCCCCCCTTTCCATTTATTGTTTGGGCATCACAAGAACGGGAAGCAAGGGAAAGCCTACACCAGTCTGTGATGCCATTGGGGATATTTTTCCCCACTATTCACCCTCATCCTAAACTTCACACGTTTCACTTTTATTAAAAATACCCCTCCCTATACACAAACACACAGACACAATCAAATTCTAGGACCAGTTTTGTACAGAGGACAACTAGCCTACTATACATTCTTGTGGGAGGAAATTGGAGCTCCCAGAAGAAGCCCATGAGGACATGGGAAGCACGGACAGCATTTTATGGAGACAGAATTTTTTACAGGTGTCCACACAACAATAACATATGCTACAATGCTCATACTCACAGGATGACGTTATGTAGGTGATGTGAAATCCTCTGTCTGTTAATGTGCTGTCAGAATGGAAGTGAATCCAGGCATATGGGCCTGATGTCTGGATAGGGGCAGGTGACATGGTGCTGCAGTATTTATCAAGAAGAGTATCTTGGGACAGGAGGCCATCTCGAATCTATTGCAAAGAAAATACAATTTAACAAATCAGAAACCATCTATATCTACAGGGAGCAATTGTGAAAACTCTTGGCAGTGCACCTAAAGAGGACTTTTAAGGATACCTTTAATCATCATGCTGTATGGGAAACACTGCAAAAGTGTAAACGCACTTCTGACTCGTAAGGATTTACTATCTTATAGGTAACATTTAGAAATGGTAATTCTGCCTAAGCAATACCTTAAAAATCTATATAAAAAAGGCTGGAAATCTTCCTTGAAAAATAGCAGTGTACTCCCTGTGCCTATGCACTCCTATCCTCTAACGGTCTAACCTGTATATCTGCAATGTAAGATCATGTACTATGACACTGACTGCCAGTCTATCCAGATTTGGAGTGAGATTTGCTGATTTTATTAATGTACTGCTGATTGTTTTCCATGCTGTAGAGGAAGTTCTACCTGAGGACCTGCAGTGAAAGGATCTACCTGCTTCTGCTGCATTCATTCTGTGACTATGTGCTTTCTCTACCTCTCCTGCTGTTACTTGATCATTACCCCACCAGTTATCAAATCACTATTCATCAGATCACCAGTTATCAGATCACCAGTCATCAAACCACCAGTCATCAGACCACCAGTCATCAGATCACCAATCATAATTGGGACAACTCTGACATGAAGCAGCAAAACCCTGCTTCTTAACCTCCAGACAGAGATGGTACAAAGCAAGGTATGGTAACAAGTAATGGGGAAAAGATCAGCTGCTGGGAGACTACAGACAAAACTGGCAACTAGACTTCTGCTTGCGCTTTTTTGGGCACAGCTTCCACGGTTCAGGTTCTCTTTAAGTTGGTCGAAATGCGTGCTAGAAGACTTCAAACTGTACCATCATTGTTCAATTTGTATAAAAACTACTGCACAAGAATATTTATCTCCTGCACCATTAAGACAGAGTTAGGTTCTGTCTCAGATGAGTCATTATTCACTGCAAGCAGCCCCACACAGATTGTGCAGGTTTCTTCTTCAGGAATCTGCATTTGTAAGGATCTGTATGTTCCCTTTTAAGATGTTGTAACAGTACAGCCTTTCCTCTGCGAAATAGCAGTGTGTATGTGAAAAGGACTCACTTGTATTCTGACCCTGTCAGATTAGAAATATCAGGCTGTAAAGTCCCCATGAAAACTGACCTGTCTGGTGAGTTCAGAGCTGATGATTGTTTGGGTTCTTGGAAAAAAGATAAATAAAACTGTCAAATCAGCATCTCTTATCAGACTTGAGCTCAGGAAGGAGATATAATTACTTTACAGCCTGATGATTATGCGCTGATAGAGTGAGGAAACAAGTAAATAATCAAAAATAGAGTAATCACTAAGAGGTAAATTGGATTATTATAACATTTTAAGAGAAAAGACTCAGATTATTACATACTGCATGCCCTTTTTGACTGTTTTTGTTTAAAAGGTTACCTGTATTATACTTCCAAAATGGCTCTTACACCCATGAAGAATGCAGGATTGCCACATATACTCTCCCCTTACATATCCTAGCCCACTTCCATCTATGAAACATCTAAGTAAATATTGCAGGTTGTGGTGTTTCCTGAAGGGTTCCTCCTAGAGTGGGTCTTCTCAAAGTCAATAAGTGCATAAAGATAAATGGGTATTGTTCAGTACAACTTACAAGTGTATCTAAAGCCAAACCTTTTTTTCACTTTTGCATGGAAATGGGGAGATGTACCCCTTTTTTGTGCTGGTGACAGCAAATCCAAAATTATGAGTAGTCACTCCAATAAGAACAGCATGGAAATGTTCCGGTAAGAATAGTCATTCTGGTGTCTAATTAGGGATTCCACTTATTTTGGAGAGATTTACTCTCAGTTGTATCTGTGGAGGAGGAAGTAAAGATAATTCTTCCAAGTGGGACATAGATGGCAAAATAACCTGACGGGGTGCTATCCAAAATTAAAAGGACAACAGTTTTGGCTTTAGATGTACATCATTTTTTTGTTTTTTTTAAGTGTATACAGGACAATTTGAACCAAGCTGTACCTCCAAATAATCATTTTCACATTTGGCATGATGTTCGAGATTCAGCGTTCCAAAGGTAAATGTGATATAAAGCCCTGGGTCAGCAGAAATTGTCCAGTAGCAGTCTCGATTAGGAGGATAATTACCAGGGTAACCAGGAGATAGAATGGACCCGTAAGGATCTGACAGGTGACCTCCGCACTCTAAATAAAAATAGAATATTATTTCAGGCAAATAGTTTCCTCAATCACTTTTGGTTTTTCTTTAAAATGTAACTAGTCTTTTGATTTAAATCAACTAAAAACATTACATTTCAAGTGCAAATTCTTGCAGTTCACTTCCTTGGAAAGCAATCTCACCCAGAACAGAAGGCTGTCCCCTACCAAAATGTTGTAGACGAGGACCTTTGCTCTTTGTGTGGAAGCAGTGACCTCTCTGCAGCAATCTGATACACCCCATGCTGAGTCAGAGCTACAGCTCTTAAATCACTACAGCTCATTCTCTCTGCAGATTGACGAGCTCTAGCTCTGAGTTAGCAGGGGGTATTTCAGACTTCTGCAGAGGGATCACTGCTTCTACACAGAGAGCAAAGGTCCTTGTCTACAGCATGCTGGCAGGGGACGGACTTCTACGCCGGACGTGGCTCCCTACTGAAGAAAACAAAACTGTAAGACTTTGCACACCTTTTTGAAATACAGCAGAGACACCATTGTAATATAGGACCCGCTAGCTATTTATCTATTTCATTTTATAGGAAGAATGGTTTGCACCTGGTGGACGAGACTCCCAGCTTATCCGAAATCCCCCAGCGGTAAATTTCTCATCAGATTTAAACCAGATATACAAAGCATTGTGGGAACTGAAAAGTTCAGCGGGGATTGTGGTGCCGCAGAATTTTCCCAGCGCGGAGGCTGATACTGAGTCTCCATCATGGATTTGCAGGAAGTCAAAACTGCACCTGGAACTTGACTCCAGCTGAAAATAAGGGAATGTGATGCGCAGGATCTAAAAAAAAGAAAAAGGACATAATAGTGACGAGAAATACACTGAAGTGTTTGAAAACGGTCCATGATGCCCTTATAGACAATACACACACAGTTCTCCTTTCACGCACTGAATATGAAGCCATTTATGAGATATCTTGATAGTCACCTTATTCTATTAGATGAGCTGTTCACAGAATCTGTTTTTTGAATTACCGCCCATTTGACACAAGAAAGATCGGATGGTACTTATTATTCTACAATAGCTGGAGTTACAGTGGTTATCTGGGTGTGTTGTATTAAAAGGTCATCCAACCCAAAATTTACATTTCCATTTTTGGTAGACGCTGGAGAATTAATGCCCCTGACAGTTTTCTTTTTTGTTTTCCATGCAAAATGGCTTACTAGGTATTTCCTTAAAATTTTGGTGAAAAATCAGGAGATGTATATGAAATGTTACCTAAATGCAATGGCGAAGACAAAATTAAGGTGGCATTTTGTAGCTTTTCTGCGTACAATGAGCTCCTGAGGGTTATGGAAGTTATTTTCAATGATCCTAGACCAGTCAGCAAAATGTATTAGTCTCCATGCCGACAGGGTATAGGACAGGGTATAGGAGCAGCCTTAAATCAAAGTGCCAAACCACCAGATTTAGGACAATATAGAGTTAATAGATAGTGCTGGTGTTCAGGAAAGTGGAAATTATTCGGGAAGTGGAAGACTGGATAGAAACAGAGCATTGAAGGGCAATTTCAAAGACCACTAATGAAAAATACATTTAAATACACTTTTTAAAAGTCTGGACTTTACACCTGGATCTCTCACAGCTTCACTGTCCACCTGTGTATCAATAATCTTCTTCCCTCCAGTCCTGCTTTCATAGGCTCTCAGGAGGACCAATGCAGAGACAGCGCAGAGCTCCCAAACACCAAAACAACCTTCCCTTTCCTTCCCTTTACCATGTCAGCCAATTAACATAGAACTTCAAGCAGGTGTCCTCTCTACACTTACACCAAACCGTCCAGTTTCACATGGATTCAATTCATATGGCTTGAACATATCTAGTAAGAATCCACCTTCAAGCAACCCAAACCCCACCGCAGATACTTTTCAAACACTGACCCTTTTTTGAAAACTACTTCCAATTTGCTAAGACTTTTAGTTTGTGTTACATAAAAGAACTTTGAGGCACATTCAGGAGATATACTTGCTTACGCTCTCTTTTCTGAAAAAAAATCCTCTTTATTCATTCTATATTTTAGCTATACCTGTATATGGTAGGGCAGGACTATTCGTTTTTGTGTGTCTTTGGACCAGTCATATCCGCAGACCAATTCTGTTCTATATTCCAGAACAACAAAAATAAATCTGTTTAATTGGAAAACCATACAGCTGAAAAGCAAGAAAGTGCACAGGAAACCAAAACATTTATTAAATGATGAAGACCTGTCCAAGCCAACAATAAAAGTCTCCTAGAGGGCGTAAACTCCTTTAAATGAAGTGATTTAAAATTAGTTTGGATCATGGAAACAAAGAACAATGGAGACCGTTGTACTCGCGTGCCAAAGCAAAGCTGCAGGAAGGGGGCGTGAAATTGTGACCAGGTGGTTATGCCAGTGAAAATGCCCCAAAACATCTAAAACTTGTCAGAACCATATGGGAGAAGCCAATGTTGACTCTTTATTAAGTGAGCAAAAATCATTTACTGGCTACAATTATTCTACAAGTGTTTAGCAAAATAAGGTGCAATACCATCGTTGGCTGCCAACTTTTTCTGGTGATACGTCAATTTTATTGAAGACACAAAAATGCCATCATAGTTACACAAACACATAACGTGACAAGGATCTTAGAAAACTGGTTTGCAGATTCGTATATGCTTTTGCTATGTAAGTATCAAGATAAGCCATTCAAGGATACTAAGTTCTGTGGAAGAGTTTCTGTTTTAAGTATAATGTATTATCATTGCAAGAAACATTTTTAATAAAGTTAAAGTGTATGTAAACCCAATTGTTAAAATATCATGTTTGTGATACACAGTGTTTTAGCAAAACTAAACGTCATTCAGTTAGAGTTTACATCTACTTTAAAATGTATAAAGGGCTATGCACCCCCATATTCTTATGAGACAGTCCTCAGGCGTTGTTTTTGACCATTCGGAACTAAAGCACTACATTGTGGGAAGGAAGGGGTAATGTCATATGTTCCCCATACCTGGAAGTACTGGGAAATTCTCAGGCAATCTGGTAGCAGTCTGGGACAGCAGGGGAGCAGGAGAAGGTAAGTACTGGTACCTTATGGTCTCGCCTATAAAATGTAATCCCATTGCTTTCTCATCTGTAGGTTTAGTTAAACATATTTAATTTCCTTCCTTATTTGTTTACTTTTTGCAATACAATATTATCTTCATTTTTTTCTCACCTTATCTGCTTCTGTTTTTATAACCCAGTAACAGCTCATATTGTGACCGTATGATTCATTGCCTGGATTGCTGGGGTAACTTAGTGTCCCATTTAAACCAGTTAAAACACCTCCACAAGCTGAATGAAAAGAAATAAAATCATCAAAAACCGTTCACTTATAGCAGATGTTCAGTAAAGAGAACACTGGATACATCAGTCAGTAAGGGGAAAACAGAGCACAGCAGTCAGTAAGGGGAATGCAGGACAAAGTAGTCAGTAAGGGGAATGCAGGACACAGCAGTCAGTAAGTTAAACACAGGACAAAGTAGTCAGTAAGGGGAACGCAGGAAACAGCACTCAGTAAGGGAAACACAGGACAAAGTAGTCAGTAAGGGGAACGCAGGACACAGCAGTCAGTAAGGGAAACAAAGGAAAAGTAGTCAGTAAGGGAAACACAGGAAAAGTAGTCAGTAAGGGGAATGCAGGACACAGCAGTCAGTAAGGAGAACACAGGACACAGCAGTCTGTAAAGGGAATGTATGACACAGCAGTAAGTAAGCAGAAAGCAGAACACAGCAGTGAGTAAGGGGAACACAGGACACAGCAGTCAGTAAAGGGAACGCGGTACACATCAGTCAGTAAGGAGAACACAGGACACAGCAGTAAGTAAGGGGAAAGCAGAACACAGCAGTCAGTAAGGGGAACACAGGACACCGCAGTCAGTAAAGGGAACACAGGACACAGCAGTCAGTAAAGGGAACGCGGTACACATCAGTCAGTAAGGAGAACACAGGACACAGCAGTAAGTAAGGGGAAAGCAGAACACAGCAGTCAGTAAGGGGAACACAGGACACAACAGTCAGTAAGGCGAATGTAGGGCACAGCAGTCAGTAAAGGGATCACAGGACATACTTTAATAATATGAGTATCATTGTATGCATAAAAACTTCTTTATATTAAGCTAAAAAATATATATATAATTATCAGTAGAGTAGACACATTCCATTGGCAGAGATCACCTACCTTGTGTTTGGGTTTCACAATGGAAGCCGGTCCATCCGCTGGTGCAGTTACACATATAACCATTAATCCCATCCACGCAGGTCCCACCGTTCTGACACGGGTTATTGGAACACTGATTTATTTTCTCTGAGCAATTAGTACCACTCCACCCTAAATGACACTCACACATATAGTCTGAGATGCCAGGCTGGAAAAAATGCATACAAAAAGTTTTATTTTCTATTAAATTCATAGACAATTATATCTGTATTTGTGTAGCTTAAGAATACAACTGGTAAAGGACATCAGGATTAAAAGCCCAGACTGGCAATCTGAAAACATTATTATATGTCAGACAGAAATCACTGGAGGACTTTTGTGAGACTGTCTGGATTGCTCAGCCATTGCATGCCTTGGCTTCATACTGTGGGGTGTTATCTAACATTGCTGAGCCAAGGCGCAACCACACACAATTTTTTTTTTCTGTTTTTTGATGACTGGAAAAGAGTTAAAACATCTACCAGGAATGTATTGCTGTCTCTAAATCAAATGGATAGCTTTACCCACATGTTTTTTCCTGGTGACCCCAAGAAATGAAGGACTTCAGTGTCACCAGAACAGGATCTCACAGACATGAATAGGAGGTTCAAACATTTCCCTAATCTATTACATAAATGTTTCTGCACCTTCTGGACACAGGAATCAATGGGACGTTTTGGAGATTCCTGAGGATCTCTTCATCAGGGCAACAGTAACTGGTTAATTCCAATGCAAATTAATATATTTCATAATAACCTGACTAAAAATGGTCAATAGATGTTTTTAGGAATGTATTATTTGTCCTATAAAGGAATACAAGAAGCCTGTATAACTTTATGTTTATGGTTACATTGTATGCAAAGTCCAAACTTTTTTTGTATTTTCTGAAAAATCTGGAAGGATTTCATTGCTGTCTGGGTACCTGTGTGGTAGAAAGCCCCTTATTTTTGCTCCTATTATATCTGGTACAAAGTGATGGGAAATTCCTTTTTTTTTATACAGTATATGTCCAGGAACAGGAGTTAAGGTGAAAATCTTCCAATGGGTAAACCTGTTTTAGTGAATTCCTCTTTCTTCCTGCTCTGTGCCTGGGACAGGAAGTGAAGAGGAATCTCTCCAAAAGAACACACTCCCTACTCTATTCATAATTAAATCAAAACATTTTGATTTATACATACAATTCCAGGCAGGTTTATAAAGCAGTAAATGCGGCATTCACTAAACATTTACTGAAGGCAAATCTTCCTAGTGGATGTGTCTATATACTTAATATACTATATTAATATACAGTGAATGTGTGGTGAATTTCATATTCCCTGATTTCTGATTATATCCCATAATTAAAGATTGATATCAGCTATAGTATTTACATTGAGGTTAAGGTCTCATTCACACTAGAATCAGCCGGCACGTACAGTTCCATGCTGCGTGCACGGCCGTATCGGGCAGCTCCCGGGTAGGACAGGTGCTGCGTGTGATTAGTACGCAGCCCATGTCTTACTCTATGGGACTATGCGGCCGTATGCCCCCCTTCGCTCACCTCAAGTGCAGGTCCGTACGGGTGCAGGTGTCCCGGCTCGGATGCAGACAGGATCCATCCAGTCAGTGTACGAGTACTCTCACCCGCACGGACGTGCAGGGCGGGTGAGCAAAGGGCGGTGTACAGTCACGTAGTCCCATAGAGAAGGATGGGGGCTGCGTACCAATCACACGCAGCACCTGTCCTTCCCGGGAGCTACCAGATACGGCCGTACACGCAGCACGGAGCTCTACGTGTCTGCTGATTCTCGTGTGAATGAGGCCTAACAGTTAGTTACTAAGACTTTTTTGGGATGTGATAAATTGATTTGTTCAGTATGATAGTTATAAATGTCCAAAAAGAAGATTGTGGCTTTTAAGGTGCTGAAACATATTCCCTCACTTGTATTATTTTTACAGAACCATTTATTAAATCCATATTCATTCTAATAGCCATAGACAGCCATAAAACGTTATACATAAAATCAACAAATGCCACCGGTCCAAACCTCCATGCTACATCAATGGGCCAACATCATTCAAGAACAATAAGTTCTTGAATGATGACATAATGACATAATGGTTATCTTTAAACTGCAGTGACGTACGTAATGAGTTTGGGGGGGATATATAGGAGAGACGGTGGCTCATTTCCACTGGCCATGCTGAAGGAACTCCACTAGGAGGGGAGAGGGCAGCCATTGACCACCCTGGAGATGGAGAGGGATCCCATATATGGTGAGATACACCCGCCGGCCATCCTAACAGTGATGGAATTGTAACTTGCCATTGAAGACTATGCTGGCAGGTATTACCATAAAACTACCTTATATGTGATATTAATCTATAAGGATTATTACATAATTTAAAAAAAAGATTTACTAGATTTTGAGGACTTGGTTGATTAGTATAATACAGAGTTTTTCAAGTGGAAAGATTACAATATTTGATCCTGGATGAGTAATCTTGTTAACATTGTAAGCCCCTCTCCAAGAGTTTAATACACGCATAGAGGAATCGAGCAGTCTAATATACATTTGCATCTACATGCCTCTATTTTTATATTTTTAATATTTGTTTGTGTCAATAGTGATACACCCTTGAATGGCGTCTTGGTCTCTCTCTGTGAAACAAACACAGATTCTATATAGGTTCCTGATTAAACTTGAGGTGAAACGCGTAGAACCGTATTCCAGCAACAGTGGGCCACAAGAACACAACAAATAGGAAGACATACAAGAAAATCATGAACGTTGGTTTAAAGATGATCATTATTGCATCAGAATTGAATGTTCTTGAATGATGTTGGCCCATTGATGTAGGATGGAGATTTTGATCTGTGGCATTTGTTGATTTTATGGTTAACTTTTTATGGATGTCTACTGATATTTTAATGAGTATGGATTCAATAAATGATTCTTTTAACATGATGCAAGTGAGGGAACATGTTTCAGCACCTTATAAGCCCCACTCTTCTTGTTGGTAATTTGAATGCACATATGTAAGAGGTGCGGGGCAACTTCCTCCTTTGCACCCAACTTTGGTCAGTATAGTTATAAATGTAATTGGAATCCGATAATTGTGCCAGGAACCGACATAGGAAGTCACCTTGCACTCTCCATTAACACAAGGGTTTTGCTTCTGGCAGATGTCACTAGTAGACTGGCAGCCATTCGCCCCATATCCATTTCCAGCGTATCCAGGAGGACAAGCACAGACTGGCAGAAGACCCTCTAAGACAAAATAAATAGTAATAATTTGGTCATTCTGTATTATTATCAAGGTAAACAATATACTTCTCCTACTTTCCGATTCTTTTGTTCTCCTCTTATCAGGGTCAACTTGGATGTTTTAGAGTGTAGTGTCAGCCAATTATTTTTATATAGTTTAGATACAGACAAAAGTTTATACGTTGGTTAGATTTTTATTGCTTTCTTTCTCCCCTTTGGGGGACTCCAGACAGCAATAAAATACAATTTTGTTAGTAGAGAAGTTATAACTCTTGTCTATGTTCCCTTTGGAGAGGTTTCTGAGCCAGTAATGGTGGTTACCTGGACATGAACTGAAACCTGACAAAGGTTTAAGCTAGGGATGCACCAATACAATTTTTTTCCAGACCGAGCAAGTGCCAATACGTTTCCTCAAGTACTCGCCGATACCAATTACTGATACCTTTTTATCTAGTGTCATGTGACAATTTTTCTGAAACAATACAGACTATTGATTTTAGGACAGTGGTCAAGTGCTAGAGCTACTGCGACTGCTGTGACCACTGTGACCCTCATAATTCTGCCACTGACAGCAATACATTATACAGCAATACAGAATGCCACCAGCTATAGAGGACTACAAATCTCAGCAATACATTATACAGCAATGCAGAATACCACCAGTTATAGAGGACTACAAATCTTAGCAATACATTATACAGCAATGCAGAATAATACCACCAGCTATAGAGCAGTACAAATCCCAGCAATACATTATACAATTATGCAGAATACCACCAGCTATAGAGGAGTACAAATCTCTGCAATACATTATACAGAAATGCAGAATAATATCACCAGCTATAGAGAAGTACAAATCCCAGCAATACATTATACAGGGATACAGAGTACTTATGCAAATGCACAGTATTCGCACCGATACCAATACTGATACCGGTTTGTTACACACAACCCACAAAAACTTTATTACACTGATGAGACTGTAGATGATAATGACATGTTATAAAGGATATTCTTATAAATTACCTTTGTTTGGAGCACATGAAGCTAGCGGATGGCAACCTCCATTATTCACAGAGCAGGCGTCAATCTGATTGCATGTCTTACCATCACCTTCATAACCTGGTTATAGGATAATGAATAGACATGTAAGCTGTGCAAAAATTCGGTTAGGATATTTAGTTATTTCGGAGTTCGGGATTCGGATCCGAAATTCAATTCGGTTTCGGATTTGGATGAAATCCGAATTTTCGTTAGTTTCGAATGAGTTTATGAATATTCGTTGCAAATACCACAGAAAACCATATACAGATATTAATACTAAAGCTGAAGTTCCCAGACCCGAATGGCATTTAGGATCCAAATTTCATAATTGCATTTGGTAGCTGCCGAATACCGTTCAGGTCTGGGAGCCATATACATATATTACTGAAGCTGAGACTCCCGGACTGGATGCATTAAACCGAAAAACACATCTGATTGGCCAGAAAAGTCACATGCTAGATTCAGTTTTGTTTTTGAACGAAATGTGGATGGGATCCGAAATTCAGAAATGGAAATTCGGACACATTCGGATGCATTGGGATTCGGAAATTCGGATGTGTTTGAATGTCCGAATTTTGGAAAATGTGTCAGAATTTTCATTCGGAATAAAACGAATCGCATTATATGAATAGCATACTGTATGTATGGTACAGAAGTAAGGCTTTATATAACAAAACAATTCAGGGAGCAATGGTGTGCAGGTACTGAGAATGACCAATCCAATCTTATTTTACTGGAGTCAGACCAGTGAAAGATTGTCTTATTGGTTGCTATGTGTGTACTGTAATCAGAGCAAAGAAAGTTTTCTGATTGGCTGCTCAAGTGATTTCACTCTGTATGTTTCTTCCAACTACATTACAAATTGTATATAATCCTAATCTACTCTGAAGGTAAAGTAAGGGTGAAATTACCTGGTGGGCAGGAGCCACAATGATAGGAGCCCATAGTGTTCATACATTTCACCAGCGGGGCCACAGAACACCCTCCATTGTCTGTTAGACACTCATCGATATCTTGGCAGCTGTACCCGTTCCCGCTCCAGCCTTCAAAGAGATACGATTGGAAAACATTTTAGGACAATAAGACAATTGTTTATTATTACAAGAAGTGTAATGCAATGAGTAAAGTGTCACAATATTCATTAACATGGAGGTCCAGCCATACTTTCAGTCTTGCACAGTTGTACCGGCTCTTCTCCTGGACAGGTGTTGCTTCTTCTGATTTCCCTGCATACTGTGAGCTTCTGGCAGAAAGCAGCAGAAAGTCAGAAAAAGCCCACCTAACTTCCTGGCTGGAGGACATCCTAACACAGTCTGACTAGGAACACCCACTCCTCCAGACTGACATCCACCCATCAAGACATTTTGATATTTGCATAACTCCTCCCAGGAACCAGCCCACTGTTTGTATCAGAGCAGAGGACTCTTGCGAGGGGTACTGAGGCAGAGTGCTGTGATGGTTTCAGGAAGCTCTGTACAGCACCCTGTCGGCCCCTCCATGTTTTGCCTGCAAGGCATAGAGAAGCACAGACAATCAGGGATGAATTGATGCACTGTAAAGGTACAGAGTGTACCAAGAACTCCAGCTAATTTTTAAATTTATACATTGTGCTTTCTATGCAGCAAATCTATTACATTGCCTGGTATGGGCATAGAACAGGGTCAAATAAGCTATTTGTTTGCCACGTAAAGGCCGCCTACCTGCAGGGCTGCCCGTTTAAGGAGGCAGCCTGGGGCTGTTGCCTCAGGTGGCATCTCTTTGGATCACGTGAGGTGATGGCAGGCAGAGCGGCCGCACGGTCACGGGTCAAGCAAGTGTGAACCTGGCCTGAATGTCGGTACCTCGGAATGGACATGGGTGGGAGGAAGAGTCTGCAGAATCCAGAGCATTGCACCTGTGACCTACTAATTGCAGTTGCAATGCTTTACTGGGTCCTGTGCAAAAAAAAATGCACTTTTTTGTGCTTTAATTGTTTTTTTTTTCTGATAAAGTGGACTTTGCCTTTAAAGAAGAAGCCACTAAACCAGAATTTTAGTGCCTGGGAAGGTCCAATATGTTCCAAGTTAATATGTTACAATGTAACAAACAAAATAGGAAACAGAGTTGATGATTGATGAAGATTAACAGTTATTTATAACAATTAGACCAAACAACAGAACTTTTAATGCTGTATAGTTTGTGTATCATAAATATGAGATCAGAAAAGGTCTAAATAAAAACACTTCTCTGTTATTAAAATGAAACTTTGTAAAAATAGAAACTTTGTACAAATTAGATACTTGTAGCGGCCACACATCCTGACTTTGCTTTTCGATTTCACAATCCCAGGTTGCAAAGATAAAAAGGATGAGAATCCATCATGCTAGAAGTGTAGACAATGACAGACTTTGAGTAAAGTGATTCTCTCGCAATGCTGGCCCCATAGCAGTTGCATAGAGTGGGTTTATTTACATCCTCCCAGTACACAAGGATAGTAATACGGGAGCTGCTGTTGATGGCTTATTTTAAAAGCCATCAACGTCTTGATCCTGGCTTCACTGCTTATTGTGTCAAAGACCTGGAATTAGTATGCAGTCAGTGAGGTCTAAAAAGCCTGAAATGCTCTCCTGTATGCTTGTTCCAGGTCTGTGACTCACCAGGCAGTGGTGTCATTATCAGGATGATAACTCCATGGCCTGCACCTTTAAAGTGTATGCAAAGACAAAACTTTTTTTTGGTTTATAATTAGGGAAGAGTGGTGAAGGGTTAGTCCCTCTGTCAGATTTCTGTTGCACTGTGTCCCCACTGACAAGATGTAAATCTCTATGTGTGTTAATGACCACTGTCACCAAGGCAGAAAGTGAAAGGAAATCCAAAATTTTAGAGTTGCCTCCAGGGCAATGGGTGAGGGTTAATCATCTAATGGGGACAAATTCTCTGGTGACAACTGTTCTGACCATGTGTCATTATACATCCATATTTAGGGCGTAGCATGAAATATGGTCACATTGACAACCCAAATCAATCGCCCTCCTATTGACACTTCCTCCTGTCATGTTACTGAATGTCTGTACCTTATTGCATCTGTACCTCATTGCATCTCCAGGACAGGAAGTCCTGGAGAGAAATCTCTCAAATTGTGCACAGACAGCAAAAACAAACTGATAGGGTTCTAACCCTTCCCTACTATCCAAAACAAAGAAATGAAAAGGTTTCACTATACTATACATTTATTTTAAAAACAGAACAGCAATAGCATCATCCTTTACTACTAGTGGAGTAACCAATCAGAAATTATTGGTAATAACCATGCCCCCAGCCAACTGATTGGACAATGAAGGAACAGCAGCAGACTAATGAGTAATCAACTCTGCTCCCTCCTTCTGCCAGCATGTGCACTGCAGCAGAATATGGCAGGCCTCTAGTGCAGGCCATCTCTAACACTCTGAGTAAAGCTGCACAGAAGATAACAAAAGTCTTATATCAAGACTCATCAAGGCGTTACAAAATATATTTAAAGTAAAAGCAACATTTTTTTTTTTCCGTTTTGTCCACTTTTTAGGGCCATTTTTGTTTCCTGTCCAATATCCACAACAAGAAGTGAGCAGAAATCTCTCCAAAGTGAGGGAAATCCCTGGAGATCAGCAGGGCCACCAGAACTAGTGTCCCCATTGGAAGATTTCCCATCTGTTCTGATTCTTGCTCTAATCCCTCTCCACTCCTTCCAAACCTACAAAAAAAAACATTTTGTCTTCCCTTGCCCTTTAAGCAATTTTGGGTGAATACATATATGCAGTAATTGGGGACCAGAGTTCAGCTTTTTTTTTTTTCAGAGATTCATTAGTACCTGCAGGGCAGGGGCCACAAGTGAAGGATCCTAGATTATTAGTACACTGGACTGGAGGATTCTGGGAGCAGGGAGGGTTGGGCAGAGAGCATTCATCTATATCCGCAGTGCAGGCGGCGGACCCAGGAGGTGATGTCCATCCCGTTTCACAAACACAGCTGTACCTGGGCTGCCAACACACACATAAAGAAAATGATATCATTATTCCTATTGTGTATAACTGAAATAAGACATTATTTGAGTGTATTTATAATATATATATCATATTTTCATGCTTGTAATTATTTTCTTGCTCTAATCATTGCCATTTTACAGTGGCAGAATCCTTTAATCACCGGTGATTGCCATATTGTAGCGTAAAATTTACCATTTTCAGCCTCTCGTGTCAGTAGATGAATGATGGTAATTTTTTATATACCTTTAAAAATGCATTTACAGCCCCAGGTGCTGGAAGAAAAGGCCTGAAAAGCCTTTAATGATGAATATTTCTGCCCATATATGTTCTTATTACCTCTAGAAATCAACACTAAAGTCCAAAGAGAAGCCAGGGCAATGCACTTCACTATGGCAGCTCAAGTCAATGTCATCACTTTCATGAACCTAGTCAATGAGCAGCAACAAATTATATGTGTTTGTTGGGGCACTGCTAACTTTGGAGTTTGATGCTATAAGAAGAACCACCTTGTCCCAAATATGGTTTTGCTTGAAAATTCTAACTCAGCATGTTCTGATATACTCAGGAAAGGTTACAAACCCTGTTACATTTTTGTTGACATCTATTTCTTTGTTTTGGACATTTTTTCCTATTTTAGGTTGGACTGAATAGGAAGAGAGAGAAAATTCCCCCAACAGGGATGTAGACACCGTAGAATAGAGAACAGCTAGACAAAGTTAGTTAAGAATATACAGTAGATTGCTTTCTGGGTCTCAACTCGGTGAATAACTCTCCTCACTTTGTGTAGTGGGAATCTCTTAAATAAATATATTTAAATCAGGTATTTTAAATGGTTAGCTGCAGTGTGTTTCATTTACATAAACAAAATGTAATTCATGTGCAGGGCTTGAAAAAATTGATAGCGTCTCACCAGTCAGTCAAAAATGTCACCAGTCAGCATGACCGGACTATAGCCTTGCAATTTATGTTAAAATAGTTTGGGGACAGATGGAGCTTTCTTTTGGAGGTATATAATCACCACGGGGGGTATTTTTTTTTTACTATATAATTTAAAAAGTACCATAAATGTAAAAAAAAACAAAAAGGTTTCCTTCTTACCCATATTTTTAGTAAAACATGAAAGTCAGTGTCACGTCGGGTAAATAGACACCAAACATGTCAAGCCTTACAATTGCGTACGCCTGCAAAAATCGCAAAAAACGCCCATCGGCGACGATTAAAACGCTTTTACTGTTCATCAGTTTAGTGTTATCATTGATTAAAGGAGAACTATGGGGTTAGGGCTTTTCCCCATAGTTTTCCTTAGGGTAACGGCAGGACACAAATTAGCATCCTCCCGTCACCCTAAGCTCAGTATGTCTGGATCAGCCCAGCTGCGTGAGTGACAGCTGGCTCTGCCTATCTAGAGGCAGAGCCAGCTGTACCTGCCACCTCCCCCGTCCGTTCCGCCAGTCAGCGCTGGCGGATTGGAGTGGGGAGGGGGGGAATCCAGCCCCTCCCCTGTCACGGCTCTGTGCCGTGACAGGATCGAGAAGTGAGCGATTTGCAGCCCACAAAACATGCATCAAACGCGCGTTTACAAGGGCTATCCGGCTGTATCCTAATGGATACACGCGGAAATACGCCCCAAAGAAGCTCCTGTACTTCTTTGGACATAGGGCGTTTTTCAGCACGTTCCGACACGCTGAAATTCGCCCAAGTGAGAACCATGCCCATAGGAAATAATGGGATTTCACTTGCAGGGCGTTTTACAGCGCGTCGATCAGTGCTGTAAAATGCCCAGGTGTGAACCCGGCCTTAATGGCTCTAAAATTATTGCTCTCACTCCGTTTGCGGCGATATGCAACATGTGCGGCACGTAGGCGCACCTGACGCATATATGCGTGTGTATGTGGGGCATTTTTAAAATCCAAGGGAGGATTTTACAGGTAAACAACATACATAAAATATGATAAATTAACATATGGATTCTTCTTGGAATAAATGGCAAGGGAGCCTTTTTAAAATCAACTCTTATTCATAGGCTCCTACCCATGCCTACTCTATTCAGAGGAACAGAAACCTTTCTGGCTGCAGTTAGCGCTTTAGGATGGCCTTGACCATCCAAGTGCAAACATATTCTTTAAACTATGCCTATGTTTACTAAGCAGCTCCCTTCCTGGTTCCCAAAAATGGGGACTAGTCTGCTAAAATAGGATAGGATTTTCTACATAGGATCTCAGTGCTCTCAAGCTCATAATTAATCATTTTGTGTCATGGATTGATGAGTACCAATGGTAAGCATAGGCTCTCCTGAAGGAGTTCCCATCCTTGACAGGCTCCCCTGCAAATAGATTTGTCTTCCTTGTGTGACTCTCATTGGCCAAAGTCTTCAGGTATCTCAACCAGAAACGGCTGATGAGCTCAAAACGTGCCCAATATGAAGAGCAAGAAGGTGCATGTGGTCATCCGTAAACATGTGGGACCACCTCCCACTCATCTCTCATAAGCAGCTCCTGTTTCCCAACAGAATGTACCAGCATGCTTCAACATTCCTTACACTAATGCTACAAATATTCTTTATTCAGGGTGCATTCATTTGCTACATCTGCATATTATTTTTATTTTTGGGAAGTGATGCACCAGAATCATACTTATTCACCAGAATCATATACATGAGGTTCCACTTACCTGACCTGGCTGGACTCTGTCTAAGTCTGTACAGATCCCTTGGACACAGAGCTCTGCAGAACCCGCTTTACAGTCATCATACTTGGAGGTGCATTGTGGGCCGTACCACTCTGGAGTACAGGTGCACCTTTAGTAGACAACGTTTGTTATATACCACTTTAAGGTTTAAAGAACACAGCTTTGAATAATTGTATCTTTTGTTCCATCAAAATATGATATATACTGCATTTCAATAAGTTAGATTTACTTTGAATGGCTGCTATCTAAAGCAAGGGAACTTTTATTCAACTGTTATAAATTAGATGTAGCTCTTAATACACTTAAATGCCATGACCATCAAATATTGAGCATTATTTCATGTTTTTTAAATAAACATTTTATTTTTATTTTTAAAAAGTTTAAAAATGTTAGTATTGTTATTTTTGTATTTATTGTATTTTGTTTTTGTATTATAATACAATAAATCCAATTTATTGTGAGCATGCATGCTATAAATATATCATAATATGTAAAAAAAAAAAAAAAATAAACATAGTAAAAAATATATAATATGCTTTTTAAAAACAAAATATAAAAAAACAAAATATAAACTGTTGTTAGGGTAAGAAAACCAATGCGGTACAAGTGATAGAGCTTGCGCTCTCTCCCTTTAAAATCTCAGAACATTAACATGACAGTTAACTTCCCGCTACCTCACCTCCCTGAGCTGCCATGAAGGGATGCTTTTAAAAAAAGGGGGTGAGGATTAACATCTTAATTCTTTCCTACATATTGTATGCTAAAGGTTTTATCATTAGGCTGTACTGTACTGTATGTCTGCAGTCTGCCAATTATATTCTGTTGCTTATATGCCATCTTGGACAAGAGTGTCATAAAACCAGATATATTGCATTTACATTTACCTGTAACTTCCAGGCGTGTTCTCACATATACCTCCATTCTGACAGCCCAGTGTGGTCCCACCATACTTCTGACATTCATTGACATCATCAGCGCAGGCAGGACCCTTGTACAGAAAATGAGCTTAAGTATACATTTTTCTCAATTTATTTTTTTTACTTTATGACAAATCTCATTTTAGAGAACAGTACACTGACCACTAATGAAAAGGGTCGCCTACTCACTGAGCACCATTGTAAGGGAGCACTTAAGCACTGACCACCAATATAAGGGGACACTTTTCCACTGATCCCCAGGGTAAGGTGATACGTCTCCACTGACTACCAATTTTAGGGGAAGTGTCTTCACTGAACACCAGTGAAGAGGGTGACTTACCCTCCAAGGAGGGCCGGATTTACTCTCTCTGCTGCCCCAAGGCCAGGTTCCTCAATGTGCCCCCACCCACCAAGCCCCCCTCCCCCCATGGAGAATGGCAGACCTGCAGTCTGCATACAAGTGATCTTGGCGACATTGCTGAGATTACTTGTACAAAACAAGCGGCGGCTTCCCCACTGTACATTTAGGTCTGCTTGCCCAAAGCAGGGCTAAATGTAGAAAACAACTAACTGCTCGGTGCCTGGAACTGCATGTCCCGGGCATCAGGAGATAGGAATTGCACACCCCTGCTGCCCCTCTACTCCCTGCTGCCCCAAGGCTGGGCCTTGGTTGGCCTTGTGGGAAATCCGGCCCTGCCTCCAAGCACCAGTGTAAGGGGACACATCCTCACTGATCACCAAAGTAATGGGGCATTACATTTACCATCAGCATAAAGGGACACTTCTCTGCTGACAACCAATGACAGAAGAAGACTACTGTATGTATATCCATTAAGTCTGCCCTTGATATTATATTTTGTCTGCATAGAGAAAATAATTTTACCAGATGTTCCCTGAAGCCTTAACAATATTTCAAGGAGTTCCTTCAAGGTAAAAAGGCTGATTTATGTCAACTAAACATTTTCCATACCAGAAGTCAGATGTGTAAATGAATGCTTTGAACTGGTTTCTATGCCTTACGTCACTTTTCTGCCCATTCTTTTTTGTTGCTTTACTATAGATGAAGCTTCTGAGACAACAATTCCTGTGATATATTGTAATGCTAATCCATGATAATAATATATGTCTCCTTTTTAACGGTTGCTCTTCTAAGAAATGATGGGTGAGAAACACCCTAAGCCATAAGTTCATGGGAAGAACCTTCTTTTTTTCCATGTGATGCTCAACATCCTATTATAAAGAATATGTATGTAACCACTTCAAGAGATAGCCAATACATTTGTCATAGTGGACTAAATATGACAATTACTGCAGGACATTCTCATTGGCTGAACAATGTGCAGCACACAAACTCTCGATCCAATCCCCTGCAGCAGTAAGGCACGCATGTAAAAGACCGAATTCATGACTTTTTGTTACATGCAGTACATACCCCCTCTTATATTTTAGACACGGAAAGTTCCGGTCACTCACATTAAATGCATCAATGTAAAATATGTCTCAAGGAATTAAAGCATAATTCCATCTTTCTAAAATGTTACTGACATGTGATAATGGTATGTTAGTCAGTGACATAAACTTTGTAAGTTATATTTATAACTCTTTGATACATGCACTGGGATTGGCACATCAGCATTGCCCCTGTCATTGCACACCAGCATTGCTTGCTGGTATGAATGGGCCCCTAAAGTTTGCAGTCGATTACAGTGCTTTGGCATTGTCAGTGCACAAAAACTACAGTAATGTTTCTGCAGCTGTAATTGCTTTAATATTTTCTGCAGGCTAAATCATGCTCTTTGTTTCCTATTTTTGGGGCATATTCCAGTTCTCCCTCAATTAAGTATACAGTATTTGTGGCTATAGTCTCTCTGAAATAGTGTAATCTAATGGTGATGTCTTCATTATACCCTGCCTGGTATCTCCCCAATAAACTGTGGCCTGGTAAAAATGCTTGTATACTGTGCATTCAGTTGGTGAAATATTTTGCTAACTGTATATTTCTATTTTGTGATAAAACCTGTCTCATCATCCCCCTTTAATTTTAGTCTAGTAAGAAGCTTAATATGTCAAATAAATATACTTAAAGGAGAACTATGGGGTAACTGTTTTTCCCCATAGTTCTATTTAGGGTCATGGGAGGACATATACTAACCTCCTCCTGTGACCTAAAGTTCAGTATATACTAACAGTGCCGCAGCCGGGACGGACCCCGACAATACTGTCAAGATCCACCTAGCTGCATGAGTGACAGCTGACTCTGCCCATCTAGAGGCAGAGCCAGCTGTGCCCTCCCCCATTCGTTCCTCCACTTAGCGCTGGAGGATCGGAGAGTGGAGGGGGGAACCGTGAAGACGACCGTGAAGTGAGCAGATCGCTGCATGTTTCTGCTCACTTCCCGATCGATAGAGCCGACCTGTGACAGCTTCTTTGTCACAGGTCGGCTCTAACTATGAGGATAAGCGAAAAACACTCACCTCATAGTTCTCCTTTGATACACTTTTTAATTCATGATATAACATGTCATGGCTCTTCCTCTGAAATTGCAGCCTAGTAAAAAGGCATATATACTGTGCATCCAGTCTGTAACTTTCTTCTGGCTTTTGGCTCTGAAATATTACACCCCCTTTTTTTTCATGATAAAACCTGCAAGGTCTCTAAAATTGTAGCCTACTAAAGCTGCTTACACAATGTGCATAGAGGCTGAACAGTATTTCTAGCTCCTGTGTCTGAAATAATACACTTGAACTTTGATGTTATTATAATACCTGTAAATTCTCTCCCTCTTTCATTGTGGTCTAGTAAAAGTGCTTTCATGCAGTGTGTTTGTTCAATATTTCTGGCTTATGTCTCTGACATAATACACTGTAATTTTTTACTTCAAAATGAAAACTGCCTTGGCTTTCCCTCTTAATTGCAGACAAGTAAAACTGCTTACATAATGTACATTGATTCTATACAATATTTCAGGCTGCTGTCTCTAAAATAATACACTATATTGTTTTTTCTTGTTAAAAAATGATTCATCTCTCCCTCTTACATTGCTGACCAATCAAGCAGCTAACATATTTTCCAGCCACTGTGCTATATTTCCTGGGCCTCCAGGAAAATTAAAAATGTCCAACAGTTGTTTAGTATTCAGGGGATTGGATCTTTTGAAAATATTAGAAAATCACGGGAGATCCTGACCTATACATTTTTTCATTGCGTTCAAATCAAAGACTTTCTCGATTCTACTATTTGTGGTCATACTACACCCCCCTAATTTTTGACAGGCTTTGAAGAAGATGCCTCCACAATACATGATCAACTGGGTTACTCTCTTCTTTGTATAGGGACCTTCTCTCCACAAGGGCACCCACACAAGAGACTTCAAACAAAGATGTCAAAATGATTCCTATAAGGAATTCCTATAAGGAATTTCTTTGGGTCTGGTCCAGCTGGATAGGCTACCTACGCTCCGTAGGCCTGAACCAGGATTGCTTACTTACTTAGCTCACTAAGACTGGATTGTGTCTCAGGTGAAATATTTTTATCTTTTTCTTAATTTTCTACTTTCTTTTACTCTTCTCTGGTTCTCTCTTTCTCCTGCCCTGACCTTCTTCTCTTCTCTTTTCCTTTCTCTAGGTGTTGTGATTTTCTTCTATTCCTGTTTATAGGAAGTTTTTCCTCTACTGCTTATATTGACAGCATCTTTTTTACTGCTTACTGGTTTTATCAGGACAATTATCCTTTAAAGAACATTTTCCCGTGCTTAGGAGATGAATGCGGTGTCAATGTACTAAATATCGTTGCTTTATCAGTTTAGTCCTAATTCATGTTGTACCTTTTCCTTTACAACCTTTATTGTGAATGCAGTTTTTATTGTTCTGTGTAGCATTCTCTTTTGTTAAACCAAATGTAAACTCTTGTGAATTGCAATTTACACAATTGTTGTGTTTCCCACGTTGCCCTCAAAGTCACAAAAAATGAGGGATCCTCTCCCCCACTAAATGTTATTTCTTAAAATGTATTTTTGTTGTGGTACATGTCCCCCGTTGCAGTGCCCAGCTGTTTCACATTCGTTTCACATACCCTTGCCAACTGGCCTTGGAAAGTGCCAGAATTGATTTTCAAGATTCACCCTCCTTCCCATAGACTTTAATGGAGTTCGGATTAACATGCACACCTTGAGGATTGTCAGATGAGTTTGATGAGTGCCCAAACACATTTGGCTCATCACTAGCAGTCAATCAGGTGCCAGCCTTCTAAGCAATCATCACATCAATCTGATTGGTTTCTCTAGACAATGCATTGAATATTCTTCTAGTTTTATAAATCAGCCCTTGGTAACAGTCCATGATGGGACATAGGGGAATAGTTCTGCCTCTGTACCTGCCAGTTATCGGTGCACAAACAAAAGAAGGAATCCAAAAGGTTCAGACACATCCCTGAATTCTGGCATGGGTTACTACTGCATGACTTTCGGTTCATAACCTGTCATTATAAAAAGAGCTTAATTAATTTTTAGGCATTAAAAACACATTTGCATGTATCATATATACTGCATATTCACAACAGCAAACACATGTGATATTTATTCTTCAAGAGGACCTGTAGCCAGACCATTAATTTCATTAACAATCTTCTTATAAGGCTATACAATATATGCATTTAACATATTTTATGCATGCTTTTGACCTTCAAAAGCCTTCCTATGTGTAGACATTCAAAAGACTGCTACTGGACGTCGCCATCTTGGATGTGCTGTCAGCAGCCCCAGCAAACACAAAGCTGTCACTCAAGTGATACCTTATAGTGTTCCTCTTTACTCTTTCCCTGGCAGCTACATAAAAGACTAGGTACAGAGGTGAAAAGTTTTGGAGCTGGGCCAGCACAAACAGTAATTAAACACACCCAGAAGCGAAGAGGGCTATTACATGGAAGCAGGGAGGAGGCTATCCTAGAGAATTGGCTCTTCCAAATGAAATCCCATTTTCTAGTAAGTTCAAAGGACCATCACAGGCAAGTGAACAAAAAAATTAATTATAAAAAAGAAAAATGCTGCAAGTCAGCTTTTAAAATACTTGATTCTTCTGTGCTTTTACCTGCAGTGTTTCTAAGTAGGGCACAAGGTCACTTTCAGTATTATTAGCTGCGCTTCAGTAATGCCAATCATGAGAAGTAAAATATGGGGGATGCATCAGTGGCTAGAAATAAATGCAATTAAAAGCTGTACATGTGCATAATGCACTTCTGGGTCCTGAGTTTGAATCCCACCTGGGGCACTGTCTGCGTGGAATTTGTATGTTCTTACTATGTTCGCATAAGTTTCCACCCACAATCCAAAAACATGTTGGTGGGTTCATTGGCTTCTTCCCAAAACTGGGCTAAACTGTGTGTATGGAGGAGATAAAATCTCAGAGATTGGTGACTGATAAAAGAGGGCTCTATCTACTCGCTGCAGAATATGCCAATATATGCAAGACATAGAACATTGGAAATATATCAATATAACATACAGCTTACCTCTTGCAAAACTTGAACTCTGTTTTCAATATCAGACAACTAGAAAGAGAAGGTAATCCCCATCATAAAATGTTCATTCCTTCGCCAGTCATCATTTATCACAATTTAATAGAAAACATTTACATTTATCAGCAATTCTTTAATTTTAGTAAATTATAAAAGGGTTTGGACCTCTGTTAGGATTATAATGCTGTTTTTCTTGCTGTTGGAGAGATTTCCCCTTACTTCCTGTGCGGTCACCAGTACAAGACGTTTGGGACAATCTCTACAATCTGGAAATAGCAATACCGCTTTAGTGGAGAGGGGAACTCTGTTGATGTCTATGTCCTTATTGGAGAGATTTCCTATGCTACTATGATATTGGCTGTACAGGAAGAGAGTGAAACTCAACCTATTGTCTGTGTGAAAATCACACACACCTGGTGCGTGCGTGTGTTTAGGTTAGTAAATCACCCCCATAGACTGCAATAAAAATCTGAATCACAATGACTGGCTGAAAACTGATGATGTCAGCATTTTCATAAGACAATATTGTTTCAGATAGTGCACTGGAAGTCCCGTCTGGAGGATGGAGTGATCCCAAGCAGGGGGGTGGTTTCCAGTGTACTTAATTTGAACAATAAAGTTTTATGAAAATGTTGACATTATCAGTGTGCGGCTGGTTTTGTTATTCAGCTTTCTATGGGGTGCATGGACCAGCTTCATGCTGCCTGTTTCTGCTTTCCTAGACATAGGCATAACATGCAAGTTTGTGAATGGCAATCTTTTCTGTCTGCCTCCTGCAATAAAATTCAGTCCAATTTTGCCATCAACGAAATTTTTGCTGAAGCGTTGACTCTAATTTTTGCTCACTGAGCTGTTTAGGCAAAATTTGCGTGGAAGAAAAATGGTCTACTCTGTTTATCTAGTGCTTCTCTAGTGTCTCTCCCATCCTATGGAACTCCTGTCTGGCTATCTCCTACTCTGTCTGCCTCTACGCGATCCCGCCTCAACCACACCACTGAACTATGAATTTCTCAAACAATTCATACCCACACAGCTACCACCTCTTGTACCACTTGCCCTTGAGATTGTAAACTCTCTCGGGCAGGCCCTCCATACCATCTTGTCTTTATTTGTATTGTAACTGTAATGTCTTCCTTATATTGTAAAGCGCTGCGCAAACTGTTGGCGCTATATAAATCCTGTATAATAATAATTTCTATTTCTTTCGCAGGTTGATTTTTTGGGGAGTCTTTCGGGTAGTTTAGTTTATAAATTTGTGTCCTTTCTTTTTTGTTTTTTTCCTTTTTTGATCTCATGCACACAGACATACAATGTGCTGCATTGTATTCTATTGGCCCTATCTGCTCTGTCCTGTTTTAGTCCTTAGTGTTTAGCTACGTAAACAAAAACTAGAACAATCCGCATTCATAGTCTGATTTTGGCCATAATACATGAGACTGAAAACTCTGTCCCTTTTGCCCCTCTTCCCTCCCCATCTCCCTTTGTTCGTGATGTTCTTTGTCTCTCCTATCTGTTTAGGTCTGATGATTCCTTACATTGGGGAAACCTGTGCATTATATGGGGTGATACTTTGTTTACTATTTGTATTTTTCTTATGACTAATTGTGAGCCTACTGTTGTAGTCAAAGAGAGATGAACTCATCAGTCTGCTGCTTCTCCTTTCACTGTCCAATCCTAGGAACCAAAATGACAGCTTCTATCTAATGGGTGACAGACAGGGCCGGATTCACTCTCTCTGCTGCCCCGAGGCCAGGTTCCTCAATGCACCCCACTACCCACCAAACCCCCCCACATGGAGAATGGCAAACCTGCACGCTGCATACAAGTGATCTCTTCAACATCGCCGGGATCACTTGTACAAAACAAGCGGCGCCTTCCCCGCTGTACATATAGCCCTGCTTCCCCAAAGCAGGGCTAAATGTAGAAAACAACTACCCGCCCGGCACCCGGAACTGCATGTCCCGGGCATCGGGAGATAGGAATTTCACATCCCAGTTGCCCCTCTGCTCCCTGCTGCCCCAAAGCTGGGCCTTGGTTGGCCTTGTGGGATATCCAGCCCTGGTGACAGGTTTCCTTTAATACCATAATAACACGGTAACTTTGCCAAACCACGGGCAGCGATAAATAAAGCTTTACCTTTGTACTGAGCTGAGCGAGCTGGTTGGACACAGTCTGGTTGTTTCCAAGAACGTTTGCTTTTAATGCAGAAATTTCTTCTCTGTTTTTGTGTATCTGAAATACAAAAGGAGACGATTTCAGCATGGCGTGGCCTCCGCCTAAATATATTGGCATTCACTGGTGGCCGGTTACCTGAGCCAGCAGATCAGACAGGTCATCATCATTAACTTTTATTTTTCCATACGAGCTGGTCTTAAATTCAATACATTTTGTCTGGCTGACTGAAAATATTAGGTTTCCATTTTCCGAGGACATCCGAGGTCTGTTGGGAAAAAAAAAAAAATTCACCCAGAGCTTTTATAACGTTAAACGATATTTTATGTATTTTGTTTTTGCAAAATGACCAACCGACAGAGGTTTTTGGCCCCTGCAATCTACTGTATAAGTTGTTACTGGACACTCTACGTGGCACACAATCTTTGATTTCTGTACTTCACTTCCTGTTCCAGTGACAACGTTGTCATTATATTTGTATTGTGTCTGTACGGTTGCCAGCGCGGTGGTAGAAATGGGACATTCTGCCTTAACCCTTGAAGTTTCCATTACTCATCCAATAGCACCCTTAAAGTGTTCTTAACAGTGAAGAGACCACAAGCCTGGTGTTTTGCCCCCCAAAAAGTGGCTACCTTAGAGGTCAGACGATCACAGAGATCCTCGATTTATTTTATCTGTGATTAAAGGAAACCTAAGGAAATTGTATTTCCTATGGCATTGCTAACTAGCCAATTTAAAGAACAACTCCAGGTAAAATTTGTATTTACCCTTGCAGTGGAAGGGTTAAGTGCTCATTTGTGCCTAGGTTCAAAAATAATAAAGTTGTACTCACCCAATCCTATGAGCCAGCTGGCTGTCACAGCACTCCTTCCTGCCTGTCTCCTTCTCCACTGTAGTGATGGTATGTCCCTTGGCATCCTCACGTCCTATACACTGTGTATAGAACATGATGACTCAGGAACCATAGACTGCTGCAGCGTAGCTGGAGAGAGGCTCCAGGGACTGGTCTAAGAGCAAGCTGGATCTGAGGATTGGGTGAGTATAACTTTTTTTATTCTTATTCTTGAGCACTTAACCTTTGCAGCATGGGGGTAGCCCCACTGCAAGGGTTAATACACTTTTTTTTTAAAAATGTGTCCCTTTGCTGCATCTAAATGCCAGTCAAGTCAGAGGAAAAGATAGCAGAGGATCATAATGACATGTAAGTAAAGTGTCATTCACAGTGACATGCCAGTGAGTATGGCCTCCTACACCCACCATGGCTAGCATAAGAACACAGTGCTCCTTCATAGCAGATGTGTGCTTTTCCACATGTGGATTTAAGATGCGGTTTTGAAAGCTTTTTAGTGATTGTACATATGGGCAATGGAAGCGGATGGTAAAGTAGAACTTGAGAAAACTTTCTATTAGCTATGTATATAATATGAAAGGGTTACAACATTTTTTAGGTTGCTATTGCTATCACTGTCAACATGGGGGAGATTCATCCCTTCTGTCTGCCTGAAGGTACAAGAATTGTGGCTTATCTGAGGTCTGAAGGTGGAGGCATTGGGGATAATCTGAGGTCTGAAGGTGGAGGCATTGGGGATAATCTGAGGTCTGAAGGTGGAGGCATTGGGGATAATCTGAGGTCTGAAGGTGGAGGTATTGGTGATGATCTGTGGTCTGAAGATCCTGAAATTGGGTTTGAAAATTAAATCAAAATTAATGTTCTTAGATATCTTTTATTTTCTTGGCGAATGTGTGTAATGTAACACAGATTTTTCTGCAACTAGATGGAGCTCCTCAGCTCCACCTAGCAGAAAAGCCTCAGATGGCTGTTTTGCCCACTAATCTCTACCAAGTCGAACTAAGTGGATCTTTAGCATGTGATCTCTGTTATAACCAATCACAGCAATCACATACTACTGTTTACATTATTATTCCCTCCCCTTACTCTTACAACAGAAGAATAAGAGCAAATAGTAGTAATTGTGAATGAAAAATAAATAGATCAGGAACAGCAGCTGCTGATCATCCATTCATTTTCACTGACTTGGATCATTTAATTAACCCGTACACACACACACACACACACACACACACACACACCTGTCCCTTCAATAGACCTGACTACGTTATTGCAAACTATTATTTAAAAGCAATAAGGTTAGCAATACTTATTGTGAGATCTCATCCAATCATGGGGGGGATTAGTGAATGCAAGAGATGAGAGACAAACATCATATGCCTGATCTCACACATGCACCACACAACATTAAAGTCATCTATGTTTTCCCCATAATCTCACAGGTTCTTGCAGTTTAGAAACTAGATCTCCCTGGAAGGCACTGGTGATGTAGCTTTCCCAGCAGGAACCGGTAATCCCTGGCTACATCACCAATGCCTCACTAGACCAGGTGCGGAAATCCTGGTTCAGCACTGGCCTATACACATACAGCACAGCAATGAAGTAATAAAATGAACTAGGATCACACTAATCCAGCACGTTATTATTCTGAGTTGCCCCACTCAAGCGGCGGCCATATTGAGTGGGGCACGTGAGATTAATAACGTGCTGGATTAGTGTGATCCTAGTTCATTTTATTACTTCATTGCTATGCTGTATGTGTATAGGCCAATGTAGTTGGATCTGTATGTGCGTTATAATTAATCGAAATTAATCGATTAATCAATTTAAAAAAAAATTGGATTAATAGAACACAAACATTTTAAATCAGTACCAGCCCTATAAAAAATATGTGGGGTTGACTTAATGGAGAAAGTAAAAGTTCAGTTCTAAGGCATGATAGACTTCCCTAAAAAGATGAGTTTTTAGGAATTGCATGAAAGTGTACAGAGTCTGAGATAAGCTAACAGATTGAGGAAGAGAGTTCCAGAGGATTGGAGAGTCTATAGGGATGTCCTGGAGGCAAGCATGGGAGAAAGGGACAAGAGAGATAGAAAGCAGGAGGCCTTGGCAGGCATGAAAAGGAGGGTTTGGGTGATATTTTGAGACGAGGTCGGTGATATAGTAGATTAGAAGTACAACTACGCGTGCAAAAAGTTAAAAACAAAGACTACAGCATGCAATTATTCACTGGCACACTGTTTATCTAATGCTTGTGAATATGACACTTATTGTGGAAAAGGTTGCTGACCCTAGGTAGGGCTAGCATAATCCCAAGTTTTCTCACATAAACTGCTTTAGCTAAGTAAAATTTTTTTAAACACAGTATGGTCTCAAGGGATGTTCTTATGGGCCCGAATTATGGTTGTAAAAGACCCAACTCATTTAACCCGAACCAAACTATGCAGATCAGTGATCTGAAAATGCATTATACTCCTCGTATGGATTTTCATAACACCCCTAATGGCCTGCATGGGTATGATTGAGCCCTTCTGAAAACAATGTCCAAGCATCTTGTCTGCATTAGAAAATGAATCACCCATAGTAACCAATTGCATTTTCTCATTCTACTGCAGGAGAGAACCAAAACTGAAATCGTATTGGTTACCACAGTGTTAGATCATCAACAAGGAAACATAGGCAGGAGCCAAGGGCCTGATGAATGTCCAGGGGGCTCAGATACACCTTTTATGGCCCTGCAGTAAACCAGGAAGATAGAACAACTGGTCAAAGCTGTGCACCTGCCTGCCACTTCACAAGGGATGATGCACTGGTAGGCAGTTGTTGTCTGATGGGGCCATACCAAAACAGACAACAGATTTCCTGTACCTATTGCTGTCCCTATTAATGGCAATCGAAGAATGGTGGGAAAACTGCTACCTTGCCATTTTGTTTAAATGCATCTCATAGTTACTATTAGACTTTACATGTTTCTTTCTTTTTAATAAAGTCTACAATTTCAGCAGCAATTTAATAAGACTTACTGGTCATAGAGCGCTTCCCTTTTCTGTCTGGATTTCGATGGCTCCCCAAGCTGACATATAAGTCCGGAAATTATCAATAACGCCCGTAGAAAGTGCCTGAAAAAGTGGCCTGGAGAAAGCATGTTCACGGTTGGCTTTCCCCAGGCAGTGAGGTGAAAGCAGTCATTAAGGCCGGGATATCTCACTGCATGGAAAGATGTACTTTGTCCTTACAGAATCATTAATTCCCACAAAATGAGGCCAATGTGTTAACGCAAGCCCTTCGTTCACATTAATTGTTCAACTCAAGTGATGGGAGAGGACAAAGTGCTGACTGGTTACACATCAAACACAGCTGTAGGATTCTTGTCTGATAGCCATCAGCTTGGTGACCTTTGCGACAAGTTAGGAGCTGCTATGAATATGTTAATAACCAATGGTGGCAAGTGGAGCCTGGTGACTCTAGTAGTAATGTAGTACACGGTGTTAGCCTGCCCATGAACCATCCTAATACTGACCTAACACCCGTTAGAACAACTAGGAGAGGATGGGGAGCACATGAGCTAACCCTAAGAGGTGATAAATGCTTCCACTTGTTATGACTCATAGCAATTTTTGACTTGCTTGATCTCTCCCTAAACTCAGTGAGAAAAAGTAAGCTAGGTGTTAAAGGAAGCCTGTGATGAGTGGAATCTCGAGGCTTCTATTGCTGATCTAATTCCAAAAATGCCATTTGCCTGACAGCAATTCAAATCTGACTTCAAAACACTCAGAGGCATTGATCCCAAACAAGCATGCAACAACAAAAAAAACAACTTCTGATCTTCATTATTGTTACTGGTTAGTAACTAGAAAAAATTAAAGATATTAGACGATCTATGGCTAAAGCTGGTCACACACGCGTAGATGCATCCATCTATGCTAAACAGCATGGATGGATTAATGGCCTGATGGGCCACAGCTGTCAGACTACAGTAACAGTGACTGCAGCTGATTGACAAATTTCCACCCGGCTGCTATGACAAAAGTTTGAATTTTGGCTGATTCAGGAGGAATTGGCCAAAATTCACCTACTGCAGGGGTAGGCAAACTCTGGCCCTCCAGCTATGGTGGAACCACAAATCCCATCATGGATCAGCCTCTGGCAATCATGCATGTGACTGTGAGTCTTGCAAAAACTCACAGGATTTGTAGTAGCATCACAGCTGGAGAGCCAGAGTTTGCCTACCCTAGGCCTAGTGTATAGCCAGCTTAACTCTAGGGGGGTTATTCAAGAAGGAGCCGAAGGATCCAAACGTAGCTTAGGCTGATCCTCTGGCCGCCAGAACCCTTCGGTTCAGTCGAACCAAAGGGCTGCTGTATGGGCTATGCACTATAGTCCATACAGAAGCCGAAGGCGGGCCGAGCGGCTCAGCCGAGCCGAAGGCATATGGTTCGGCTTGACTGAGCCGAAGTGACACCCGAAGTGGGAAGAATGGTCTGCCCGAAGGCCGGCCTTTCGCCCCACAAATGACAGCTGAGCAGAGCCAGCCAAATGACCTGGGGACGCTGAACTGTCATTAAACAATAACAACTTTATTTAAATTTTTTCAACCTTTTCCCCCCCCCCGACTATTTTCATTGATTTTTTTATTCTGCTCGGTACCACAGAGTTGGCAGAGTAGCCGAGCCAAATGCCGCTATTCACTCATTGCCGTTCGGCCCTATGTTAACTTGCAGAGCATGTTCGGCTGAACGAATTGCAGCCGGTGTATGGCTGAAATCAGCCATACTGAGCCGGAGTGAATAGCCCAACGTAATTCGACTCACATCACTTAGGCTGGGTTATTCATTTGGCTGCCTTCGGCAGCTTTGTAAATAACCCCCTAGATGTTGCAGCTGCAAATCGAAAACATAGCCAGTACCCTTTATTGGCTAACTTCATGATTCCTCATTTCTCTTGAGCAGGAATGACAACTGTGAAATAACTCAGAAGAAGCAGACATATCAAGCTGTCTGTTTAGAAGAGTTTGCCACACATTCTGGCAGTTTTCTGTATTTATATGGCTGTTCTGGGCAAATATTAACATGTTAGGTCCATGGGTCATATTCAAATTCTTCTCATCCCTCTGTTGTTGACAACTGATTTCCAGATGAGAAACATATACTGGCACAAATGGAGAATGACTGTATTCCATGGTTGCACTGGATTCATGTATGTCTTGAATGTTCCAACAGTGAGATCTCTAAGCCCATCTTCAACTCTGGTGAAGTCCACCTGGGAGTTTTGTGTGTTCCTGCTTCTCGTGTGAATACTCCATTATGGAAGATTCATCAGAAATATAAGAAAAATAGTATGTGGGCCTGGGAACTCATCATAGACTCATCACTTACCTTCGGTTGGGGGGGCGCAAAAATGCAACTTTGCCTGTCTAGGCAAAAATCCTAGCACCGGCCCTGGCTATAGTCCCAATAAATGTAATCTAGAGAATGGTAATTAGATTGAATACAAGCTCCTTACAGGAAGTGCGGGGAAGCGATACAAGAAGATGCGGGTGTATAATGAACTGTGTTGGAAGGAATCATTTTCTGTACTGTACTAAATTAATAGTGATGTGTTGCTGTTCAAAAAAAAAAAAGGGCAAGGCATTACCTTAACCATTATTATTTTTGTTATAACTGTATACAACTATGAAATAATAGTAGACGTATTAATTTATTCAATATTGTGTACAGGTCAGAGAGGAGAAAATTTGAGATATCCCCAACTAGCCAGCAAAAGTATCTTTATAACTGGGCTAACACTGGTATACAATCCAGCATATCTGCAGATCGTGATAATGTTCTACATACAAAGATAAGATTTATGAGACTTTAGTATTGATATTAAATAAACAGAGTGTCTAAAACAACTTCACAGTTGCAGATAAAGTCACCACATAAATATACTGGAAACATTATTTTTTTTTCATTCTTAAAAGGATAATTGTACTTTTAAAACTCACTAACTCTTCAAAAAAATCCCAGAATGCCAAACAACTGCGCAAATATAAATGTCTACCAGTTTATTTTATTCCTTATGAATATTCCTTGTTCTCCCTATTTTCTGAAAGATATCATCACAGACTCAGGCCAGAGCAAACATTGCTCTGAGTACATCCAATCTGTCTGCCGTACACAGTGTAAAGGTGCCCATACACCTTACGATAATCGTATGCGATCGTGTCTTCGTCCGATAATCGTAAAGGTGCCCATACACTGCTCGATTCTCGTACGAGAATCGCGGGAAATCCCGCGATCGTACGAGAATCGAGCAGTGTGAACGGAGACGTGCAACCGTTTCTACTGTACGGTCGCACGTCTTCCGTCGAACCAGCATGTTCGAAAACCAGCCGGGAATCGTACGATTCTCGGCTGGTTAGAACGGTGCTCGGAAGACAAATGCCGAACGGGCCGGTGTGAGCACGCGCACACTGCCCGTTCAGCATTGCGGTCATCGGAAGCCCGCCCCTCAGGGGGACGGGCTTGCGATGATCGAGAGTGCGATCTCCCTGTCCAAGATAGGCAGATCGTACGTTTTTTTAATCCCTTTACAGCCATCGCAAGACTAAGGTCTTGCGATGGTTGTACAGTGTATGGCCACCTTAAGGTTGATGGGCAGTGTACAACCGCAAATACTGTACAATTGTACGACTTTTGACTTTCAAGCATGTTTGAAAACTTTGGTCGATCGTACGATTTTCGCAATGTTAGTGGCGTTTCCGTACGTCAAAAATCGTACGATCTACGCTGGTCATGCGCAAACGAAAATATGTGCGGTCGATTGCCGCAATTCGTTCAGGTGCTTTTCTTTAATTACGGCTAATTGAACCTTGCGATGATCGGGGCAGGATGGGGCCGCCGTACGAAAATCGTACGACGGTTTGATCATCGGACGAAAAGTGTCGTACGATAATTGTAAGGTGAATGGGCACCTTTACTGCAGGCAAGGTCTTCCAATAAAGAAGGCAGTCAGGGCTTAGAGATTATGTATATACAGTGGGCGGGGATTCATCAAAACTGGAGCAGACAGAATCTGGAGCAGTTGCCCATAGCAACCAATCAGCTTCTCTCTTCAGTTTGTTCAGTTAGGATTTTAAAATGAGAGAGAAGCTGATTAGTCACCATGCATAACTTCTCCAGATTTTGTCTGCTCCAGTCTTGAAACTTTAAAGTTTCAGATATGAAACTTTAGCCAATCATTAGCTCAGTATCAGCAAGTAAAGTGCTTGGCTCGTGTATTGCTTGTGACATTTGGGTGTAGTGGTCAATTTCCAAGCAATAATCACCACTGAGTATTTGGTTGCATCAGCTGTGCTTGCACTAAGTTGTGCTAATGCAAAGATTTTTGGTAATTTTGGAAAACTTCATCCAAATTCCCGTGACCCTTAGGAGAACTATGGGGAAAAACACTTACCGCATACTTCTCCTTTAAGAAAACAGCCTTTATTTTATATGTTCCCACACATACAAGTGGAAATAGAAATAAGTCGGGAAGGGTCCCAATGGTCCAGCAGGTAGATCTGCCATTGCTCATCTCTCTCCATTTTGCCTATGGTTTCCAAGGTCAGGACTGCCTCATAATTAATACTTTTTGAGAACCTCATTAGCCCCTGTACTGAAAGTATACAATGCCAAACCATCTGATCTACCGAGACAGAGACTTGATCACAATGACCCCCATCGTTTGTCATGAGAGGAGGGGCTTGTTGAAGAGGTAGACTCCCTTAAAACTTGACCCACAAGTGATTACTAGCAACCTCAGAAAAATCTCTTGGAAGCTTACACCTCTTTGAAATTTTGAGGACAATATTCCCCTGCACTCCTTCAGACACATAAAAAGACTGCTACCGCATGAAGGATCAGCTGACCTCTGACCCTGTGCTGGGACCTGGTCCCAGCTTCCCTCACTGAAATGTCCCTATCCACAATGAATGGACCGCACACATACTGGGGGGTATTTATCAAAACTGGAGAAGACAAAATCTGGAGCAGATTTGCACTGCAGCCAATCAGCTTCTCTCTCTCATTTTCAAATCTTACCTGAGCAAGCTGAAGAAAGATGCTGATTGGTTGCCATGCTCCAGATTCTGTTTGCTCCAGTTTTGATAAATCCCCCCACTGAATGTTCAGATGTTTTATTCAAGTAAAAGCTTTACAACAGCGGCATGGTCAGAAGTACCCTCAGGCGTTTTCTGAAAATCTTCACCTGAAGATTCTTTGCTCCAGGACAATCGTACACAGTCCATTTATTGTGGATGTATTTCCCAGCAGCAGTTTGCATCTCTGTTCCCTCCTACAAGAAATTTTGAGAATTCTGAGAGTCCCCAAGATACGCAAGGAGCCAACAGCAGATTCAACCCACCAGTAACTATGCAAAAATTAAACATGAGTTTTTGGTGCACCAAGTTCATAAAAAAAACTATAAATAACGGAACAAAAAAATGTGCATAAAATAATTTATTCAATCTACACAAAATATTTAGGGTTAAAAAAAGTCTTGGGTCATGTTGATCCGTGAAGCTGTGATCAGTGAGTCTGAAGTAGGAGGGTGATGAGTCTGGCAACAATGTGCACATTCAGACTGTTCCCGAGCAGCCGATAACTTTGTTTTACTGATATCTTTTCTGGAAGACCTAAAAGGACAAAAAAAGGGCATATGATTAAATGTTGTCTAATACACTGATAGCATGTGCAATTACACATACATGGGAACAAAATAATTCTTCCATTTGTATAATTCAGATTGTTGCAGATAACAATGCGACTGTATGCGGTGCAAATAGAGCATGACATCCTTGGTAGCCCTGAACAGCAATCAGATAAATCCCTAAATCAATGTTCTGCAATGTGTTTCTTCATAGGCAGCTTTTCTATTTCCTTTTTTGAAGCTATCTATGTGATCTGCTCAGATCAGTTATGCTGGGATAGTTTAGCCATATCTGCTTCAAACATCCTGAGCCAAAATACTTTACAGCCGAGACCATCTACAACTCAAGTTACTTCTGCCTGGACCCAGATATGGCTCCATTTTCCACAGTAGGATATTATATAACTTGGACTCGAAGACTAAAAGCTCACGTCAACAAGGACTGGCTCAACAATCTAGATGTTGCTCCAATAATGTCTGAGCTCCTGAGTCACCAAATATGTTACTGAAACACTGAATCCAGTCAGTGACATTTTTACATTGACTACAGTGCTTGCCTGATGTACCAAGGGTTGTCCCACCTCCCTCCTTGTACCTTCCCAATGGCCAGTTAGATCATAAATCATAATGATGGGCCAGCAGGAAGTGTATGTTGGCTCTAGAGTCTAGAGCCAATCTACACTTCCTGCTGGCCCATCATTAGAGTCTAGACGCCGGGGGTAAAAGTCTATATTTACATATTAGATCTGAAGCTTCTGAGCTGCTTTAGAAGGAGCCATGTGCAGACACCTTGCAAATTGACAGAACCCTATAGCTAATAAAGAACAACATACATATAGGAACTTATACTCTTATGATCTACACACCACTGCTAAGCAATGCGACTGTACAGCATAAGATATTAGAGCCTACAATGCATGAAGAGTACCACACTGGTAATGCCCACTCTGTCTTCACTATCGCCTGCAATCCAAGTACTTACTTCTGCCCATTAGTCTACAGTAAAGCACTCCACCTAAAGCTTGATTTTGAGCTACCGGTCTTTTTCGGAATTGCCGCACAACAGCTGAAGAGACCTTGACCACTAAAGGGTGTGGCCACTGAGGGTTGTGGTCACTGAGGGGCGCTGTAAAGCTTTCTCGCACAGGGCGCCTAAAGGCCTAAGGCCGGCCCTGCCTGTCACCAAGTTAAAAACATAAAAGTATAGAAAAATGAAGTACTTGAACTAGCTACCATATAGGACTTCCTAGCAAAGCTCCCTCCCTCCGTCACATGATGGGTAATCTGAGAGAATAGTTCCCTATCAGATCCTTCCTGGTGACTGACAGTGGACGGTAATGGGTGAATTTCATAGCCGCTAGTAACTATGAAATCCACCCACTGCCGTCCGCTGTCAATCACAAGGAAGGCTGAACTGATGGGTAATCTGATAAACTGGTTCCCCATCAGGTCCACCTAATTGCGAATGACAGTGAACAGCAGTGGGTGGATTCCATAGCTGCTAGTGGCTATGGAATTCGCCCACCGCTGCCAATCACAGGGAAGGCAGATTTGATGAGGAACTAGGCTCTCTGCTTCCCCATCAGGCTTTGCCCACTATCAATCCAGCCCCTGGTCATTGGTTTGATTTGGCTGACAGTGTCTTAGCAACCAATGACTCATCCGCAAACCCTTTCAGCTGCTGGCTTGGAGATTCCCCAGCCAACAGCTGAATGCAAACAAAGGAGAAGGGCTGCTGGCTGACATCATTGAGCAAATATAGCTATTGTCATATTAAAAGGTAATTATGTCAGACAGCATTCCTGGCCCCTTTCTTTACATTCAGCTACTGGCCAGGGAATCTCCAATTAGCCAGTCAGCCTTGAGAGGAAGCTGTCACATTCATGACTTCTTCCCAGCACAAGCATGCCCTGCTCTTTACTACACAGCAGCCCCACTATATAGTAAGGAGCAGGGCATGTTTGCATGGCTGTGTCTCTATGCCACTCTAAGACCAATTAAGAGTTGGTCTTAATTACCTCCAGCTACCAACCAAGTGGTAGTAATTATTTTAGAATCTGTCGCAGTCATAACGATACATTGTAAGAGCAGAGTAAATAAGAACTACCTGAATCTGTCACACATGTCGGAACTCAACTAAACTGTCACAAGTCTTCCATGAATTAGGTGCAGGGATTGTTAATGGGAGCATTGCGCCAGAAAAGTGTCACAAATGCTTTATTGAATCGTCCTCCGTATGTATTTAGCCGGTTGCCTGAAGTTTAAGCTGAAAACGCATTTCATTCATTAAGTTAATAATTACAAGAGTGTGTTTTTATAAATGTTAAAAATAGTTAACACATTACATATTTTCTTTGTTTATCACACATACCAAACTCTGGTGGGAATCCGTGAAGATTTGCAATTTCTCTCGGTGTGAAGTATCTCAGCTTCATTGTGGAAAGTTTAGCGAGCTTCTCCTCGTCAGACAATGTTTCCAGTGATTTATACACAGAGCTCATCTGCATCACAATACCAAAAGAGAAACATGAGGGCCCAGAAGCCTATAAATAAGAGTAATGAACTGTAGAACAGACAGCGATATTTCAGTTGTTCTCAGCTCTGGCTCCATTTTACAACAACACATTCCCTTTTTTTTGCTTTCATAAGGGCCATTCAGCGTAACCTGTCAACATCCTCCCAATAAATATATGCGGGCCAGCTAGTAGATACAGAGTTTGTGAAAAGCAGAGACATTTTTCTGCCCACTTGGCTGAACATTTAACTCATCCACTTAATGAGAGCGCCATTGTTCAGAAGCAATAAAGCATACAGTGACACAGACAGGCCCTGGCTGCCAGCATTATTGGTATATAAAAGCTGTCACTGGCCTATCAGTTATTATTGCCAGGATTTTAATAAGGTTCATGATTTTTACCAACTAAACAGGCACGTCTACTTGAAAAGCTTTCAAGCACCAAGGGCCACTTAATGGAGAGTGGAAAAACAATGGTTCCAGAACACAAAAAACAGTTATATATTTATATACAAAAGTAAAGAGACCGCAGCAGTAGCTGACACTATCATTTTTTACAGATTATTCATTATAAGAACCGTATTCTACAGAAATTCAACATTTTTGAGTTGCGGAGATGTTCAGCTCTTTAACCAGTTCAGCTCTCAGACCTGTACACCCCTATGGAACAGCACAATTTATACATTTCCTCTATGGGCCTGTTTGTTCTGCAATAAAGTTGTCATTACTTAGGATAACAAAGTAATACATACAAGATATATTTTTAATAGGGATGCACCGATATATCGGCCGCCGAAAGATATCTACCGAAAATGGCACTTTTGGCATAATGCCGAAAGTGCCATTTTCCTGCCGATACATTGGCGCCCAGCGGAGAGGGGAGAAAGTGTGACAGCCTGCTGAGCACTGCGGGAGGAGAGCACTGTTCACAGTCAGGCAGAGCGGTGTGGGGGCGGACACAGGCCGCGATGTCACAGGAGGCTGAGCTCTCCTCCCTGCACCGCTCGCTCAACCTCCTGTGACAGCGTGTCAGAGAGGAAAGCGGGTACAAGCAGTCAGTGATCAGTGATCGATGAGTGTTTGTAGATAATTGACGATATGGTATATGCGGAATATGAAATTGCTATTAGGACCCTTATAATACTTACCTGAAGGACCCAACTCTCTCTGACCCACTGCTTCCAGGTTGTAGCCATGGCTAGAGGCAGGATCTGTATGAGGTAGCAGGATTAATTAACTAACCATGTCAATCAGTGCTTCTGCCTCACAGAGGTCCTGCCCCCCAACTGCGGCTCAGACCTGGATTAAGTGGGCTGCTGGTATCCGAAGAGAGTCTGGACTTTTGAAAAGGTATTTGAGGATTTTAATGGCACTCTTGGAAAGACAACAAAAAGTGCAGGGGGGGGGGTCAGTCACTCTAGAGGGTTTAAGATCAACATTACATATTGGCTAGTAATAGTCCTGTCTCTTCTGTAGCTGGGGCAACTGCTAACATGCAAATGAGCTGATCCCATATTTCTAGAATATTTACTTGCCTGTGCCCACCCTGATTCGAGGCTTTACACATGTTACAAATTGCTTTCAGCATTCCACATGAAAAACTGTTAAATCAAGTTAGTTGGTTACAAAGAGTCTGTTGTGTGCAATCAGAATAAACAGAATCCCTGACTTGTGCTGAAATAGAGGAACAACATATCACAATCACTCTGCATCATTACAGAGTGGGAAGCACAAGTTGCCTGTATTTTCTCCCATTAGCATATATAATGAGATACTATAGACAGAATGCATTGATAAATCTATAGAATGCTTTTGCGTTGTGATTAGATTAGGATGTAGTGACATTATCTACGGGTACATTCCTGATACAGATTGTGATGTTTACAAGCAATGCACCAAATCAGAATGTTTCTTTCAGCAATTGAACAGTGTATGGAACTAGGCTTGACCAGTCCTGAATTCATTCATGAAGGTTTACCTCGACATCTGTTGCCATCTGTAAAACAGAACCTGTTCCTTCTACATAATGCCCATATCTAAAAAGAAAGAGGTTCAGAAGTTGAAATGATCCGTTCTGAGCAAGCATAATTAAATGTTGATAAAACATTGCTTTCAGCAATAGTCAATTAGGCCCAGAGACCAGACTGTATTTCATTATGGGAGATGGATAAGGAGAATAGTACCATACAATCACAGGGCAACACACAACACACTAAATACAGATTGCATATGTAATGAACAAATATGCTTGCCCCATGCACTTTTATAGATGTTACTATTTGTAAACTACACAAATATGTCTGTTAAGGTTCTCATTCATCCGGGTCATGGTATATCTGTAAACAATTCTTTAAGGCAACTGGGCTTGCTGTATTGTTTTTAAGACATTTTGCTGGTCATCTGACTAGCTTTCTCAAGCCAGTTGGATAACCAGCGAAACTTCAAGAAAAATACAGCAAGCCCAGTTGCTTTAATTTATTTTTTACAGACAAACTACACAAAGAAAAAACATATCTAAAAAAAACAATGATTATTTACATTACAGAGCAAGGAATAGTTCAAACTCTATAAAGTTTTTTTTTTTATGTCTGCACTGGGGTGGTTTTTCTTCACCTCCTGTCTCAGAGCTCAACAGGAAGCAAGATAAAATCTCTCTCAAGTAAAGGACCACCTCTCTTAGACAGTTGTCACCCGAACACATGACCTCATTGGAAATATTTCCGCCAGGACAAACAGGGTGAATCTACCTAGCTGGGACAGCAATAAAAACATGGCAGGGATTCTCTCCTTCCAAAATAAAACAAAAGGTTGTTCAGGAAGCTCGTCTGCAACTCACGGCTTTAAGACCTGTTAACGGGCTGGCGGGAGCTGGTGGTGAGGGGTTAAATATGCATCTTTGCTTTAGATAGAGTAGGGAAGAATTACAATCTCTAATGCTAAAGAAACATCTTCATCATTACTGAACCACTCCAGGCAGGGACGTGTGGTCAGGGGAGGAAGGTGAAGCAGAGCCTCACCTAGTATTATGGAGTATTATAGTATCAAGTCTGAAGCTGACAACTTTTTCTCCATTCAGATCGGCTTGTTACAGGTTACACAGCAGGGAAAGACTCCCCAGCGCTGCATCTGGCTTTTGACAGGTAGTTAGGTTACACAGCAGCGGTCTTCCTCACTGCTTGTGTAACCTAACTAGGTGAGGCAAGAGCTGTCACAGCCTATACTCTGTGTTAGAGGCGGGAGCTCTGTGGATTGTTTGGACCAATGGCAAAGCGCCATTGGTCAAGGCTGTCTAAATCAAAAAAAGTTTTAAAAAAGGACATCGATCTCTCACAAGTGACTCGCAAGTGAGGGACAGGGAGGCCCCTCCCACACAGCTTGATTATCGAGCTGGGGGCGGAGCTTCGGCGGATGGGGCAGAGCTTCGATGGGGCGGGCGGACCTTCGATGGGGCAGAGGTGGAGCTTCGACTGGCTGGGGGATGCCTCACCCAGCACAGAAGGCACCGCACGTCACCGACTCCAGGTAAATTCGGCTACTACTACTACTAGCTGTACAATAACTTTCACAGAAATATCAAATAGATGCAACGCTTTGTAAATGCTGCTATAGGGGTACAAGTGTGTGTTCACAACTGAATCCTCTCGCAAAAAAAGGAATTCCCCCCCTGTACACTGAGGGGAAGTTATCAAAACTGGAGCAGACAGAATCTGGAGCAGTTGCCCATGGGAACCAATCAGCTTCTCTCTTTCATTTCCAAAGCTTAACTAAACAAACTGAAGAGAGAAGCTGATTGATTACCATGGGCAACTGCTCCAGATTCTGTCTGCTCCAGTATTGATATATTTCCCCCCAATGTGTTTTAAGACAGCAATAAAGTGCCAGAACTACCACATTTTATATATGTGTGTAGCTAATAAAACTGTTATTCGTTACAAAGTACATTATACAGCTATTCCTCACTTAACAACCTACCTGTTTAGTGACCGCTCGCACTTACGACTAGCTCTCTGACAGTACTGCAGGAATGCGGCAGTGCGGCGTCTCACCGACTTCAGTACTGTACTCCATTCTCTGCTACTATTCACGGTAAGTACTGTATTTACAGATTTACACTGTACAGTAATGTAACTCTCCAACACTACAGTACTGTATACCATTCCTCGCTTAACGAACAATTCGTTTAACGACCTAGTCGTAGGAACGGAACTTGGTCGTTAAGTGAGGAATAGCTGTATACCAGAAATGCATTTATTGTTTTCATTAGTCTCCAATAACAACTAGAAAAACCCCAGAAAGATCAGCTCTGATCTACACCAACGTGACCTCAGGCCTTGTTCAGATTGGGGGATCTGGCATTCCTGAGGCATGAACTTATGGATGCCGGGTGTCCCTGTTCAGATATGGCTGCTGTACCCATTCAAGAATGGGTATCATTAACTTGAACAGGTACAGCAGCCACATCTAAATGGGACACCCACCGGGGATTCCCAAATCCCATGTGAATGGGGCCTCAAGCTGCCCCCTCACCAACAAGCAAAAGCATTGCAAACGAAAAGATGTTGGGAGGTACATTATTATTTTTAACTAAAGATTAAAGGGCAGACAAAAATTAATTTAACAAATCTCTCCAAAAATGTTTTATATGTGCATGTAGAGACCAGCCCCCACTTGGCATATCTGCCAACTCTTGCAATGAACATTTTTTATTTAAGCATTGATTCTCCAGAAGCAGTAATATGCCACTACCGCATTTTAAATGTTTTTTTTCCCAAAATAAGGAACTGCAACTAAGAATTGCACATTTCTGGTATACATATATATTTTTTTAAGAGGTGATGTGCTTCTGAAGGGAGTTTCTGGCCTGCTCTCATACCCAGGCCATCACTGTTGGGTTTCCAGTGAAGCTCCTTCAATGGAATTGTTTTATTGACCTGCATACCAAATTTTGTGGAGGGAACCCGATTACCTTGCTCAGCCTGAAACCTTGCATTAGTCCCAAAGTAGCTAGGGAGTGTCGTATCATATCACCATACCATCACCTACCAAGTATTTATAGCTGAACTTAAGACAAACAGCTAAATATACAGTTGAAATACATATACTATATGGGAGGTGTTCTACCCTGCCAAATGAATGAATGAATGAATCTCCATCTACCCATTCCTGAGATATTTACAACCTTGCCAGTCAGCTAGCCTGGTAACCAGACTTTTTCTCTGCTGCAGTTAGGCAATAAAGCTGGGTCACCTGCTTCCCCCTAGCTTGTGGCTGGGCTAACACAGAGAAGCAACAGACTGATGAGATCATCCATCTGCTCTATCCTCCTGTCAACAGGTTCCTTGTCAGTACATGTGTAGAGAAGACATCTGATTGGCTCCTAGTGCTGCTTCTCCCTCTCCCTGTGTGGGTGCTGCTATATAGGGGATTACAAAGGGCTATTATCAAGTTGAATTCCGATATTTATGCCAATTGCAATTAAAATACATGTAATTGTTTTTCATAATAACATTGCTGTATTCAATAGTGTTTTCTTTTATATTCTGCCTGGAGTACAGCTTTAAATGTCATTTTGGGATGGGTTTACCCTTTAGAAGCTGCTATATTGCACACTCACCCTTTTGTGAAGCAAGTTGACCTTCGACATGTGGGTTTAACGATATCCAAGATCAAAGCGTATCTCAGTAATGACTTTGAAGGCAGAAGGTACTGGCATATCTCTTCAGTGTTCTCCTCCAAAAAGTCTTGTAGAGTCTGTACAGAGCAGTCATTGTCCTGACTCTGTTTTCTCTCTAGCTCCTCAGCCGTTTCCAGCTTGTATACGGTTCCTTCTTCTGGGCACTGGGCACTGCTTGCAGCTTGCTTCTGATCTGTGTCTGCCTGTGAGTGCTCATTCAAACCAAGATCACAGCTAGTCTTTATCAATTGAGATTCATTTGTAGTAGGAAACGTTTCAAGAATCTAATAAAAAAAGTATATAGTAAACTGGTATACAGATTTATTAAACTGAGCCTAAAACAGGTCAGTAGTAATCATGCAAACGGGTGTTTGAATCAGTGTTGGTAATTATATATTGAAATGAGTGACTACATTCCTGGATAGAATAATCGTACGATCGCAGGATTTCCCGCGATTATCGTACGATTATCGCAAGGTGTGTGGGCACCTTAAGGGGGTTATTCACTAAAGAGCCGAAGGATCCAGCCTCAGCTCCGGCTGATCCTTCGGCTCTCTTCGGCCGCCGGAGCCCTTCGGTTCAGTCAAACCGAAGGGCTGCTGTACGGGCTATTCACAATAGCCAGTACAGCAGCCGAAGGCGGCCCGAGTGGCTCAGCTGAGCCGAAGGCATATGCTTCGACTCGACTGAGCCGAAGGCATATGCTTCGACTCGACTGAGCCGAAGTGACAGCCGAAGCGGGGAGGACGGCCTACCGAAGAGCATATTCGGCTGACCGAAGGCAGCCGCTGTACAGCTGATTTTAGCCGATGTATGGCTGAAATCTGGCGCACAAGCCAGAAGTGAATAGCCGAACAGCGTTCGTCTCACTTCACTTTGGCTGGGTTATTCACTCGGTTGCCTTTGGCAGCTTTGTGAATAACCCCCTAAGTGATTAATAAAACCCTCAGCACCTCAAAGAGCATTCCCTTTACGAGGCGTGTTAATTTGGTCACTATTTTATGGTTGTGTGTAAAATCTGTTTATTGGAACAATTACAGGACACAGGAACAAGTAAGTCTGCTACAATTGGGTTATACTGACAGCTTTAAAGGAGGAACTGGACACTGGCAAACAAAACAGCCATTGGCCAGCCAGGAATAATTCCTCCAACTCTCAGCATGCTTCAGTTTTCTATAAAACCAGTATAAGGAGTTGATCAAAAACACAGAGGGGTGGGATCTGTGCCCCTTCATGAACTCCAAGAAACTAATTGTATGATGTGTACAAAAATCGTGTTTTCTTTTTTGTTCATTAAGGGTCACCAGGATCAGTAAGGCTACGATAAGGATGTTCAAAAGCAGTCAAACTGAGGCTTGGGCAAATGAAAAAGCCAACAGGCCCACATAACAACGAAAAAAAACTGGGTGCTATATCCACTTCAAAGAGATTTTTGAGGGACCTTTTTGTCCAAAGCTGGCATCTGATGAGGCTTGAACATCCTCCTAGTGGCAAAGTCTGGCAGAGTACCAGGTGGCAGCCATGCAAATTTGAGAAACCTTGTCAATAGCTATATGTACCTGTGCAACAGGTCAGTTTTCGTATTCAGATCCCCGGGCTTCTGAAACACTGGAATGCAAAAAATTTCCCAGCCAGCCAGGTCAAGAGGCTGTCTCTACTGCTTCCCAAGCCTTACTATTGGCCTGTGAGCCTGCCCAATATTAAGGCTAAGGAGCTGGAACAAGGAAGGCCTATGCTCTCAGCCAGCGGGATTCAGTGCACTTAGGGAGCTGAATAGGAAAATGTACTTGATGTGCGGGTACCCAGAGGTGGTGGTTCAGGTAATCTTTTTCTATTTAGGCTTTAACCGGACAATGAATTGTACGACTACCTTTTGATGTGCATTTTAATTCTTTACTTCTACTTTTGATTACATGCCTAAAAGCTATTGAATGTTTTCAAGGTAGGCTAAACAATTGTTGCAAAGTAGAACTGCTTTTCAGATGGCCGTATCAAAAGGTACGCCTGTGACAAAGTACAATAACCAATTAATGGTTTAATTTAGAGACAAAGTTAGACATAATTACTTCTATGGCAAAAGAAAATTAACAATACACCTTGCACATTTACAGAACATTGGCAAAACCTACCATAAGTAATTATTCCAAGTGCAAGTCAATTAAAAATCCAGTCTTGTTGTGATGTACTTGTAAAATAATTACCAAAATTAGGCAGCCACCACCTCCACATGTAAACCCACATGGCATTTTTAGAATAGGAAGGTCTGTGATCGTACTGTGCTTGTTAGGTGCATAAAGGATAACAAAACACAAGCCAATACAATGATAACCAATCTTCTGTACAGCAGCAATTAAACTGAGATAATGGTTAAAGCAGAAAGTGACTTCTCACGAGTCACTGTTGCCGTCCGTCCGTTTTTTTACTACGGGCGGACGGCAAGAGGTTAAGGCTGCAGTGAGCTCAAAGAAAGGGTGGTGCTGGAACCAGGGAACCCCTGACCCTTAAATGAGCAGTTTAGCATTCTCTATTTGTGATTTACCTAGCAAAACATGAAAGCCACAGTACAAATTAGAGTGCCAGGAACCGGATCTGAACCCAGGGCCTCTGCTGTAGCTGGCAGTGGTTCTACCTGCTGAGCCACCTTAGAACCTTGGATAGCTTCTTGCCTATCTCCTGTGTAATCCTCAGTTAAACCTAGTTTCTGCTGAACTCGGAACTCCTTGCTCCTCCCTTGAACTTCCTATTTAAGCCATGCCTCTGCACTTCCTGTTTGCCAGATTATTGTGCTCCTGCCAATATCTTGCATCCTTGCTCCTCCTGTGATACAATCCACACATACTGCTACCCTTGTACCGACCTTTGGCTGCTGATTCACCGACTACTCTCAATGTCTTCCACTTCATACCTGATACATTTGGCTACTGACCTCGGCTTGATCTCCGACTATGCTTCTGCCTGCTCCTATACTATTACAGTCTGCTTGTGTACCCAACTCGGCCTGTTTGACTACGACTTTGCCTGCTGTTTCAGCTACTGGATTCCGAGGCTTCTCAAGATCGTGACATAGAGTAACTATGCAGGTATCCTGCGAGTAGGATGAAAGTGGACCTATAAATAGTGTGCTTCATCATATTAACGGTAATTTGTCCTCAATATAAAAACCTGTGTAGAAACCATAACTAGGAAGCTAGCTCTATAATTTATGGGCCACATACTAGTCCTGAGGTAAAGTGCTTGTTCAGTATGACTGCAAGCAAGATGACTGCTCCCAATAAGCCTGCAGCTTGCAAGCCTAATCAAAAGAGCTTCCATCAAAGACCTTTCAGACGGGTAGTTGCAATGACAGCAGTGATCTAAAAAGGTATCTGTGAAGCCAGAAGCCCAGAATGGTTAAAAACCCCCAACAGGATTTGGTATGACCAGGGAGTAGAGTTCTCTTCACTCTCCTGGAGACACAAAAGGAAGTGAAAGGAAATCTCTAAAGTAAGCAGAAATCCAAATTTAGACAGTTGTCACCAGAACAGGCGTTCCCTTTGAAAGCTTTTCCTGGCCAAAGACAAAAGATGGTGGTTGGACAGGACATCACACCCAATCATACAACCATTATTTAAAATGATAGGTGTATGAACTTCAGAGTTCATGTTGGTTGGGTTTGTTCATGCTTATGACCTTCCACTGACTTATATTTAGGAAAAAATAGTGATTGTCCAGGACAATTCAAACTGGCTGACCAAGCCCTTGGCTGGTTATCTGGAGATCTCTGCTACAGTTGCAGTTTAACAATAGATGTTTCCATCACTACCCAACATGGCAGATACAGTATGGACCAGCCTAAGAGATGGCCGACTTTTGTTTCTGGTCACATTGTGACTGTAGCAGAGCAGACCATTAGGGGAAAAGTTGGCTTTCTTCACTTAGGCACTTTGTTCCTACTTTTGTTGCTGTAAAGCATGTTTTTGATATATGGAGCCTCAAGTGCAGTCCTTACATCACCAAAGGGTCACACATAATATTTAGTGAATGCAATGTTAAAAGGAAGCTGTCAGAGGCACCAGAGATACAAGAGATGATTGTTAAAGACCAGGAGCATACTACAAGAGATATTCAGAAACGGCGAACATGCTGCAGAAGGTCAGAGACTGCAAGGCATGTTTATTGGAGTTGTTGGAGAATGGGTGCATGTTTTAAAAGACAGTCAGAGCCTGGAAACAAATTACTGCTAAGGCCTCATTCACATGAGAAAAAGCCGGCACGATCAGCTCCGTTCTGCGTGCACGGCTGTATTCGGCAGCTCCCTAGAAGGATAGGTGCTGCGTGTGATTAGTACGCAGCCCCTGTCCTTCTCAATGGGAGTACGCGGCCGTACGCCGCCCTACGCTCACCCCAAGTCCGTACGGATGTGGGTGTCCTGGCTCGGACGCAGACAGGATCCATCCTGTCAGCGTAGGAGTACGGAGACACGCACCCGTACGGACATGCACGTCGGGTGAGCGTAGGGCGGCGTACTCCCATAGAGAAGGACAGGGGCTGTGCACACAGCACAGAGCTGTACGTGCCGGCTTTTTCTCGTGTGAATGAGGCCTTAAGATCACTGCTATAAGGCACCGATCAGCTTGTTTTTGGAGGTTTTTAATTGCATTTCAGCACTGAAACGTGATTTAAAAAGCCTTTTCAAAAATCATGTGGCAACCGTGCTAAAAACGCTTCCGCCCTGGTGTGAATGGGGCCTTACATTTGTGCAAAAAATGTAAACATTACTTGTGAAGGATCTTTATACTTCCCTTAGCCAGTAAAAACACAGAGGGAAAAAAACATAAAAAGAAAAGTGGTACAGACAGCACAGAAAGAAATATCACGTGAAACAAATAAAGTAAGCTAACTAGAACAATACCAGTCTAAAGAAGAAATATTCACTGGTCTAAGTAAGCACCTTAATAAGGAAGACTCAGATTACTGTCTGAGGGGCCCTGAGAGCCAAAAGGACCACAGGTTGGGCACCAGGGCTCTATCGTAACATGAATTATTATTTTGGCATTGCAGCTTTAAATCATGTGTGACTGTTATACTATGAAGGACAAAAAAATAGCTGGAAGCTCACTTTATTGGTGGTCTGGAAAGCAAATGGCTCCGATTGAAGCTTAGCAATCAGAAAGTACCGCAGCCTTGAATTTGGAATCCCGAGCTAGTAGAAAAAGAAACACAAAGCAAAAGATTTAATGAAGGCCTAGCATGAAATTCTGGCAGCCACATAACAAGCGTGTAGAAGTACAACCCACAATGGAGATGATACATGAAAACTAAATGGTAAAGTGTTTCCAATAGCAACCAGTAACATACCAACCAACCAAATTTCATTTTCTCAGGTAAAGTGACAGCTGCAACATGTAGCAATGGGCCACATAACTTTCATTTTTCCATTGTTTAGAAATCAGACGGCTCATTTTCCATGTGTCTTTTTTTGTGCTGATTTTCTGAAACAGTTATCTAACCCTACTGAAGCCAATATAATTAAAATTGCACAAGCCTTTGTATTATACAGTAAGGTGTATTAAAAAAAAGGATTGTAAATAGCAAAGACCCACAGGCAATTACAGTTAAATGAAATCTCTGAAAGCTGAATTCTCATTGGTTGCCATGAGCACTACGCTAAGCTCATTCTTATTTGCCTTCTAAAACTAATGTTACCGTTCATGAGATGGTTACCATGTAGAAAAAAAATATCTACGAGTTTCTTTAAAAAAAAGCACAGAAAGCACAGCACAAAATGAGCAAATGAGAATTAGACCTCCTGTACATGGCATTTGTAGGTGCAGGTGGGGATCCTTGCGGAACCTGTGGGTTTTTGTGTCAGGAATCCCAGGTGTGTCCGTACATATGTGCCTGCTGTTCCAATTAATGGCAGGCTGACAGTGGCTGCATCTGTCCATGGCTGTCCGCAAACGAGATTGGGGGGAATTTATCAAAACTGGAGCAGAAGAATCTGAAGCAGTTCCCAACCAATCAGCTTCTTTCTTTAGTTTGTTCAGTTAGGGTTTGAAAATAAGAGGTGGATGCTGATTGGTTGCCATGCACAGCTGCTCCAGATTTTGTCTGCTCCAGTTTTGATAAATTCCACTCACTTAGTGCAGGGACAAGCATTTCTCCCAATCTGCATACAGAGCTCTGCAGTCATCAAAGCTCACGCTTGCTGCTGATTCGACGTTCCTTCTGTACATTCTGTTCTGTGCCTTGGATTTTGGGCTGCTGCTAGAGAACCAAATTACTACTAATCACAGGAGCAAGCTTACATTTAGGCCCTATTCACACTAAGCGACATACCTTTTGGAGCGGATCTGCGCGGCCGAGATAGCGTGACTTTCGGGGCGACGTTCCAGCGGAAGAAAAAAATAGAAAAATTGCGCAAAATCCGCTGAAAAAAGGGTCCTGTAGAAGCGACTTGTGACCGCAACGAGCGACGGGCGACATGGAGCTGTACATGAAGACAGCTCCATTGAAAATCATTGGCCGGCGAATTCTCGCGGTATCGTGCGGCAAAAATCCGCGATATGCAGGTGCACACTGCTCCATCAGCCGAACATCAGCTCCATCAGCCGCTGAAGGTTTAATAACCCTTTAAGCTTTTTACAGATTGAGGAAAGTGTCTAGCAGGTTCCATCTTAAAACGTATATCAAGCCAAAATGCTTTTTTAATTTTTGACAATATGGGGAAGTATCAGAACTTCTTTTTAATGCTGTCCTGGGCTCCATTAGGGGGATATTCCCTTACTTGCCGACCCAGTGACAATGTTTTCAACAGACAGGAAGTAAGAGAAAATTTACAATAGGGGCATTGTATGCATTTTTTAGTAGAGTAGAGGAAGGCTAGAATCCCTGCCAGCTTTTTGTCACTGTCTACTTCCTTGTTGAAGATTTTCCCTCACTTCCTGTCTGATCAAACAGTTGTCACTGTGACTTTAAGGAAAGCAAACAGACGCAGGTAGCAGTTAAAACTCAACTGGGGATCCAATCCTTCCCCACCCTCACCCAAAAAAAGTTTTTTGTTTAGACAGGCCGTTCATTCGGGCTTTAAGTGTTTATAGTAATGTTTAAAACACATTTACAAAAACAAAAATAGAAATGAAGTGATGAATGCTGGTAATTCTTGTCTTGGCTGCTATTTTCCTTTAGGGAAATGTAGCAGGTTCCAAGTCCACATAATGTTTTTGCCCAAGAACAGCCCATGGTCAGAAGTGTATGTATGGGGAAGAAGAGAAAAAGATGAAAAGGGAGAAGAAACAAACACAAAGTAACATCTTACACCAACAAAACAATAACTCAAAAATGAGTCTAAGCAGCATGACGTCATTACTTACACATGGTGGGGAGAGAAGGAACTCCTGGAAATGATACCCACAGCTTTGCAACGTTTTGATCAAGGTGCCTCTGGCAATGAAGCAAAAATATCAAGCTGAATGTTATTCCAGTGAACTGTCGAACTTTTCTGTGCAATGTGCTGCCAAACTGCAGCCCTGGATGTTCAGAGCAACCGATGAGCCCATCCTGAGTGTCAGGACTTGTTGTCACTGGCTTTTTTGCTATTTTATCACTTTTATCATCTTAAAGTACATGTAACCCCTAAAAGAATGACGTTATGTTTGCTAACATGCTGTGTACCATAAACAACTGCCATTTTTTAAACAGAACACTTGCAGGGTTATTCACAAAAGGGTGAAGAGTTTGGAGAAGTCAGGAGAAGGGAACAATCTAGGACAACATCGCTGAACTGGAAAAATTATCCAATTCAGCTCACTTTCCAGTTCAGCGATGTTGTCCTAGATTGTCCACTTCTCCTGTCTTCTCCATCTCTTCACCCTTTTGTGAATAACCTTGTTAATTTCACCTGTTCCTTTGTTCCATCTCTACACTGCTGATCTCCTATGACTTCTCTGTAGCCACATCCTGTCCACATGCATCCTAGTGATGGCTGCGTGTCATTTTTCAGGGAGGTTTCTTAATATTGACAATAGTGAACAATGCCAGTGTTATGTGTTCAAACAGCCACTTGTAGTCTCCTTTGGAAGCCTGCGTGGAAGGGAGGCAACGCAGGAGCACAATGGGCAGACAGGGACAGTGGTTGTCACCCATTAAAAAAACAAGGACCACACCAGGGAATATTTTAACAAAAGTGGCAAATCTACAGCCACCCCTTTAGGTGACAAAAAAGTAGATTAAAGATACCTGCCAAAGCAGGACTCTTAAGCTGGCCATAAACTGTAATATTCTTCTTGTTCAACCTGCTGGCTGAATGAAGAAAATATTTCAGATTTCTCGATCAACGCTTTGTGTGTAGACATCACCAAGCCCTAAGATTGTTGGTATACCCTGCCATCTTGGATGTGATGTCAGCAGCCCCAGAGCTGTCAACTAAGTGACAGGCTATAGCTGAGCAAGGCAAACTTTAACCCTCCAGCTGGGCTAAAACTACAAATCTCATTAGGCATTTCAAGACTTTGACAGTCACAGGCCTGCTAGTGGCAGATGCATGATTGGATTTGTAGTTTCAGCACAGCTGGAGGGCTGAAGTTTTGCAACCCCTGCTCTGTAGTATTCCCCTTTGCTTCTCCCCCGGAAGCTACATAATAGGTTATGTAGAGATGTGAGGGATGGGCGGAATAGCTGGATCAGCACAAGATGAAAGGGCTAGAACATGGATGGATGGACGGAGGGGGCTGTGCTAGGGGACAGAGTAGTCAATATTTATACCACGCTCAAAGGCATGACAAGTAAATTGAAGAAATGATTTATAAAAAGGAAAAACACTGCAAATAGGCATTTCAAATACTTGATTTTTCTGTGCTTTTATCTGCAATTTGTTAAGTTGGCGACAGGGTCTCTTTATCTGATCCTCCCCTTCAGCACAGATCTTATGACCAAATTCCTAGGCATAATTATGGCCAGCACTGAAAAGGTATTTGAGTCATTTCATTATTCTGTATTTATTTACACCAGGAAGACTGTTAGTGTTATGTTAACATTATATCATAAACTCTTGCTTTGCCTTACCGTGCTTCAGATGATTCAAATCCTTTCACGTTTTCCAGAAGAATGTATTTTGGCGTTTTCTGAAGTCTAAAAACATACTCATGTAAAAATGTACTCATGTAAACATACTCAAAGTACTCATGATTTGCTAAAACACTCTGAACCGTAACCACACAGAAATAAAAAATAAATATAAAAAGCAATTCTGCAATGCGGTGTATACAAAGGGTTAACCCAACCACGACGAATGTTCCAGTTTATTTTAGACACTGGTGAGGCCTCAGAAAGAGTGAGAACTTTGCACTTGACTTCCTGATCCTGACCCCCCACCATTTCTAGTACAAGTGGGTAGTTCCACTCGCCTCTGAAAACCTTTTATTTCATTTTATGATATTGAACAGAAGGAGCGGATACACAAAAAGCTCTTAAGTGCCTGAGGTGACAGGCTTTTGTGTGTGTCAGACAGGTTTTGCATTCTCATACAAGTCTATGGAAATGAAAAGCCCACTTAAAGCAGGTCAAATCTACCTGTGCATAAATTTTGAATGATCTCAGAAGCATCTCAAACTAATGTCGCACTGAGGCCATTGACAAGAAACCAACATAGTTGTCACAAAGGTTGGCCTTTGTTGATCCCCTTTACATGGAAGGTTATTGGGGCTAAAGATGTTTGTGATTTCTTTGAAAGCGGGACCACAGGAATTATCTTTTTTGGAAACTTACATTGGAAACTTACATAAGTATCCAGCTTGGCTTGATATAAGTATTCATGTCTGATATTTGGAGGGCCGCCAGGGATGCTAAAAATCACTGTAGCAGTCTGCACTACATACAGTGATGGCCATGATTTTCAGGGTGCTACTCCAATGGCTTTCTCTCACTGAGCAGATGGAGTTGCTCACTTGGCACCATTGCCATTCAGAGAATGCCTTGTATTGTTTCAATGAATACAAGGCATCCTCTGATTAGATGAGGTGAAGATTGTGACATCATCTGCCCCCCTCTCCACTTTGTCCAATTAAAAAACACCTCAGAAAGGACTGGTAAGCTGCACTATATTACATTTTAGGGTTGTGGCTTATTTTTAACTGGCATGTTTGACACTGACGTCTTTAACTAACATCTTTCCCTCAGAGCTGTCCAAGTCTGTGTTCATTCCGCAGCACTGATGCCCATCCAAGTTTGTAATAAGTGGCCTCCGTCAATGGTTTACCATTGGAATAATTTAGCAAGCACACATTAATACGGACCTTTTGTTTCAAATGCCTTGCTCAGACATAAGCTGTGTTGTTATGCTGTGTGGCAGAAGTAGCTGGATCACAAAACTAGCTGAACTAATTTACAAATATACAATATGTACTTCAACAGTGTATTTAGGTGGGTGGCTGGATTTTCAAATTGCAAAAGGTTGAAATAGTTTCTTTTCACTTGAAAAATAAACAAAAACATAAAATACAATGCCAAACAGTTTTGCATTACTACATCAACTAGAAACACGTTTAATATAACTTTTTGTAAAATTTTCCACTAACAGAACCTAAAACAGTAATATCAAACATATTACAGTTATTCTGAACTTATCACATTGTGTTTGTTCCAAGAATAAACTTCAAAAGAGGAAACACTGCACCTTGGAAGGACTTCCAAAAGATACAGGAAACTCTTTGCCCTGGGGTCAGACACATCGCCTTGTAAGCCTATCCTATCAGAGAAAAATATAAAAGGAGAAAATATTCAGAATTTGGTGGTCAACTTCTAGTTCCACTGCAAAGACATTAAAAACATGTAAGGGTAAACATGGTCCAAGTCCACCTCAAGCCAACATTTATTTAGTTTTTCCAGTTGAAGAGTTTGATCCTGCCAGGTTTTTATGGCTGTCTGGGCCCGATTTGGGTGCTTTCCCCTCAACTCATGACCCATTGATGACAGGAAGTGGGGAAAAGCTCTCCTTATTGATGACACAGACCGCTCTAAAAAACTGACAGACTTTAAAACCTTTTTTGGCTTTACCTCTCTTTTGGGTCACGAGTACATTCACTAATGTACTCCTGTGACCCAAAGTCAGCATATAGCGGCCCCCTATATGCTGACAGCATAGAGCTGCGCTGCAACCGGGAAGGATACCCACAATATTGTCGGGATCCACCTAGCTGTCTGATTGACAGTTGACTCTGTCTCTCTAAAGCCAGAGCCAGCTATGCTCGCACCCTCCTATGTCTGTCCTTCCAATGAGCACTGGAGGAACACAGAAGGGAGGGGGAAATCACTGCAGGGAGTGGAGACTGACAGTCACTGATCCCTGCAGGGAGAAGACTGAGCTGAGCAATCAGAAGTAACACGAATGCTCAGCTCTCAATCTATAGAGTGGGCGTGTGAAAGCTGCAGTATCACACACCGGCTCCAAGTGTACATTTCACTCTTTGGTCGCAACTCAAAATGTTGTATCTTTCCATCACTTACAGTCCTTGGGACAATGGGCACTAAGACACTAAAGGCCGTGACACACTGCACGCGAAGCAGCGCGGAGCGGTGGCGCGCTGCCTTTGCGAGCAGTGTGTCACGTCACCTTCTTCTCGGCACCTCAGCTTGCGAGAGCTCGCAGAGCTGAGCGTGCCGAGATGAACCATTTCAACTTCAGCCAATCGGCTCGCGCGTATAAACCGGCGCGACGGGATGCGACGTCTGGCCGGTTGTTACAGACGAGCCGATTGGCTGAAGGTGCAGTCAATCATCTGACTGCACTCAGCTCACACACTGCACGCAAAGCTCCGTGCCGGAGAGCTTTGCTTCGCTCTGCACGGCTTCGCGTGCAGTGTGTCACGGCTTTTATAGAGAGTGAATATTTATGGATAAACTGCACAGTACTAGTGACCAAGAAATGCAAGTGCCTGCTGTTGGTTCAACTGGTTAACCACCAAAAATATGGCAACCAATGACACTGGTACTAAGGATCATTGAGGAATACATGAATCCAGGCTAAAAGCTTAGCACAGCTACCTCGCAGTGCTAAGGTCCTAAGATTTACACCCACAAGGTACACTATATGCATTGTATTATCTCCCCCATGTGTTGGTTTCCTCTAGATTTTCCAGCTTCCTCCCACAATGCAAAAACCTGCTGGCTTCAGCTCCAACTGACCCTTCTGTGTGTAGGACTGTGGTTACCCCGCTTTGGTTGTAAGCTCTATGGGAGGTGGTGGTGGGGATTGGTGAATATAATTATTCATTGTTCTCTGCGGAACTGTACTGTATAAAGAAGAAACATTGAAAACCATACAGCTATACTTAAAATATTAATTAGCACAACATCTCTCCTCTTCTGCAAGGCCTCTTTCTGTCCCTGTTGATCAATCCACTCAACTATATTTGTTCTTCACTGTTAACATTTCCTTTATTTTCCAAACTTACCGTGTGAATGGCTGGCAGGGTGGACTCATCAAGATCATATCAAATGATAAGGAATCCAATTCTTTCAATGGTATTCCCTAATACAGAGGAAGGAAAAAGCATGCTGAGTCACAACAGCGAATCAAGGGTGACCTTAGAAGATGTTTATGACATCTGAACAATGGAAGCCATGAACCAGCTCTGCATATAACTAACTCAAAGACCACCCCTAGGCACCAAGTCAAATTATTCAATGTACTGATAATGCTATCAGGGAAACAGCTGTTTATAAGTCACAAGATTCACTCATTGCCCTAAGCTGAGATTTATATTAATTTCCCATGATCCCTTGCAGCTAGGTCAATCAGGGCTTTCACAATGCCTCTGTACAGGACTGAAGTCTATTTCTATTTATCGGTATTCTCCAACATCCTGCCTGAGACATTGGGGTTGATTTACTAACCTTATAAACACACCACGAACATGTATACACCTCTGTAGTGTGTTCCCTCCCAGCATGATCTATGGGTGGAATCTAAACACCTTTGTAGTGTGTACACACCCAGCAGGTGTGTTGTGCAAAGCCAAGCATGAATTGCAAGGTGATGTTGTGTAAATTAGCTCTATGTTGTGTTGCTTGCGTTGATGAATGCAAGGAATGTAAATGCATGAGCTAACCATTTTTGTCTAAACTGTGAAGCAGCATTATATATGCATCATGTGCATGATTTTTCCATATATGGCATTAGTGGAAATATGCTTTTAGAGACTTTTTGGTTGATAAATACGTTTTGCTGTGTGAAAATCACACGCACCTGGTGCGTGCGTGTGTTTAGGTTAGTAAATCACCCCCATTCTGTACATTTCTCTGCATCCAATGCTGTTAACTTCAACAGAGGTGTATGAGGGCCTGAATAAGTAAATAAATGATCAGGAATGTGTATAATTAGATTGCAGAGAGACCGAGGTAGACAGAGTGAAGGGTAAAATTAGGATTGTTCACAAACAAGTAGCCTGTTGTTCTCTACCTGTATGAAAAGCAAAAGCTCTGCTAAGTAGGCTTCAGGTATGTATCCCATGATAACTATTCAAGTTTGATTGGATTGTATCTCCAGATATTTTTGACAATTCTTATACTCTGTAAAAGTAGAATTAATATATTTCTTGTTTAATGACCTTGTACAAGTTTCTGAACCACTGTGAACATCGGTGTTCATACCTATTGGGTCTGTCTACAGGTATCCGCAAACCAACTACATCATTCTGTATAGATTACTGTTTACAAAAGATATCAAGGTCAAGTTTTCCAAACTTACTAATAAAATATGTCTGGATAAGACAATATCATCAACAAAACATTAACCAAACAAGCTTCCAAGATATTATTACATTATAAAGGCCAGGGTACTGTCAAACCTGAGCAAACTGTCCAAACCTTTATAAATCACCCTGGTTATAAATTGCAAGGTTAGTCACTCATTGGAAACCTAACTGACCTGATCTTTAACAGACTTGGGTCAAACACAGGCATGTGTACATACATATATTGCCTGGAGGCAAATGAAAAGTAGATAAAGAGGCAGTCACCGGTCTTGCAGCAGAGAGAAGTCAAAGCATCAGCATTGTATTGTCAATTTTTAAATGAAGCTCAGTCCATCTTTCTCAAGGCAATAGCGTTGGTGAAACTACAAATCCCATAATGCATCTGCCTCTGGAAGGCATACCTGTGGCCATCAGAGTCTTGCAATGCCTAATGGGATTTGTAGTTGCACCACAGCTGGAAGGCTGGAATTTGCCTACCCCTGCTCTTCATCTTGGTGGTACCAGAGATGTAGAAGGGCAATGACTGTATAAACTGGCAGATTTAATGGATGTATAGATGGATTTTCCATACCAACATAATGCATTCTTTTAGAGTTTAAACTTTAAACTAAGATTTTATAGTTTCATCCTAGCTTTTACCAACCTCCACTTCAAGTATCTCTCACTCTTATTCAACTCCAGATGTTGACCGAACTGTTTACCGTAGGTCATTCCTCCCGGAATCAGAGTTACAATGTGTCTCAAAGAGGGACCTTGAAAGGTGTTAAATGTTGCCATTGCAGGTAAACATTGTATCAACTTTCTGCATTTGGGGCCTATGCACTGTATAGTGTTGTGCTAAACATATGGATACTGTGCATTTAGTGCACGCTATTGCATAGGGCACCTAGCGTGCGGTACCATTCACATTCATTTCAGTAGCACCCTGGTGGCCATGCATTGCAGCGTAAGCAAGGTACCTTCAATACCGTGCACTGTGATGAAAGAAAGGAATGCATTTTTTCACCGCACCGCAATAAACCACATTGCAGAATTACGTGTTGCTCTGCAATACATTGCTGGCAAAAGGTGTATTGGGGTGCAATTCAAACGACCAGTACCGCATGCTAGGTGCGCTCTGCGATACCGTGCATTTAGAGCAACGCAATGGAATGAATAGGTCCTTACAGCTAAATATATAAATGTCCCAGGGAAAAGACATGAAGATAATCAAAATACATTGCCACATTTGAGTGGTGGGTAGTATCTTCCCACATCCAGCTGATTTTTTTATCTGATAAATCCATTGTAAATACTGACAGACATTTTGAGTCTCCATTATCTGTAATTCAAAATATTAAAACAGAACTCCGGGAACGTAACCCCCCAGCCCACTACACTGGACAGATTTTACATATATTGTATATTAGTAGCTCTTTCACATAATGTAACATTTTTGTTTTACGTTGTCTTAGATTGAAAAGCCTAATCAGTTCTAGGATGATTTGTGTGGAAATACTGCAAAACATAAATGATGATATAACAGTACTAGTCTTCTAATCATGTCATAGTGACATGCAACAGAAATGATGACTGCGGTAATATAAAAAGCGGCCTTATCAGTTAACCTTTGCACAAGGTTAGCTTTGTTAATGACACTTTTCACAGAATCAGGGCTTGTACTGAGCTGATATTACAGTTTTCCACATTAGACTACAGTATAGAATAATTAGAACCCGTCATTTTTTTTGCTGTGTCCAAATGGAAACATTTTTCTTTACTTTCTGTCTTAAAGACAGAAAAGGAAGTGATGAGAAATCTCACCAATATTGGGGGAAATCCCCTCTTAGACAGCTGACATCTAAACATTTGTATCCACGCAAAGATTTTTGGTGACAACCGTAAGGGCCCACCATATCCAGTGTGTCCCAATGCACCTGCAACGTACTGGATTGCATAGATCAAGCCTGGCAGCGTTCTGGGGCGGAAGGGAAGGGGTCGTGTCGATGTCATTCATGCCAATGGCACAGCAGACATGCCCCCCGCCCACAGTGTGATCGCCTGTACCGGAACTTGAGGTACAGGACTGCAGTGCATTCACATCAGTCCCTGCCCTCAAGGAGCTTACAAACCGTTTAACACTGACAAGTTTGCCTACAATGGTCGGTTTTTATTCATATATGTAAAACCTTAATCCCAAAAGAAAAGAAAAAGAAAAACTGATGCAGTAACTGCTAAAAACGTGTTAGCTGGAGTTCATATTTATTACGTAGGGCCATCAAAATTTCTAGTCCATCTAACACTATCCTTGCCACAGGGTGACAATGCTGCTGTCCAAGTGTGGCTCCATTGTTCCTTCATAGAGAGGAACCACCCCAAGCCTAGGTTTACACCATTTTCTGGACCAGATCTGAAATATAGCGCATTGCGTTTTTAACGTGATTTTGATGCCATTGGATTTTTTTTGTTTTTTTTAATCTTAAAATGATCTTACAGGTGCGTTCCAGTGCATTTTTGATGCGTTCCAGTGCATTCCAGACCAGACAAAATAGGACAAGCAGTATTTTTCTGGTCTGCGCTGGTGGGAGCAGAGGCCAGAAATAGCATAGGGACACATTGGGATGCATTTTGGGTCCGGAAACCGTCTGGCCTGGAGGTAATCTGTATGTGGTGTGAATGGGCCCTTAGACATAAAGTGTGTGTCTGACCAGATCACCAGGTGAAAATAAAAAGCTACAAAAAAAGCCTAAATAAAGAAAATGAATGCAGCCACCACATTTAATGAACAATAAGCTGCAATACTAATAATAATACTAATAACAATTATGTTTTTGCTTTGGGTTTACAAATTATTTGTAGTTAATACCTACCAAACCTTTATGTCCATATACTGTATGTATTTCATCTCTGTATTTAGCTGCATGCCTGGAGTTCAGCTTTGAATAAGCTTCATACCAAAGCAAACTTCTTCATAGTAAAGCAATCCCAGATGACAATTATACTTTTTCAACATGAAAACAGCACAGTAAGATAAATTGGCTGGTAACCAGGATAGCTTATGACACACAAAAGTATTGCTATAAAACAACAGGAAGCTTAAGAATAGGTAAGCGGCTAAAGAAAATAATGCTTCTTTCCTTTATTTGTACAAAGAGAATATCAGGAAACAATTATCACAGCTCTGCAGAAAAATATATGTGAACATGTAAAGGACATAAGGAGTTATAATAAAAGTGGTTTTGTGCAATCGTCTTACTCAGCCAGTGCATTCTAGTTCAGATGTTAGAAAGGGCCAGTTATATACTGAAGATGTAACAGTCTGAATAATATTTAATAAAAACTTAATAATTTGTCACTTTAATCAGCTAAGTATATTGCAGGTGTATGAAAACAAAAAGGTGCTCAAAGTCTTACAGTTTGTTTCCATTAGACAGCAGAAAAGCCTGCTTCATGCCAGCACGCTGTAGACAAGGACCTTTGCTCTTTGTGGGGAAGCAGTAGTCTCTCTGCACACGTCCAACATTTCTCTGCTGAGTCAGATCTCAGAAAACTGATTTTGAACACTTTTTTTAAAGTACTACTAAACTCTCAAACTTTCTTCAATATTGAATCCAGCTCAAACAAATATGCATTTCCCAGAAAACTATTTCTTTACATTTTTGTAATCATGTTTCCACAGAGCTGACTCCATCTCTCCCAGCTTGGCTTCCCTGAAGTTCCTGTCCAGTACAAGATCACAAGGGAGAGAACAGTCTCCAGCAGCTGTCCATCTACTAGCTTGGGGAAGGAAGGTAGGAGGGGAGAACAACAGGAAGGAGGGGAGTGCTTTGCCTTGCTGTGTCTGTTTGTTTGTAGACTTGGAGAGGAACTGCTGCTCTCCTTACCGGAACCCCTATGTATAAAGGAGGGTGCTGTGCATCTTCAAATATATGATAAATGTTACCAGCACACCTATGTCTTGTGTCATTAATCCATCTTCTTTATTGATGCAGACTGTCACAAAACAAAGTTTTGAAACGTTGTTTTGTGACAGTCTGCATCAATAAAGAAGATGTATCTCTCCCATCCAATGGAACTCTCTACCCCAACCTTACAATATAAAGAAGACATTACAATCACAATACAATTGAAGACAAGATGGTAAGGAGGGCCCTGCCCCTGAGGGCTTACAATATAAAGGGAGGGGCAAGTGATACATGAGGAGGTAGCTGTGTAGAGATGAATTGTTTGAGAACGTTGAGTGGTTAGTTTGAGGTGGGATAGGCTTCCCTGAAGAGATCAGTCATAAGGGATCGCCTAAAGCCAGTCAGTGTGGGAGATAGACGGACAGGTTGGGGTAAAGAGTTCCAGAGGATGGGAGAGACTCTAGAGAAGTCCAAGAGGTGAGCATGGGAGGAGTTGAAGAGGGAGCTGGAAAGCAGGAGGTCTTGGGAGGAGCGATGGGGATAGTTAGGTTGATACTTTGATACAAAGTTTGAGATATAGCCGGGGGCAAAGTTGTGAATGGCTTTATAAGTGGTTGTTAATATTTAGAATTTTATCCTTTGGGCTATTGGAAACCAGTGGAGGGATTAGCAGAGGGGTGTGTGGGATGGAAGCCAGTGCAGGGATTGGCAGAGGGGGGGTTGCAGACACTGTACGGTTGGTTAGGTGAATGAGTCTGGCAGCTGCATTCATGATAGACTGAAGGGGGGAGAAGCCTGTGTAGAGGTAGGCCAATGAGGAGGGAGTTGCAATAGTCAAGACTAGAGATAACAAGTGAGTGGATGAGCAGCTTTGTGATTTCATTGGTGAGGAAGGGGCGTATTTTGGAGATGTTACAAAGGTGAAGGCGGCAGGATTTGGATAGTGATTGGATGTGGGGAAGAAAGGTGAGGTCCGAGTCAAGGATGACACCTAGCACCTTGGCATGGGGGAGGGTGTTATCAATCTCAAGGGAAAAGTTGGGGGAAGGTGCACGGGCGGAAGGAAATATCATGAGCAATAAAATTATATAAAATGTGCAAAATACTTATGCAAAGTTTTGTTTTGATCCCTAAGCAGTGTGGGTGCACCAAGCACAACAATTTCAGGCCAGTATGGTAGCTGGAACCGGGAACGTGAAGTGCTAGGGTCCTCGGTTCAAAATTTCCTCAATTACATTATCTTCATCATGTTTGTATGTCCTCCCTTGCCTTGGGACATTTTCCCCTGGCTACTCGTTTCATACCGTATTCCAAAGATAAGTTACGTGGCTACCAGAAGGTGTCATAGGTACTATATGTGATAGAGACTTTGGGGTTGATTTACTAAAGGCAAATAAGTTATTTACTTTGCAAGGGAATTTGCTGAGAAATTTTCCCCTTAGCTTAGTGAATGGTGTAAAGAAACCAAAATTGTATAATGGAAGTCTTAGACCGCTAATTAGATAATGGCTCTTAGACCGCTTCTTCCAACCGTGCTCCCCTTCCGCTGCAGCAGTCCAAGGATCCTCGAGCCATCACATCACAATGAGCTTTACCTCATTCACTAAACTAAGGGGAAACTTCCTCTGCAAAGTGCAAATTCCCTTGTAAAGTGAACAGCCCATTTGCCTTTAGCAAATCCATTCCATTAGGTTAAGAGCTTTTTGGTGAAACAGGAATTGAAAGGTTTAATGTTTTCTGCAAGGAATTACAGAAAGTTTCAGTGTTCTACAGATATGTATCCAACCAAGATTTCAATTAGGACCAGTGGCGTAACAATCGCCATAGCGACGCAGGCGGTCGCTATGGGGCCCGGCCAGGGCATCCCTCTGATGCCGTGATGGGGCCGCTATGGCATGTAAGGGTGCTGGCAGTCACTGACATAGCTCCGGCTGCAGATGTAGCGGCCGTGGCGCGTGTCCCCTCACAGCAGCTGCGGAGCTGTGTCAGTGACAACCAGCAGCTGCGGCAGAAGAGGCCAGCGTTTGCAGTAAAGGAGGAGGTGGGGCCCTACTAAGAGCAACCCCGCCTCCTCTTACATCACTGTCCAGCGACCTAAGAGCAGGTGGGGCCAGTCGATAGAAGAGGAGGCGGGGCCCGGGATAAAAGAGGAGGCGGGGCCCGGCGACCACGGAAGCGGACAGCGCTGACAGGTAAGAGGTGTGCAGCCCTTCTGGGACCCTGCAGGGCCCACTATAGAGAGTCTATGGTGGGCTCTGCAAGGTCACTCTCAGGTGGGCTGTTTGGTATATCAGGCGGGCTCTGCAAGTGGCATAACTAGCAATCACGGGGCCCCATACAAAATCTTGCTATGGGGCCCTGTGATTTCCAATTACGTCCCTGATTAGGACCCTTTTCCTAATTGACCAAAATGATCCCTTCGAACTCTCTACAGAAAAAAGAACACCAATGTTTTCTTGTTATAATAAGGAAAGGGACTTACCTCTATGGATTTGGGCCATAATGGAGTACTTGGAAAATTATATTTGTAGACTTCATTAGCGGTAGTGCTAACATCTATGGCTGCCACCACTTCAGCTGCTGCTCCACTTGCTGAAATAATAAACAGAATTCTTGAAGTGGACCTTTACCCCCTTTCACAAAAAATCACATCAGCATGCAGCTCTGTATGCCAATTTAAAATTATTGTACATTCATTAGTTAAAGGAGAATTATGGGTTGAGTGAAAAATAGCTGGCCCCTAGATAGGCAGAGCCTGCTGTCAATCAGCCAGCGGCGTGGATCTCGATAATACTGTCCGTCCCAGCTGTGGTGCTCTCAGCATATGGGTCACCGGAGGACACAATGTATGTCTTCCCGTGACCCTGAGGAGAACTATGGGCAAAAAAAGGTTGCTCGATAGTTCCCCTTTAAACAAACATGTTTTTAATTTACTTACAAATAGAGTACATCTACTTCCCGGTCCAGTTCTGGAACAAATAATGTAATGTGCCAAAGTGTTACATCCTGGGAAGGTTACATCAGCAGAGCATTGCTGGGAAATCTCATCTGTAATTTCATGAAATCTCAGGGAAAGGCGTTTTCCTCCTCTGAGATGATGTGCATGGTCACATGTCCTAGTCACATGTGCCAGAGTTCCAGGAAGTAAAGGGAAATCTAGTAACCTGCCCTTAGTTAAAAGACTGGGGAAGAAAATAAGAAATAAGGATTGCAAAGAATAGAAAGCCGGCAATTTTCTAAAAGTATCTGTGTTTGTAGATTGCCATTAGAAAACATTTGTAAAAGGAGTGTTTGTTGTTATTTTACAGTTATGTGTAAAGGTCAGCTTTAGGAAATTGAAAGCAACCTGTGCTAAAGGAAGGTACAGAGTCTACTAATGTTGATCTCCTTCTGCAAAGTTGGCCATTAATACACATTAAAAACCATGTTGTATAAAGGGAGATTGCAAATTCCAGTTTTGGCCATCCTGTGTAAATGTAGCAGCAAAGAACATGAACCACTTCTGTAATTAGACTCCTTTGAGAGCTGTGACCTGCACCCCTGGCAGGTCCCCAGGACACACACAAGGCAGTCCACACCACCATTAGGCACATTATTTTCTCACTACTGCCCACATCAATATATTATCTCTGTACCCCTTTGTCACTGATCGCCCATCACAGTACCTTCTGACACTCTCCCCTCACTGTCCACATTACGGTCTCTGGCCCACCTCTGTGTTATATACCTACTGATCCTGCCATTACCATATCAAACAAGCTTCCACCAAGTCTTCTGCCACAATGAGCTACCATTGTGCCTCTCAGTGATCCTTCTGCTCCTTATTAGACTGTAGGTGTCAGAATTAGTGAACGATGAAACAGTTAGGGACTGATTTATACCAAATTTGCGCAGGATATAGCTACGTTCACAGCGCAATACTGTCAATAGATGGAGCTGAGGACCGTATGAATTTCTTATGCTCATTGGCTCCATTTAGTGGCAGTAATGTGCTGTGAACATCGCTTGCTCAGCTATAAACAGGGCAAATGTGTTTTAAATCAGCCCCCTAGTTTCTAAATACCAAAAGGATCTCATGCAATAAACATTTAACTGAACAGATAAACAGAAGAAAAGCTGGCTGCACATTGGATTCCGCTGGAATGGTTTATTGAAGCTTGTATCACATCACTGGTGTCGTGACCAAGGTCCAACCTCTTCGATGCATTTCCCCCAATCACGGGATTAGTCAATCTCTACGACGAAGCCCATGATTGGGTGAAATGCGTCAGAGGGGTGGACCTTGGGCACGACACCAGTGATGTGGTACAAACTTCAATGAACTATTCCAGTGGAATCCGGTGTTCGGCCAGATTTTCTTCTGTTTGTATGGGCTCATATTGGAGCGTGGATATAAAGCCAACACAAGCATCCGGCTCACTCCTTCCCAGAGCCATGGTAGAGCCGTGCTTCTTATGTGTGTGCTCCTTACATTTAGCTGAACATATTTGAGACAAGGAGTAAACATGCTTAAAACTGTTGAAGGATACTGCAGATGTCACATGATGTCTCTATATGCCGAGAGATCATGTAACCGCTGATCGCTCAGCTTATGGTCTCCTCCATGCAGAGAGCAGTTACCGTCAGCCATGGCCCCCTGCAAGGGTTCCCCACTCCCCTCTGTTCCTACAGCGCTCATTGGAGGGACAGACAGGGAACGGGGCGGGCACAGCTGGGATCCTTCCGTCTATAGCCCACTATATGCCAACTTTGGGTCATAGGCATACATGAGCAAATGCAAAAAAAAAAGGTTTGGCTTTACTTCTCTTTTACAAAAAATAATATGCTGTATAAGAGTAAACACACCTGAACAGGTGAGAAAACACTGACATCTAGTGTGCTTCTGCATTCAACTACCGAGCAATATTTATCCTTGCAGAAGTTCTGGGCAGATAACGGGACTGGCAGCAGGACAAAGTTTTCATTATTAAAATATTGCTCAAATTGTAATACAAACTACTTTGTATCAAATTGTGGTTTCATAGGATCCCATTGACTAGAGGTGAATCTGATCAGAGAGGGCAATAGATGGGACACTTAGACACAGTGTAGAATTAAGTACGGTATGCTGGAAACGTGCACCTTGCTCTAAAAAGCTAGTTATTGATTGCTGGGACACTGGAGGTCTTCAGCTGCCTGTGTGCTCTGCTGGATTTCTACCATATATTTGCACCTTTAAAGTGTATTTCCACTTTTGCAGTCAGATTGGGATAACACCTGTTTTATATTTGTTACATAATTCCATTCACATTGCATAAGCTAAAAAAATGTAAGCCTTTTGGCTGGACATGCACTTTAACACAGGGATAATTAGCTTGCAGTTTGGATTGAGTAAAGGTGCCCATACACCGTACGATAATCGTATGCGATCGTGTTTTCGTCCAATATTCGTAAGGTTGATGGGCAGTGTACAACCGCAAATACTGTACAATTGTACCACTTTTGACTTTCAATCCAAGTTTGAAAACTTTGGTCGATCGTACGATTTTCGCAAGGTTAGTGGCGTTTCCGTATGATCTACACTGCTCATGCGCAAACGAAAATACGTGCAGTCGATTGCCGCAATTCGTTCGGGTGCTTTTCTTTAATTACGGCTAATTGAACCTTGCAATAATCGGGGCAGGATGGGGCCGGCGTACGAAAATCATACAATTGTTTGATCATCGGACGAAAAGTGTCGTACGATAATCGTAAGGTGTATGGCCAGCTTAAAGGAGAACTATGGGGTCAGGGCTTTTCCCCATAGTTCTCCTCAGGGTAACGGGAGGACACAAACTAGCGTCCTCCCGTTACCCTAAGCTCAGTATACCGCGAGCTACAGCTCGCGGTATACTGAGACGCCGCAGCCGGAGCGGATCCCGACATCGATGTCGAGATCCGCCCAGCTGCGTGAGTGACAGCTGGTTCTGCCTATCTAGAGGCAGAGCCAGCTGTACCCGCCCCCTCCCCCATCCGTTCCACCAGTCAGCGCTGGAGGAGCGGAGAGGGGAGGGGGGAATCCAGCCCCTCCCCTGTAACGGCAGAGAGCCGTGACAGGATCGAGAGGTGAGCGAACGCCGGTATATGTTCGCTCACCTCCTGATCTACTGAGCCGACCTGTGACAGTCTCATTGTCACAGGTCGGCTAGAACTATGAGGTGAGTGAAAAGCACTTACCTCATAGTTCTCCTTTAAGTGTATTGTAATTCAGAGAATGCAAACTTTCATTTGATTAAGGCCTTATTGTGATGTGCAAACAAGCTTTATATAAATTTAGGCCTCACACACACTACGTACCAAAATGTTGACTTCAGGTGCGTTTGGAGCTCATTTCTAAACGCACCTGGACTCATGTAAAGCTGGCCATACACCTTACAACCATTGCACGACTTTCATCGTGCGATGGTTGTAAGGTAATTAAAAGCTTGTACGATCTGCCCATCTTGGACAGGCAGATCCCCGCTGAGGGGAGGGCTTCCGATTATTCCAATGCTGAGCGGGCAGTGTGCGCTTGCGCACACCGGCCCCTGCGGCATTTGTCTTACAAGCACGCCACAAACCCGCCGAAAATCGTCCGATTTTCGGCTGGTTTTCCAACGTGCTCGTAAGACAAAAGACGTGCGACCGTACAGTAGAAACGGTTGCACGCCTTCCATACACCTGCCGATTATCGTACAACACTTTTCGTCTGATGATCGAACCGTCGTACGATTTTCGTACGCCGGCCCCATCCTGCCCCATTATCACAAGGTTCAATTAGCCGTAAGTAAAGTAAAGTACCTGAATGAATTGCGGCAATCAACCGCACGTTTTTTTCGTTTGTGCATGAGCAGCGTAGATCGTACGATTTTTGACGTACGGAAACGCCGCTAACCTTGCGAAATTCGTACGATCGACCAAAGTTTTCAAACCTGCTTGAAAGTCAAAAGTCGTACAATTGTACAGTATTTGCGGTTGTACACTGCCCATCAACCTTGCGATTAAACACGATCGCATACGATTATCGTACGATAATCGTAAGGTGTATGGGCACCTTAATGCTTTTCTATGACTGAATGCACACCCAGGCTTCCGGCAGCGTCTAGGTGCCTTCAATAATACATGAGGAGGTAGCTGTGTGGGGATGAATTGTTTGAGTAGCCCAGTTTTATGCGGCTAAACACATGTGAATGCATGGAAACGAGTGTAAATGCATATAAACATGACTGAGCCCGGCACAGAAAAAAATTATCTGGGAAGCATTCATTTGTTTATTCTTACCAGATAACTTCTGTTGGGCTTCAATGCTGCCCATTAGTGTGCATGAGGCCCAAGGCAGTGGCCAATAATAATCAGATTATGAGGAGTATATTGTAGTTACATATGTGGCTATGACCTCACTGAAGAAACTAAACAGCCATTGTCTTTCTTTATTAACCTAAAGGACCCTTTACATACCAAGCTTATAGACTCCTACTCTCCCTGCCAGAACTCCCACATCCAGCGCCGGAACTCTTGGTGACCTCACTAATTAGTAGGAACTGTAACTTCAGCTATTCTGGAAAGTCCTTTTTATTTTTAGTACAATTATGGCA